AACTGAGCTTTCTATTGAAATTGCTTTACACATCATGATTTTTCCTTGGACATAGGTTTATAATCAAATTCTGATCCTGCTCGAGCAAATCGTAAGACTTCCAGTTTGAATAGACTTATTTTTAGAAATTTCAAAAGCCGTGAGTTCAACGATTTGAACTTTTCTACTAAAGCCTCAGATATATCATTAAATATGTGTGAATACATTTTGGGACAAGTGTAACCTCTTTTTCAAACATAAACTTCTGCGTAAGCCCTTGACTGCCAACTATTAGAAATAGTATCTCATTAGTCGTCTCGAGAGAAAAGAAAGGCAAATAAGACGAAGATGGCCAAATATATCATGCAAAACACAAGCCAATTACTTCTGCCCTAATACTTTTAGAAAATACGTACTTGCACGTATGCACTTCCCGCCTTCTCCAGTGTTCCCCACAGTCCTGAAAATGTTTTCCCCAATTCGGCCAAAAACTGACAGCCACAACAATCCTGCCTCGGGAAAAAGGTAGCTTGCATAAAAAAGCAATAGAGTAGTCGAATAATTACCGATAGAACATCTCATTAAGAACTCATTACAAGCTCGGGAGAGCCCTGGCCACGTACAAAGCCAGGTACGGAAGCCGAGACTGCCACATTAAAAGGTAGCAAGTAGAATACAAATGTAAGCGAAAACGATGAAAGTGAAAGAAAAAAAGTTTCAATATGGGATGCAGCCATGACTTCTCACGTCATTGGTGTTCAAGTGTATTTGCATTCAACGAAACTACTCTCAAAACTAATAGAAAACTGCAAACTATTGGGTAAAATTATTAAAAAAACTCAATCCTAACCATGACACAAAAATAATCTCAGAATTTCCACTAATAAATAAAGTAATTCTATATTACTAAGAAGATGATAATCCTCATCGGTCCAATCGTTCCTTCGTCTCGTAAACAAAAGTTTCCTTTTTATGGATGTTTCGAACTCGAAAACATTTTTTTACCGATAACGAAGTAATAAAAAACTCCGATATCACGATATCTGTCGAACAAAAAAAGGAAAGTTCCACTGAAGCGAAAGTAAAAAAGACACTTACGAACGTAAGAAAACGAAGGAACAGCAAGTAGATTGCTATGTAACAATTAATGGAGGGCGGCGCTTAATCGGACCGAATGACATCAAATGTAAAATCATAAATAGTACAAAGAATAAGGCGACTTAAAACAGTCCCGTCAAGAGTCGTAAACAGCCTTGGGCCTTTGGAATCCTTTTTCCACAATCAGGCTGCCATTACTTCCGTTCTTCTCTTTCTCTGATTGCCCGAGTCTTCCGGTCAATATTGGGCCACATTCTACGGTCTCGTGCTTACATTGCCGCAAAAAATAACCAAACTTTGTAATTCTCTTGCATCGAGAACGGAGAGTAAACAACTTGCGGGCTGCCCGAAAAAGTTTCTAATAGTTCAAACGTGCCCCCACTTTCTGTTGCCTTCGTTCACCCCCCCCCCTCCCTTCGGCCCGCAATTTTTTGGAGCCGTAAAATTATTTGCTTTACTTGGGTGTCAAAAAAAGCGACTTCCCTTGGCTTGTGGGGATCTCCCGTATTCCCTTCCTATTTAACGAAGGAAAGAACCGAGGGTGATATCAAGGAAAGACGTGAAAATGCGGGCTCGGGAAATTCTCATTGGAAGGTGTTATCGCGCCTTGCGGCTTGTTTCGTTGCGTCTTTTTTCTCTGCATGTCTGCCGTCTCCGCTCCCTTTGTGTTATATTTTTGTGGATGTCCGGGGGTTCTTTTTCTGCCCGCGGGCTCTGACGTGGGACCATGACAGATTTTTTAAGCAGATCTAATTATAATTTATGCCCTCAATAGAAGTGAAATCCTAGTCTGGCTTTTAAAGACTCATGCTTACACTGCCGACTTGATTACATCGCTAATTACCGGTGATAAGACGCTTTTATAACAATAAATACATCTTATCAAGCGGAACAACTTGCTGTAAACATTCCGCCCTCATCCTCCCGATAAATTGTATAATAGTACATATGTCGGCTATTTGAAAACTGCGTCACAAATCCTTCGCACTTCAAGCCTACTACCGTAATTTTCGCTTCGAAGTAGCCCCGCTCACGCAAAATTTTCCGCCTCTTTTCACAGGGGAAACACAAACTTGGTTGGATTGGAAAGCGTGCGGCCTGGGCCCCCATGGCACACCGCTTCCGTTCGCGGGGAATCCCTTCCCTCTACTACGCAAAAAACACGTTTCAGAGTGTTTTCCCCCAGCGCCCAACGTTTCAAACTAGGTCATCAACCCAATAGATAAACCTCAAATACATGCCTGTAAACAGGCATTCCTGTTGTACTCAAAGATAAAAAGATCTATTATAGCATTGGACCGTAGGGATTAGGCAAGAGATTGATGAGGTAAGGAAGGAAATGACATGCCCGGAGACAAGGAATTAGGTGGAAACATCGATAAAGATCAAAGTGTTGTTTGTCCGTCTGAAATTGCATCGGATTAGCATCAAGCCTAATAAACGATAGAAGTTTAGTGGCCCAACCCGTTTTTAAACAAGCTTAGCGGGTACCAAATGAACAATTGCACTCCGAAAGTAATGAGAATGTCCTTACATACGACTTTATGTTTAAAAAATCCCCTTCTCCTTGCTTCTCTTTTCTTCCTTTGATCTCGTTTTCTCATCAGCGAGGCTGCCAAAAAAATTCAACGCAAAATAAAAGTGCATTTGAGAAAAAGAAGAGGAGAAAAAAAGTGTGCATATAAAAAGGCCTTCAGAGCGAAGGCTCGTTCGGGTCTCTCCTTGGTGAGATTGGGGGACCTTCAAAATGTCACGTTTCAGATCCAATTTTTAAGAGGAACGCTAATAAAAGGGTGAGGCCAACAAATACAATTACTCATCCCTGACAATTAGCTTTACAACAATTTGATTGTCCTCAACTGCTTTCTCTCCAACTACGGACTATCGAGAAAAGTCCGAAAGAGAGGGAAATGTTACGCAAGGCAACCTCCGACCCACCAGGATGTACCTTTACACATTTTTTTTAGAAAGAAACTCCGAAGACAGGCTGACTGAAAATTCAATGAATTCATTAGGACTCAAATGGAACTCAAACAGAATAATAAAAGACATTGTGTACGTGCGTATTTCCGACAAATGACATTATTTTTATTTTCGTGGCCAAGGCTAAAGGCCAAGTATGTGTCGAACTCTCGGACTCAAACAAAAAAGACGTAAAAGAGGTTATAAATGGTGCACACATTATGCGATAGATAACGCCCTTAAATTAGATCAAAACATGTCGTTTTTTCATACTAAACAGAAGAAACCCGTCATAAACAAACTTTAAGATGCCGTGGAACACCTCCAAGGGCAAACACAAACATCTATACCTTGTGTTTACACTTTCTTTTTCGGAAATTATCCTTCGACCACAAACGTAATTACGTAATTTAAAAAAATATCCAAATAAACAAAAAAAGATATGTTGAAACTATGGCCATGGCCAATTCCGACACCCCCCCCCCCCTTCTTCATTCAGCCGAAATTGTTTTTCACACATCTGGCATGTGATTAAAATAAAATAAAAGTGCCCACGAACAACTGCATAAATAATAAAAATGATTTCTATTAGCCATCATATCATAAATATCGGGCAGAAAAAAACTGTTTTTGAAACAGCTGCATTAAGCCCGACACTTATCAAGCAGGTACCGGGACATTAAGGCGAATGGGAAACGAATGCACTTTTAACACTGAAACCTCTTTGGAACCAGGCCATTTCTTAATAGAAAAAGTCCAGGGAAGAAAACTACTCAGAGTTCAGAAGAGCAATTTGAAGAATAATTGTACACAACGTTAAAGTAAATATACATAAGTCAGGGGGCTCAGTAGAGCAAGAACAAACTTTGACACTTTATCACTCGCAAATCAGATTACGTTTCATACGATCCCAGAGCTCCCAGAATGCCACTTAACCTTTTTGTGGATCGCAATCACAGAGAGAAACATTTTTTCGAAAGCAGATTGAAGAGTAAGATTACAGATAATGCAAACCTCAAAAAAGGGGAAACCCCAAGTCTAACAATAAGCTGTTCTTTTATTAATGGCTCTGTTTACCCAGAAGGTAAGTAATGTTTGAGGGTTTGTTATGTAATTCGTTTCCATTTTAATTACGTGGATATAAACTGAAAATAAGATAAGCAAAGTAATGGCTTCTGGTGTTCCGATCTGATGGAGGTGGTGCTTGCTGGGGATGCTCGAGAGAAAAGGGTTTTCCGAGTAAGCAAATTATAAAAGTTGCAGGTAAAAATAGCAGCAAGAACCAATGTTGGCATCATTGACTGTTACGTCGACAAAGATAATCCTAGAGAGTAACCATTGAAATGCAACCCCACAAAATATCCAGAAAACAGCATAAACTCAATAGCACAGACATTCCGAGAAACAATCGCTTTAGGGCATAAGAACTGGAACGAGAAAAAGATAAAACACTGACAAAAAAAAACTCCCGGAAGCATTTTGGGCATAGCCCCAAAAACGCTGCCCTTAGGCACGCTTTTGCCTTTGTCGGCGCTCTTTTTCTCGAACGTCAAATGTTCTCGCCTGAGCAAAGTTGAGGAACGTTTTGGCACGGCGATTTCAGAGATTTGAGAATGAAGGCATGTCCTAAAAGCGGCAGGCGTACTTTGAACTGAAGCAGTAAAGTTTCATTATCCACGGCCGAAGAAACTGTGATAGCGCATTTAAAATTAAACTCACAATCAGTCTTTTTCATATCGAATACAGGAATACCCCCCGGTCCTAATCTAGTTTTTCCGATGTGAAAGGACAAACAAGGAAATGACATAAAGACATTCGTTAAGACAAATCCCAAAACAGAGTCGTCTTCGGACGGAATGTCTTCAAATTCCCCCAATTCTGAGAAACGTTCCTCATAGCGAATTCCGCGAATAAGGGTCGATTGAAATAAAATTAAACCAGTGGGGTCAGGCGGAAGGGAAATGGGACAGACAGTAACCTATAATACAAAGTAAGGCATTCGTTGACATAAAGTTTAACTTGTCGTAACAAATTCAGAAGTGAATTTAGTATCCAAGCATCCGACATCTAATTTTAACAAACCTCGGCTCAACTCCTTTTCATTTATCTTACAAATCAAGGGAAAGGTTATATATATTCCTTGTTTTTCATAAACAATATCCCCTTCCATCCCGATAAAATATACTTCCTCAAAAACATCTCCCTTCTATTACATGTGACATTCCTGTCGGCGGCATTAGGACATGGATGGGGGAAGAGAAAGGGCAAATTAAATTTCGTTAGACTTTGATGATACTCCCAACTTGAAAATGTTCTTCCGCACGTACATCCACCAATATATTTTTAAAGGGGTGAAAAACAACAAGTTAATCAAGAGGTAACTTCGTCATAGGCATTTGGTTATCATAAAGTTACAACTTGTTTCTGTTCTTAAAAATCAATAGTGACATTTCGTAGCGAATTTTATTGAGTTTTCGAGAGAATTTTGAGAAAATTTCTGAACAAAATTGTTTCAATTTCTGATAAATTGTATAGGGGAGAAGAGGGTTGATATAACAAGGAAAGTACTTTTATGGGGGCTCCTACTTTTTGACGGGACATATCTCAAAAAATCAGAAAAAATGCGCTGATCAAGGATATATAAATCTTAGCTGCCCATTTTAGGTTTTTAAGGGTGAAAATGCCCAAAAACTGGTTTAATTTCCCTACAAAAGGCCGACATTCGAAACGATAAAAAGAGCACTCGATCTCTTCCTTCGGAAGAGAGCGGTGTGGCCGAGTGGTTAGTGCCGTAGTCTGGGAATCAAGAGGGGGACGCCGCACAGGTTCGATTTCCCTTTTGGGCTGAATCAACTTTTTTGAAGTTGAAGGTCGGAAAAATAAATTTTTGGGCCAAGACTGTCTTATTACGTCTTAGAAACTCAATAAACACCATTTTAAGCCAAAATAAAAATTGTAAACCTTTGAAAAAATTAAGCGAAAAGGGGTTCATATAGGACTTTAAAGTACGCGCGTCCCGAAGCCTAGGAATACACTTGGCCATATAAAAACTTTGTCGCGTCGGGACTATAAAACTTTGAATTACCCGCGAAAAAGAAATTTTTTCGCGGAATATTATTTTTTAGGCTGGAGCCGGAAAAAGGTGTTGATTTTGTGGTTTTTGATGTAATTTTTATGTTTTTTTCGTGAAAACGTTGTTCTTTGTCGTAAATGCGTTTTCGTTTTGTTGTCGGACTGTTTTTTAGCTCGAGTATCACCTCTGGCGATTTATTTTTCTTGTAATTTGACTTTTTTTATAGTTTTGAGGTTGATTCGCTTTTCGGTGAGAATTTGAATGGATTCCTCAGCTACGAACGAGATGTTTCCAGAGACCACATCCAAGAAGCCACAGAAATAAGACTAAAGACGGCTCCATGGTATTGGGAACGAATCCGGACCAATTACTGGTAGGTGGAGAGTTTTGAATGTTTTTACTTATGTTTCTTTCGTTGAATGAGGGAAATGCTTCAGGTACCGCCTTAAAAACGGCAGGATTGAGATGGACCAGTGTGCATCCATGAGACAGCCCCGTTCGTTCCTGTTGTTGGAAAGGTGCGCATCAAGGCGATTTGATTTTTGAATTAGAGTTACGACAAATGGGCGGGACAAGGAGAATGTTGCAATAACAAATAAATACATGTGGATAGTGGCCTAAACCCCCCAAGTGTTGGCCGATTTTCCACGACATGATCAGTACCAGAAGTTTATCAAATTGGCTCTTGTCCCCACAATATTCGAGAGTTTGTTTTACTTTTTCTTTATTGTCGTTTTCCAACAAGTAAAAATAAAGAAGTTATGTACACATCGAGAAAGAATTTATCGTTCTTCAATCAGTTTCTAGGAAAGAATTCAAGCGAAATCGAGGTTGGGAAGTTGATTGACGTGTTCCACGCTTCCTGGCCGCCTCCATTCTCGTGTTTCTATAACCTCGATCCGGATGCGGGCCACCTCCTTCAAGTCGGTACTAAACAAACATATTTATGAATAATTGGCTTACATGACCATGTTCAACCTCCAGTAATTGTTCTAGATTCGTTTCCGATCCCATGGAGCCGGCTTTAGTTCTTCGTTTCTGAGGATTCTGGGATTTGGGACCTCTGGAAACATCTCGTTCGTATCTCAACAATCCATTCCGATTTTCTCTCCAAAGGTATTAACCGGCCTAAAAAGGTACAACATCGAAACTAAAACACACATTTATAACAAAAAACAACTTTTTCACGAAAAGAACGTAAAAATTACATCAAAAACCACAAAATCAACACCTTTTTCCGGCTCCAGCCTAAAAAATAATATTCCGCGAAAAAATTTCTTTTTCGCGGGTAATTCAAAGTTTTATAGTCCCGACGCGACAAAGTTTTTATATGGCCAAGTGTATTCCTAGGCTTCGGGACGCGCGTACTTTAAGTCAACTTCCGACTGAGTTTTCACCCCTAAAAACCTAAAATGGGCAGCTAAGATCTATATATTCTTGATCAGCACATTTTTTCTGATTTTTTGAGATATGTCCCGTCAAAAAGTAGGAGCCCCCATAAAAGTACTTTCCTTGTAAAATTTAACTATCAACTCGGAAAGAATGCAGCTAAAATTGAAAGAAGAATGTCGAAAACAATTCAGTGTCTTTGTCTTGCTCGAGTCAATGGATAATTATAACTGGCGAACAACGGAAGAGCACACCAAACTGTTGGTAAGCCTTTCGAATACACCTCTTATATTAAACTTGACAATGTGTTTGAAGTAGAATCTTCTATGCAAGACCTTTTTATAGTTGCTTTCTCCAGAATGGATTGCAAATGTGAAGACATTAAGTAACGCTACTGACCTGCAGATCGATATTACAGAATGGATGGTCATCAAGTTTGAAACGGAGGGGGTAATTGGACCATGGGAGTTTTGTTTACAATATTACGAGATGTTCAAATTGATTATGAGAACGGCATTTGAGGCAGAGAAAATAAGTACTATAAAGATCTCCATTTGTGTCTGCATTTTTGAGTGCTCTGAGCTTTGGTTTTTTGATCATGCAGTTGCCATTGACGTTGCGCATTTTTTGAAAGGTGAGTTGACTGCAAAGATTTGGATGAAATGGATAAATTCAATCTGTTAAGACTGGAATTAGACGGAGATTTATTAGAACCTACTAATTAATAATATTCAAAGGTATTTATAACTCTTTCAATTGTGCAAAAATTATTCATTATCGTTTAAAGTTTTTATTTTTGTCATTTCGATTTCCTTTACAAGAGAGAATTCACAAAATGTTATCTAATTATCAAACATGGCCACATAATGATAAGTAATTAAAACATGAAACACTGGTATGCAAAACTATTATAACAGGTTATATTAAAGATGAATAAATTAAAAAATTGAAATATGAGATTTGATCCGTTAAAGATTGAAGACCCATAGTTTAGTTGATATACCCTTAGGCGATGGCATTGCAAGTAAAAACGTGATTGTTAGACCGGGTTTGAGTCGATTAGAGGGGATTAATAGAGAAGTGGGACTAGACCGAACTGAAAAAAAAACCGTTAATTTTTACAAAAAATGTAAATTTTTAGACAGCATTCGTCCAAATAAACTAAAATTGCACTTTGAGAGCTATGAATTAGAGAGCAATCATTGCGATTACTCTTAGACTGAAGGCATAAAAAGACTGACTAGTAATCAAAGTTGGGGCATTTGTGTTTTGTCGACGGATATTGCCTGTCTATCCGTTTGTTAAAGTTCTTGATGATTCCATAGAATTGCTTCCTGAAGATTTGTCGAGCTCTGTTTGTGAGTTTTAATTCACTGGGCTCTTTGAATCCGAGGTGATACATGTAGACGTCATCAACGATGGCAAATTTGTAGCCTGCCCGACACATTTCCCACCTCTAAAAACAAATATTGTATTATAACCAGTAACATACCAAGACAGTATTATCTCTCTGCGGATATTTGAAAGTCTCGTCATGGAAGGGAATTTTATTTGTGGAGACGAATTGAGGCTCCCATGAGTTGGACGTATACCTAAAACAACAAATAAAACAATTTCAATTTCAGCTTACGGTTTGTAGAACTGGACACTGGTCTGATCTGTCTTCTCGTCAGATTTGAACCATTCATATAATTTGGGAATATTATGTGCACCATAATATTTATGGAATTCTTGTGCTTTGTAGGTCAAGAACAATCTGTGTAGATCTTCTTTAGTCTGTGGATGCGTTTTGACAGACCCATCGATCTCGAATATCCGATAAACAAGAACAGTCTTGTTATTCTCAGAGAGAACTTCTTTGGCCAGCTTTCTCATCTTGGGTTCGAAATTCTTGGAAAAAAAGTGATCCATGTCCGCGGAGAGGATGTAATCCGTAGAAACGAACTGAAATCAAGATTAATATCAATTGTTTTTGAAAACATACCTTTCTCGCAGTATTCCTAGCTTTGTTAACTGGGTATTTCAACATGTTCCTTGCCTTTTCTTCCGAAGTCATGCTCTTTTGTCTTATCTGACAGTTCGCCAGCTTCTTTTCTCTTGTCAGATCGGGCTCAACGAAGTCTTCGCAAGTCACATTCTTCAGAATAAAATGAGCACTCAGTTTCTCTTGTGCGTTTCTATCAGATTTCATAAGACTTTGAAGCTAACAACAGGATTGCATCAATCGATATCACTCATATTTACCTTGCTAATTGCGCATCTAACATCACTGGCGTTGAGTTGCATATTCTCCGGAAAGACGACTGATAATGAGATCGGCCCATCCCAATTTTGAGTCTAAATCATCCGTTCAAATTGTTTCAGAGCTCTCTTACGTGTTCCATTAATTTATGCGTGTTCAAGCGATCACTTGAGAGATGCAACACCAACGTTATCCGGTCAGTTTCATTCAGGGATCCTTGCACAATATTGGCAGCTATGCAGTATTCCCCATCTTTGACTGTTCTAAATAATTTGGAAAACAAAATGATGAGGAATCACAATTTAATACCACTTACCGTATCCTAATCTGTTTGATTTCCGTAACCTCCTGAGAAAATGAAGCGGACCTTGTTGCTCTTGAATGCGTAATATCATCGCTTGTCACTATTGTCTGACGGATTTGTAGCACCCCTACAACTGCGAACAACGAAAGACAAAAGTTCCGCATCCATTTGAGTTTGAACATTTGGCCGAAATCTCACCCTCCCCCAAAAATGCAAATTAATTCTTAAGTAATCTTAACGTAGTTGGTTATGGGAAAGCCTCGTTAGTTAGTTAGTGAAGTGTTAGTATCTCGATGCCAATCCCAAACAGTGGAGACACCTGAAAAAACGGAATTTTATATTATCCATTGGATTCAGGTGTTATAAAGATTTTCACGGATTCATAAACACGACTGAAAGTAAGGTTCACGTATTTCAAGAATTAACTAATCCAGGGCTCAAGCTCACAAAAAATGGAACAGTAAGCATCAGCTCGCTCTCCTTCTCAATCCAAATAAATATTTGACGAACACTCAGAAATAAATAAAAGTCGCAAATTAGCAAAGAAATACATCTAGAAGCAATTTTCCCATTCAGAATTAGAATGAACGCAATAAAAGTTATGGAGAAGGCTGCCACTAATATTTCCATAAAAATATATTACCCAAAGAAACTGGATGCCGCTACTGTCGAAAAGCGGAGATAAGTATTTCATTAGAGCAACTATGACTCATGGCATTTGATGTAGTCACAAGTAGCGTCTCCAGCAAGAACCCAACCATCTATTTAGGGACATCTATGACTAGACAACTCCCATTAATTGGCTGTCATTACTCATGGATACCAAGTGGAATACAAGGAACCCTCATTAAAGTTCAAAATAAAATAAATTCAAGCGTGAGGAAGAAGGAAACAATGATAACTTTTGGGTGTGTCCCTTGAGATTATACATTCTCACTCAACCCGACTAAAACAACAAAAAACAGACAAGTTTTCTTCGAGGCCGTTGAAAAGGAAATTTCCTTGCTTGAATAATCCCGAAATTAAGCCCAAACGAAGTAAGTAATTGGGCTTCATCTGGAAAAGAAGCTGGATAGCATACTATTTTTGAAATTCACTGATTTCAGGTGTGAATGCGGAGAAATTTTGGAAAATTTCGATTATATTTGCTAGGTAAATTCTCGACAAAGAAAAAGAAAGACCAAACATCCAAAAATCAAGTAATAATTTTACGTCAATTCCCACTCAGCATCCTCAACTCCCACTCATAAAAAAACAATGAAATAAAGTCTTCAACTCCTCTAGCTTGAATGAAGGAGTACTGATAAGAAAAATTGATTAGCGTCATCAATGAGGGCGTCGGAATAAGACATTTTCCGGTACAACACCAATTTTATACCGGAATTTTCCGTCCCTTTCATTTTTTGATAAGAACTCGGCACCTGAGAAGGCAGCAGAATCGAACCATGGCAAGTATAACATCCAAAATCAAAGAAAATCAGAAATCAATTAAAATTTTCCCGATAGAAGTACGAAAACCCCCCTTCTGGCCAATCTATCTCAAAAAGGATCTGTGGTATACCTAAAAACATTCCGGCTCATGCAAAATTGTATGCAAAAACAACCAAAACAAAACAAAAACTAATTCAAAGCGGCAAGTGGATGATGTAATAATAACACAAAAGCTTATAACTTACTTGTCTAAAATCGGTGAAAACCAGGTAAAAATCACGGAATCTCGACTAAAAGAAGTCCAAATATTCCTCCAAGAAAGGAGTCATAATGACGGCTTTTCTAGACGCCAAAATGGACTGTATGGAAATTAGACGGACCGAAATTGGACGGATTTTGCAAAGAATGACGCGCTATTTCCTTTTTTGTATAAATCGAAAAATCGTCCAGTTTCGAAAATTTCCTCCCGTTCAGTTTACATGCAGGCAAAAAATGCATCCATTATTTTGCATTAAAAATGGCCATTTTAAAATGGCGTTTATGCGAAGGAAATTTGGGTTGAACTTGGCGTTATATTGTAGTACAAACACGTTTATATTTTTCAAACCTTTATTAGTCAGGAAATTAATGGTTCTCCGCCCTCCGGAAGGCTTTACTACCTCGATTCGACGTAATGAGCGCATAAAATAAGGTCGTAACTTTCCTCTTCCTAAAAAACCATCTCCGTTATTCCTAATAGGATAGTGTTGGGATTGAAACAGGCCATGTAATTGCTGTGAACTGATACCGAATACGCATCGTTGACTCCGGGTCACGCGTTGCTCTGGTTGAATTCTGGCGCTACAAGGTGGAACTCTTATCAGTTCCGTCAGATTAAAGCTTATAGAATTCAGAAAAACTGAGGATTATAATCTCCAAATGAGAGTTCTGGACGAGTACTCCAAAATATGATGCGATAAGGAATGTTAGCTCTTTGTTGCATGAGTAATGACAAAAAGGTAACAGAAAATAGAGAGTTGGAGCACCAGTTTATTAGTACAGTATTATTATGTTAGATATTTTTATTTTATAATAGTTTATTAGGTCAATATTCTGTCGTAGTCGAACATGTACCGAAGGATTGCAACAAACTTTCTTGCCTGCAAATTAGTTTTCGAAATTATTACTTTAAGTAAACCAAGATTGTAAAATAAAATTGTCCATACTTGAGGTTGATCTTCGTCTGGTAAACTGAAAATTAGCCCTCTTGTGATGACCCTCACTTCTCCGACTCTTCTCTTGTGCCGAAGCTCTTGAATATGACCTTTCTGATCCATGGTCATTGCTTGAACAGCTCTGATCAAGCTCTCAGGAGGACCGTAGTCTTGGAGTAATTGTAATGCTCGGGACCTGGTCTAAACACAATGTACGTGGTTTAGGACTGGGTGAATCACCTCATCGTCCAACTTGAAAACATGAGCGTATACAAGATCTAGCACAGAGCTCAAATCAATGACATTGGCATATTCCGAGATTTGGCGAACCTCTGTCTTTGTAAAATTTAGTTTCTGAATTACACAAATGGCAGTATTCACATCGCTGGGGTCTAAAAAAGACTATATGTCGTCGTTCGGTAGATTCTAACCTATCATGTACGAATCCTCGATCCCGCACATAGATCCTGATACTCTTTCCACTTTTACAAGGCGCCCATTATTCATTGACATTACAGTTTTCGGAAAATGGTCAGCTATCTCGTCCGTTTCTCTGGGTTCATCCTTTTGACGTGTTTGCACATTTGTGAAGTAAGTGTAACTTGATGGCCCACTAAAAATAATCATTCAAAAAATTGTTAAAAGCAAAATAGATTTTCGACCACGGCAGGATTCGAACCTACAATCTTCGGTTCCGTAGACCGACGCGTTATCCATTGCGCCACGCGGCCACATTTCGGCCCTTTTTTAAAAAGGTTTTGGGAAATTTCGCGAAAGATAAGAATCGATTCTCACCTTGAAAAGCGCGGCAAAACGCGATTTTCGTCGTTTTCCTTTGATAAATGGAACAATTTTGGATGAAATTCCGGCAGTGGAGGTAGAGTGAATACTGGCGCCTTGGGAAATGGATCTGGAACTAGCTGGGACGCGCCAAAACAAGTAAGAATTTGCCAAAAACCGAGAGAAAGTCTCCAATTCTTCAGCATTTTCTCACAAATCCCCGAACTTCACTGTATTTTGAACTGGTATTGTTTGAGAATGGAATGGGGGATAGTCTGAACAGCGTCTTCGTATGAATAAATTTTCTCGTTGCGCGCTCTTGAGCCGCAATTCATTGAACCGGCAGACCGGGGGAACAATATTCTCTTCTATGCAAATTACTGGTTTCAAGGACAAACTTTCAGTTTCGATGGCACGAATGAATTGGATTGTTTTCCAAATGGAGGTAATTGATGACGTATTAATTGCTTCCAAATGGAGTTGATTGATGACGTATAGGTTGTGCAGATTAGGGCATGTCTTTTCGAAGTACTTTTTGCAATCACACATAAAAGTTTGATGTGATCAAAAATAAGAAATCTTAACGTAAACATGAATTCATATGAATGTAGTGCCAAAACAAAGATCCTGTTTTCAGCGTTGGGACCTTTCTTCTCCGCATTGTCATGGCAACCTTAACCATATTCCTTTTATTTCTTCAAAACGTCTTAACTTAAACTAAATAAAGGTTTTCTATCTGAGTTTTTGTTACAGTCAACCATGGTACGTTTTCAGGTTCATTATAAATATGCGGCTATATTTAGTTGTTGTCTCGTCTTCGGCCAGCATGGAAAAAGAAGGACGAAAAGAAAAAAGTTGAGATCCCAGAGCTTGAGCAGTTTTTAGAGAAGAAGGATTACACAGGTGCGATCTCGCTTTTAGAGGCAAGTCTTACAGTAATACATGGCGCACACTGACTACAGAGGTTACTATGTGTTTAAATTTAGCATCGACAGAAATCCAATGGTCTGACGATTGAAGACTCAACTTGGCTTGGATATTGTTCCTACCATGCTGGTGATTTTAAAAAAGCAGCGGCTGCTTACAGTTGGATAATGGCTCAGCCCGACGCTCCTCCAGAAACCTTTGTATATCTTGGGTGCTGTTTCTTTTTTATGGCCATGTACGAAGATGCACAACAATGTGCTGAAAGGGGGCCCAAAGGACCATTACAGGTACGACAACTTGACATTTTTTTATTTTTTACAGAACCGTTTATTATTTCACATTTCGCACAAATTACGTGATGAAAAGAAATTAATGTTGCATCATTCACAACTCAAAGATTCCATTGAGGATCGAATATGTTTGGCTGCAATGCATTACCTTCGCGAGCATTACAAAGAAGCCATCGATGAATATAAAAAGCTGTTGAAGGAAGAACCAACGTATTTGGCGCTTCACGTCTATCTCGGCTTGTGTTATTACAAGCTGGACTACTATGATGTCTCTATTGTAAGCGTATCTTAAGTCTCTGTTAATTTTTAGCAAGTTCTCGAGAATTATTTGTCTGTTCATCCGGCAAGTCCCATCGCAGTAAACTTGAAAGCTTGCAATCATTACCGACTTTACAACGCCAAAGCTGCTGATAATGAGCTGAAAGCGTTGAAGCATTTGGCCAAGAGCGACTTGCACTTTGGAAAAGACATTATCACTCATAATACGGTATGAACTCAAAATAATAAAGGACTTAAGACGTTTTAGGTGGTCTTTCGGAACGGCGATGGAGCATTACAAGTTTTGCCCGCATTAGTTGATGTAGTGCCAGAGGCACGATTAAATCTCTGTATTCACTACCTGAAGAAACGTATGTTCAGTTCCTCAATCTTTTTGTGTATTAACCGATATACTATTCAGAAAACATAGATGCCGCTTACGAGTTGATGCAAGATAGGGATACTGGCGTTGGACAAAATCCCCTTCTCCGAGCGATTACCTACACCTTCAAAGGGTACGAGGATCGGAACCCTGATATGCTAGAGAATGCCGCGAAATTGTACAAAAGTTTCGGGGATTCGGAAGCTGACTGCGATACTATTGCGGGAAGGCAGAGCATGGCCAGCGCTGAGTTCTTGTGGAAACAGTTTGACAATGCGTTAATATATCTGAGGTCAATCAAGGTTAGTGTCCTCTTAACACTTTTAGTTTCAGTTTAGAAATTTTTTGAAATGGATGATTTATTCAACTATAATTATGGCCAAGCATTGGTGCAAGCGGGTGAATATGAAGAAGCGGAACAAATTCTGGAGACCATAAAAGAAGTGGAATACATTTATGACGCCAGTTATCTACAGTGTCTTGCACGAGCGTGTGAGTTTATTGTGAATTGAAAAGCTTTTTGTGAGACATTCGAGACAATGCGGGTTTTCAGATGTCAAAAATGGAAAACCGGAAAAAGCATGGGAAATGTGCAGAAAAGAGGAAAACGCTCATGAGGTCGTTGATCTGTTAAATGTAGTAGCCAATGATTGTTATATTGTAAGTTTTTTATATGGATAAACCATAAAGCATAGGCCCTAAATTAGAATTAAGTTTGTTGCAGGCTGAGAACTACTTTTTTGCCCTAAAGGCTTTCGAGGAATTACAAAACAAAGATACACTGGGACTCAATGAAACTAAGTTTATTGCGGCCAAAAAAGGATCTTTCATTGGAGTCTTGAAGATGTTTTCGAACGGAAGAATAACAATGTAAGAGCATTCGTATCAACAGACACAACTTTTTAGTGAAAATCTCCGAGAGGCTTTCAAAATAATGGAAAAAACGAAAGACGTGCCAAGTGTTGCAAACGTTCTACATACAGCGCGAACATGGGTTAACGAAGTTGGCGTTCTTCTGTGATTAATGCCATATTCTTGGCTTATATTTATTGTCATGCAAAAATTAAATTATTCATAACATTAAGCTGGTGGAAGTGGTAATTTAACGCTAATAAGAAACTGTCATTCCCAACGTAAAAGCTGAGATTCACACTTTCTGATCTTCAGGTTTTTATTTTTCATCCAATCTTCTACCCTTTAATCCTCCCTACATCTGCGTTGTAATCACGCTTTTATTTTACGATATTCCCTTTCTTGATCCATACCGAAAGTCACGTCCTTTTAACGCAGGCATTATGGTCCGGGATGAAGATGCCGCTTACGCGGGCGGACGAATGTTTTGGTCGTAAACGGCGATAAGAAAGTCGTCGCTCCGAAATTTTGGGAGCGCCTGAACCGTTCGTCTTTTGGGTCGGGAGGAATTTGCGCCGTTTAATAACTGGGTTCTTCGGGCTCGGGGGGAATCCACGGCTAGTAGTGAACGGAAAGGATTGGCGTTTGTTTAGAGTTGCTTGAGGATCATCGCCGCGGTTTGACAATATTATTATTTAGTATTTTGCCAAAGGAATAATTTCTTTTTTACAAATGAATGGGAGCCGCCCTCAGCTGACCTTTTTTATAATCTCTTGACGAGGTCATTGCTTTTCGTAAGTCGTTTGCGTCAAGAAATGCACATTACCGGTTTTAGTCAGGTAAATCTCCTCCTTTTTTCAATATCACCACTTCGATTGTTTTGCCTTTGCTTGTTTTTGAGAGCTGTTAAGAAATCTCATTGAAACCTTGAGGGCGTTTTAGAGTACTTTCGGCACCTGTTAACAGTCATGTTTTTTCATAACTTCTTATCAGAAAAAGTAGTGTGATTACTCATACAATAAACTATGTTGCCACATGTATACTCTTTCGATAAGATTTCATTTGAAATTTCAAATTTTGCATAAGGGGCTTTATTTCTGTTTTAATTTCTATGAAGTCTCAACAACTGCTACAGTGATCCGAGTTTGGTCAAGTTGGATAAAGATCTTTAATTCTTTTCTCATTTTCATAAAAAAAAATAATCAAAAATTGTCGAGGTCGATTAGAAAGCCCAAGACATATGAGGATACCAACAAAAAGGCCGAATCTCTGCCCTCTGGCCAGCCAGTTAAACCCACTGGCCAGTACATCTCTCGAACAAAACGACCTCTCGGATCAAATGGAATCGTGGGTGGGATAAAAAAAGAGCGTATGGATCTTGAGAGAGAGATCGAGACACAAACTAGCCGTTCTTACACAGATAAAAGTGTCCCGGGGGAACAAAGAAAGCCTCTGTGATGAGGAAATATCAAGTGTTCTTTGGGGATCCGGTAGAGAAACAAAAGTTATGGGAATCGTTGAAAAAATTGGATTAAGTCAGGTTCTTAGTGCATTTTGAGGTCATTCGGCTTAAGAGATGTCCGAGATTCGTGTAAGATTTTGTGAAAAAATTTTAGTCAACTTTGTATTCCATAAGAACGTAATTGATAAAACGGAAGTCGCTCTTGACTGCCATGTGGATAAAACATGAGATTTTATAAGCGGAGACTTCAAGATGATTTTTGTTAGAATATGTTTTCGATCGCTTTGTTTTGACGGCTCTTCTATTGTTTTTCCATCGGAAATAAGGAGCTCTATGTTATCTCGTATGCCCATAATTATCCACACTGTTTTCGTGAAATTGTGTTGACTGTAGATCGCTAGGGTGGTCGCGAAAACACAATACCTTGTAAATATATTATACGTATTATAGCATGGTAAACTAGTTATTTGTATAAGGCTTACTGTGTCAAGCATTATTTTTTGTGGAACCAGACTTTTCCTTTTCTAATTTATTGAAGCTGTAACCCGATCGCTTTATGATGTCGAATTCTGTTGTTTGAAAGAATGATATCACTACCTCGAAGCCTATATTGACACGTTGAATGTAGTCCACAACGGTTTTAAAACTCTTTTATCCGAGTCGATTTCATTCTTAACAGCTGTGATTCGCCGAATAAGTTTGAGACGAAGAGTTTTCGAGGGCCGTCTTTAGGGCCTAAGACCTACTGCAACCGGCTCTCGGACGGATATCTCATCCGTTCTAACATAATCCAGAGATCTCTTAGGGTTTGCGATGTTAATTATGAGTCATTAGCTAATTCCAACGTTTCCGGAGTTTTCTTTTCTATTCCTTGTCTTTTGTCATCCTTTTGTAACTTTTCCGAGCGCTTTCTTGAACGTAAAAGGACGGACAATGAAAAGGTTTGGTCATTGTTTAAGGGATATTCGTGGTTACATGACCATCTTTAGTGGGAAGCGTGCTTAACAGATTGCGTAAATTTACATTCACATGGGGAAATTTTTGCAGTATTATGTCATATTTAGTTGAATAATACTATCTTCTTCACCCGAACATTAACCCACCCCAAAATCCGTCACCCGAATAAACGGTCACCCAAATGCGTTCACTCGAATATTCAGTTACCATTTCAACTTAGCTTCATCAATATTCAAGCAATACTGACTACAAGATGAATATTGTAATTATGTCGAAAACGAATTTCTTGTGAACTCATTCCTCAGAAGTTAGATTTGAGGCAATTTAAGATTTACGAAAACCCGCGAATCATTTCTTCTATCCTTTCAAAAGAATTCTTGACGCTATTTTGAAACATTCGAACTCAATGTTCTTACCTGGACTTTATAGGATGCAGAAGTGTGCGCGTGAGGAATGTGGGAAGACGGTGTACCCAATGGAGGAGCTGAAGTGCTTGGACAAGATATGGCACAAAGGCTGCTTCAAATGCACCAGCTGTGGAATGACTTTGAACATGAAGAACTACAAGGGATATAACAAGATGCCTTATTGTGATCCGTAAGTATCATTTAGAAAGCCTTTGTATTTTGTTGTGTTTTAGCCATTACCCGAAGACCGTTGCAACTTCAGTTGTCGACACACCAGATATGCAGAGAGTTGCGCAAAACACAAAACTTCAAAGTCAAGTGAGTTGAACTCTGTCTACGATATTACATATTCGAATGCAAAATAGAATTGTCATCCTTATCCTAGGTTGCCTACCACCTTGAGTACGAAAAGAATAAGGGTCACAAAACAGATATCGTTGATGATCCAGAGCTGAAACGGCACGCACAGAACACTAAGAATGCGTCCCAAGTCCTCTATACAGGAGAAATCGACAAGAAACAGAAGCAAGAACTAGTTCGGCCAAAGGAAGATCCCAACGCTGCACCCAGTGAGTTGAACTTTCCTGTTAAAGTTAAAATATACGACTTGTCCGTCTGGCGAACTTTCGATGCTTGCTAACCCTATTTCCCATCAGTGTTATGCCTTTAACACCTATTAGGATCTGTTGTTATGCTATACGAGCAGTTGATCTAGAAAAGATAATTGTTGATCTTTTTATCGAAGGAATTGTTGTCCCGGTGTCTCTCATGCTTCTTTAACCCTCAAAAAGTTAATGACCTCACGGCCTCAACTGCCACAAACATTCTCCTTTACCTCAAGCTTTAATTGACCTTTTATCGCAAGCTTTAAGCCCACTTGATGCTATCTCACCATCTTTTCATTGTAATTCTTACGCACTGAATAAACTCTTGTAATCCCAACCTTCCTTGTAGTGCTATACGCATCCGACTATGCCCAGTTATATTCGGAAAACGAAACCGATGAAGGTTGTTACTCCGACGAGCATTATGAGCAGAATAATAACATAAAGAGTTCTCCTGTGTCCAGTTGTTCTTCATTAAGTCGTCCAATGGAAAGTTGTGGAGTGAGTGATTTTATACTAATACTGTGTTACCGTGTTATTTTCGGCTCTAATACGATTATCTCCGTATAACCTTGAATAATCATTGTGATCTTTGCAGTCCGTGTATGTTAACCATCATTTGGCTGATAAGGAGTGCTTTGCAACTACCGTATGGAGCAGTCACGAGATTATTCGACATGGTAATGAAGTGTTTTCTTTTTCTCTTACATTTTTTCTATAAATAACTGTTTTGCAGTTGAACTGACACATAAAAATGTCCGAAAAAAATTAAATCATCATAGTCGCTCCCACAATTTTATATAAAAACTTTAGAGGAGGAGCCCAAGAAGATTGGAAGCATCTCCGATTATGATCCCGTAAATGGAAATTTTGGAAGTCTTGGAGGAAAGCAAGGTACGTAAAGTTCCATAAAAATTCCAATATCTCCAAAATAAATCAAACTTTCCCTTTGCAGCCGAACCGGTCGCAGTTTCCCCAACACCTTCAACTGGAAGCGAGAAGAAGGTGAAAAAGGTAAAGAAGTCAACAAAGAACGCCGGATTCTCCGTCAAATGCCTTTACGATTATACCGCCGCCGATTCAGATGAGGTAAATTGGGACCTTTTTGAAATGATGACGATGTTCTTAAATCTTTTTAAAAAAACCGTCCGACCTAAAGTTGCCGTAATTTTACCCAAAAATTTTAGATTTCATTCAAAGAAGGTGATATTATCGTAAACTGCCAGACAGTGGACGAAGGGTGGATGACAGGAACTCATCAGAAATCGCTTGCTCATGGAATGTTACCAGCTAACTACGTCGAGAAGATCAGCGTCCCCACTGGTGCCTACAAACTCTCCTAAACCTAAAGTATTCAAAGAAAGCATTTCTAATCTCATTGCCGCTAATAATTTGTATTTCAACGGATTTCTTGATTAAAAACAGTTGTATGTCCATGATTGTTTTGACCACATATTCTGATTAATATAACTGTAAAACAAATATGGGCTCGATAAGTGATATAATTTATTAAATATTTAGTTATAGTACCGAAGAACTTTGAACCGTATATACCGAGACAAGACAGACTGGAATATAACTCTGATATTTATAACAAAATAAATAAACAACGTTCGATAAAAGAGTGCTAATATAGTACCGGCCAAATCATGACTAAATAAACATGTTGACATTATACACAATCAAATCAAGTGCATACGGTCATCATCTGACTTCTGGCTGACCACACGGTGATTTGAAGGATATATAACAAACAAACTCAGCTGAACAGCGGCAATCACACAAGCAACAGCATTGGGAACCTATAACAACAATGGTTATTTCGTTCTGATAAATATTCCGCTAAATTGTGCTTGTACATTGCTCAGTACCTAAACCCCAGACAAGAATAAAAAATGCATACCTTCATATAGAAATCGTCCGTTAAGATCCCGTAAATCAGCCATTGTATCGATACAATCATGTTACCAGCGCACAACATGAAAGGTAAGCTTTCCGTGCTTTTGTTCCGAATTACTTGACCCTGAAAAGTAAAGAAAATTTTAGCCTGACAATTTTGTTACCTAAAATTAAATAAAAATTCAAAAAACTTACCACATCCAGCAAAGGAGCACCAATTGTGGCAATGTTGAGCATCATGCAGATAATTCCAAGGAAATTCTCCTTGGTCTCAGCGGCGACATCAGAATACATCCAGTAATACGTTAGTACACCAGCCAAGATCTCAATTCCAATAAGTTTGTTTAAGCGCATCCTTAGCCTTGTCTTGTGATAATAATATGCCAAATAAAGACTCTGTACGAAAAGCCCAACTGTATTAACCAATATTACAGTTGAATCATGTCGAATCTCCCCATAGCCGGCCCAAACAATGCATGAGATCGATGTAAGTAGAAATGGGGCCACAGAAGTACCATCTGTGTGTCCTCGAACCCGAATCCTCTGGCAGATCTGAAGGCCACACAGGAACAAGGCAAAGGTCGAGGATGTGGCGGTGAACGACAATACGCTCACAAATCCATCCCAATCCATAATTCGCGGATTCGCGGTTTATTTTATTTTCGACGACCGCTCGGTGCAGATATTCGGGCGCCGTCTTTCACCAACACCCGCATAGAGATTGGTTCGGGAGAAATGGGAAAGGTGACGATTTTGGTGTGGGCCAGAGTTCGGATGCGCCTGAAATTCAAAATTATATATGAAAATATCGTAAGTGCTTCAAATAAACGCGAATCCAAGGCAAAACTTCTCAAAGACATCGCAAATGCAAAATTTTCCTCAAAATCAAAAAGAAGGTCTTCAAAGGAATATCCGGCCTTTCATACAAAATGGTCCATGATGATTGGATTTTCCGAATCCACATCTGTTTATAAAGATCCAAAAAATCTCTGACGCACACCAATCCAAAGATCCCTTATAACTTTATTTCTCGGTCAAACTGACCACCGATACGAATAAAATCCGTTCCCGATCGCGGGGGATAGATTCACAGAACAGCGTTTTCCTTTCGTTCGCCTCATAGAGACGCATTTTAAAAATTGGGGAACCGAAGAGATTACGAACTTCATTATTATAGTTTACTCATCCAAACGGTAACCCCAAACATCAATCACAAAACCAGGCTTCTAAAACTACAGAAAAGGGTCCTTCCGACGTGTAATATCCGTGATGTACCCAAAAATGCAAAATGAAACAATAAAAAAGTCTATTCGCCCCAGTCAAATTGAAAAATTAAAATTCAATACGATTAATTCCCCAATTTTTGCATCAAAAAGTGAGAAATAAATAAACGTCACAAGGAATGTCGCTTTTCTGAATAGTTGGAGCCAGCGGGTGAGTCCACGTGGAGTCACACATCTAATCCAGAAATGGAGAGAACGAGAGATTAGTCAGCCGAACAAGCCGAAACGTTTTGGAAATTACAAGTCAAAACATTATTTGGCGAAACATCCCAAAAATATATATCATAAGAGCGCATTCTCATGGCTGTCTTCTTTCCCTAATGCAAATACCATCCTCTTTCCGGCCTTTAACCTCCTTTTAAGTTCCCTACACAAAAGAACCGAAAAGCTGAACCGAATAAAGGATGGATTGCATGTCCAAAAACGTAACTACACTAAAATTATGAAGCCTAAAGGAAACGGGAGACCTCCTTTCCTTCCGTTTTGCAAAAAAGTGAGAAGAACCGGTTTTGAGAAACGGAATGCTGTCCACACCCAAGAGTTTATTGTAAGCAAACATATTTTTTCTCGGAATATACAAAATCAGCTTATTTGGGCAGGAGAATGTGTCAAGAATCCAAAAGAGCCAAATAAAAAAAATTGGAAGAAGATTCCTTCAGCAAACCTTGCAATTGAATGAATACACCTTTTTAGGATATACACGTCAGTCTAATTTCGTTGTTCAAAGAACAGACTCGTGAAAATGCTTTAGGCAAAAACAACAAGGAATAAACGTCAAGAATTCCCATTAAAAATAACACTCCCTACAACTCTCAGTGCAATTAAGGAAATAATCTGCAACCCCGTTACACTTCGATTACTCACAATTTGGGCAATAACAGCAATAAAAGAGTAAACAAGCACCGGACATGAACCTCAAATAAACCTTAATTGCTCTTCTAAAACCAATGATGGACTAAAATAGCTAGGAAACAAAACACTTCATGGTGCATATCTTCCAGAAACGTCTGCTGGATCCTCTCGACGAAAACAGGTTCTCCTTGAATCCTTCCGCGATTCCTCACGCGCCCTCGTCGCGCCTCGAGATTTTTATTCACCGATCCCGAGAATAGAGCAAAAATCGGAACACCCACTCGAATTGTTTTTGAAAGCATTTACAAGCATTAATAAATCCCTTCCCTTCACAAAACTCATACAGGGAAGTTCAAAATTGTCAAAAAAAAAGAGGCTGTGAGATGCGTATCTACCAGAAATCTAAATTTTTACTGGAGCAGAAAAATATACGCCAAGAACGTAACAAGAACTCAAATAAAAAATATTCTTTTCAAGGAAGCGGGAATAGAAAAGGGCCTTTCACGAGTTCTCGAACCTTAATAAACCAATTTGCAAATTGCAATTTGACAAAAATTGCAATTTGCATTCCAGGTACAAAAGTGGTGTAAAAATAATAATTTTACAGAAACAAACCGATAGAAGTAACTCTGACGAAATAAATACATTCAGAAATGAAACTCAAACTTTCAAGGGAAAAAGAAATAAAAAAGGAGAGAGTTGACATGCAAGGAAAATGAGTCAAATCTCTCCCTATAGTCCGCAAATACGGTAAGCAGGGGTGGTCAGTGGGCCGGGCCGGCCCAAACGGGCCGGCCGGGCTCAAAAATGGAAAATTACAAACGGGCCGGGCCCGTCACGGGTCGGGCCGGGCCGCGGGCCTGGGATTTTTTCCGGCCCGGCCCGGCCCGTCTAAATTACAATGCCAAACCGTTGGCATTCATTGTTTTCGCGCCGGGAAAATTAATTGATGTTGTTATAGTTGCTGTTTCTCAAGTTCTAAAACGTTTACAAGTCTATAGTTCCATTATAAAACCACAAAACTATCACAGTGATCCTTTACTAGCTATGTCAACGCCTTTTTTGCCTAAGTTTAGATCCCAAGCTTGGGCGCAGTTCGCAGAACCCTCTATAAACGGGCCTGGAAAAAGACTAGACGGGCCGCGGGCCGAAAATCGGAAAAATAGGGTCCGCTGACCACCCCTGACGGTAAGTAGTAAGATTGCGCGTAAAAAACCCATGGAAGAACCAAGATGTCTGATGTTATTCGCAGGAGCTTCATAAATAAGTTACCCATAATTATGCTAATTATAATAGAAATGCGTCGGCCAAGTAAATGTTTTAGTGTAAATATTCAGCAGTTAGATGGGTGTAAAGAATTACTCATAGAAGCTAAAAAAAAACAACTTTGAGCCCACCACCTCCATTTTCCATCCTCACACCACCACAAGAATACACAAACACCCACTTGAAATTGGGCTCCGGATGAAAAATAGGGATAAGACAATCCTCACAGATTTGAAAAAGTTAGCTCTCGACGTTTGTAACCGGGATTTCGGGAAAACATAAACGTCCATGGGTATTATGAAGTTCTTGTTGAATTAATTTACTCATTTTATATTCTTTTTGACGCCTTGCAGTTGACAAGACCTTAGAATAACGTCAGCTAGATCAATCATAATATAATATAAAACATTTCTTTTTCGACTTCCTTGGCCACATGTTCAAGTTTTATGAAATCCTTCCCCATAAATAAAGTAAAAAATATCTTTTACGTTCCAAATCAAATAAAACATCGGTGTCCAACAAGCTGGCCCAAAGATGACCTTAACTTTTTTTTGGGGGCGTTGAAGGGCTGTTTTGTGAGTAAGGGTCAGATGAAAGAATCAATCAGCCATAAGTTGGTGCTCCTCTCTGAGGTCATGTGAATTTGGACTTGGGGCCTGATGAGCAGAGTTTGTAAAAACATTTTTATACGGCTGACATAAGGCAAATTGTTTGGATGAGATATATACAGACAAATTGTTCTTGTTTTTAATCCCGTTGTATTATTTACAGTTAGGCCTCAGATTACCTTGTGAAAACATTGCAGTGGGTGTTATGTCACCTTTTCTCTAATCTCGGTCAGCACTGTGCAGCACATTATTGGGTAACACTATAAATTGGTTGTTTTTGCTCACAAAGCTCATTTTCAATCTTTTTCTAGCGTAAAATTTGCTTGTCCATTATAAGTTGGATAATTTTAACGTCATGTCATGCACAGTTCGTGGCGTCCGAAATAATAATTGGCAGATATAATCCGAAGAACGGAGAGCAAGTCTCAGATCTCGTCCAGATCTTTTTTTTTTTGCTGAAATCAGAGGAGGTTAAAGAGGAGGGTGATCAGTCGGGGGAACGCAAAAAAAATCCAAGGGAACTCGGCCGCAGGGATTTGTCAGCAGTTTTCAATCGATTTTGTCCTGAGAATTTTCAAAATTTAAAACATTGGTCGGTTTTGGAGGACTCAGTTATCTACTATCTTCGTGTGGTTATCATTGCTGCAAATTTTGCTTTATTATTTATATTTTAGTGTTTTTGTTATTAAAAAGTAAGGCTCTGATTTTCAGATTCTCCAAAATGCTGCCTGAAAATGGCGGCGAGAACGGCACGGGTACATCGGGTCTACACAGTCCCTCAAAGTCGCCTCAACCTCCTGTAGAGAACAACGAACCCAAGACTAACGGCAGTGTAAACCCTTTAGAGAAGATCGAACAATTACTCACTTGTTCCATATGTTTGGACCGTTATAAGTAAGCGGTAATTTTGCAAGCTGTATTTTAGTAAGAAAGTATTGGTGGACGTATATTAGCCATTTTAGGATGCCAAAGTTACTTCCATGTCATCATACTTTTTGCCTTCCATGTCTGGAGAGTTATGCTGATACTGTACATCACAACCTTAAGTGTCCGGAATGTCGTTCCGAGCATGCGGTGCCATTTGAAGGAGCCAAGGCATTTCCCAACAACTTAACTTTGGCTAAATTCCTGGATATTCATCTGGAGGCCACAGATGACAATCAAGAACAGCTGGAGGCGTATATCCAAAGGTAATATAAATCAAATAAATTATTTTGAAGTATGCGAAAGGCATTTAAATTCTATTTCTTTAAGGTACAACATGGAACGTTGCAAAATTTGTGATGAAAAGGCGGAAGTCGAAGTTTGCGCACATTGCGATCGAAAGGCATGCAAAGATTGCCGGAAAGCTCATATGGAAATGGTTAAGCGTGATCTCAGTCGTCTTTTAAATCAAGTGAAACGACTCTCAAACCGCATAAAAGAAGCCAACGCATGTGTAAAGAAAGGAATCACATCCTTGAATGAGAACGTTGAAATCACCAGGAATGAAGTAAAAGATTACTTTCAACGATATCAGAATGAACTCAAGAAAAGAGAAGAGCATTTCCTAAATGAAGTATTACTTTACGAAGAGAACGAGACAAGGGTAATGAGGACATTGGGAGAACGGTTGGACGCAGAAGAATCGAATCTAACAGACGCCTGTAGTTGGGTGGAAAATGTTTTGGGAGGTGAACTTGAAGCGAAGGAGGATGAGCTTTGCAAATTCAAACAGAGTTTTGCAGACGGAATTGAATATCTCAGGAATTTCCAGGTAAGTTATGGTGGGGTAACGATCCACGCAAGTCCTAATAATTTTGCGAAAGCACATCTCCTCTGCCGCCCTTCGGCCTGTTTCAACAAGACTTATATCCCCGCTGTACCGTTACATTTATCGTTTTGAGCCGTCAAGAAAAACTTTCCAATTGTATTGAATTGTTGCCATTTGTCTAACTAACTTTTATTTTTAGCCAGATTCTGATGAATTGTTTTCCAAGAAGATCCGCTTCTCCCCTGGTGACGATGCCTCCAAATTACCTCAAGCCATCTGTAATTTCGGAGAGCTTACCGTATATATGCCTCAGTTTGCTGGTCGTTATCTTCCCATGGAACAGCAATATCTCCCACGTCCTCTCAGAATGGGAATGGAAAGTGATTCGTATCGAACCAGTTTGAGAACGAGGGAGGAAGAACGGCAGTCTAAGTGAGTTCTTCACTTGTATTAGGACCTATCTCTGTAATCATAATATAACGGGCCGGTGACTTTTATGTCTGTTTGTCCGCTTTCTTTGTTTGTGGTGACATCCATTTTCATGTCGCAGTATTACGCACTTGCTTTTCCTTATTACTTTCTTCCAGTTCAAATTTTACCCTGTTGTATCTATCCGGTTATTTTAGTCACTTTCAAATTGTATACGGTTGACTTCAATAAATTCACAGATCTTTTTTGATTGTTTTCTTGAATCACTGGTCCGTTCAAACCACGTAAAACTGAATTATTTTGCACATTTTTTAATTGTAGATATGGAGACGAGAAGTCATCAAGTTCTAAGGCTTATCGACGTCGGCACACTCATGGTGACGACGAATGGGCTGCTATTCGTGCAGATCGGCTGAGAAGAGGAGCCGATTCTGGAAGAAGCTCCCCTAATCACACGCCATCTCCATTTTCTAAGTCACCGTTCTTGTCGCCAGCTCAAGTGACAGAACAATGTGAAGCAGCAGCCTTGACAGCTGCATCCAGATCTCCGGAACTTCTGAATGTTGAGGACGCTCGTCCAGCTTCTGTCAGTCCAACAATAACACCACCAGCAAACAGACGTGTTCGACGTGCTGTCCGAGATCGTTCCTCATTCTTGGTTGATGAAGTACTTCTCTCATCAAACAGAGGATTGTCTCCCCGAGAAGCCTTTATGCAAGCTGTTGAGAAACAAACTACCCCAACAGTAACTCTGAATGATGGGTCAAGTGATATCAATTCAAGCAAACCTCCATTACCTCGACAAAGTGAGAGCAAAGATGAGGACAGTCTGAACGCCAAGGTAGAAAAGATTGTTGAGGCCGCTCATCAACGGTCTGCGGCTTCGAGTTCTTCTAATCTTAACAACGGTAAGACGTTGTCTTTGCTTCAGTTACAATCATGGGTTTTTTAACAAGTTTTATACTGGATGCTTAACATTTTAATGACATTGCTTGCTCTTCTTCCAGAACAACGAAATGAAATTGTTTCCACTAACGAGATCTCAACACCAGTACAACGGCGGCAAAAGTTTAGAATAATATGCCGTTCCTCATCTCAGAATCCGGCCCGTCATTCGTTGGATTTAACCAAAGTTGGGGACCAGGAAAACGGTAGGGAAGACGGGGTGGCGAATGGCGTTGTGCTGATTGTGGGCGGAGGCGACGGAAAGGAGGACGAGAAGCCGCCGGCACCACGCCGACGGTCGATTGTAGGCCTTACCCTGCCCGCACCCGGTCAGAAATACGTTCCCGTAAGCATGGTTGCCCGTCCCATTCGGCCCAGTAATTCCACCGACGTTGAGGATAATGAGGAAACGGAGTCACCGAAACCGCCGCCCCGGCCCCATTCAAGCACCGGCTTCGCGGATGAGATGAAGAACGCCACGGTCATTCCTATATCTTTCTTTCCAGGTGAGCCCACCCTCGCTTTCGACGAGCCCATGCCGACGACGCGACCTCGCCGTCTTTTTGGAATGTCTGTTGCCGATGATTCTACAGAGAATGAAAACACGAACACTAATGGAGTTGAGGATAATAATAATGCCGGTCCAGCAGTTCCAAGTCGTTGGATGCTTCGCCGTAGGGAGAAAATGCTTCGATCCAGGACAAATCCAGATGTTTTTGGAAGTCTGGACCCTCTCGAAAGAAGACGTCTTATTTCCGAGGCTAATTCTCGCCATACTTTCGACAGACCCATGGATGATCCTGAAACTGAACCTGCTGTGACATCCCCCAGTTACCGACGTCAACGTTTCTTCATTAGCGATGAGAACGAGGACATTATGCTTCCATCCACATCGGCTTCGTCGTCGCGTCGTCGGCATGAATCGGTGTCACGCCGAGTGCAGGAGTTGCTCAACGATAAAGAGTTGAAAGAGTTGCTTGCAGATTCAACCAAGACAGTTCCGTCAATAACTTCCCCAACGATCAAGAACACATTCTTTACAAAGGATCCGGATACTCCGAGCACTCCAACTGAGAGAAGGTCGAGATTTACTCGACGAACTTCGTCTACAAGGTTGTCATTGGAAGCAACACCTTTTATTGACTATTCTTCAATGGCGAAGCCAAAAGTGGTTTTTGGGCAGAAGGGCGATAAAGCCGGCGAATTGAATTGGCCTCGAGGCATTGCGACTTTGGGTGGAGGGATCTTTGCAGTCGCTGACTCCTCTAATCACCGAATTCAAATATTCGATGAAGACGGGATACTGAAAAGGGTAAACTACGAAGCTGTTTTCCCTCTGAGAAAATGGCACCACCCTTTTTCTTTTTTGAAATTGGTATACTATTTTAGAAATTTGGTACGTATGGAGCTATGGAGGGTCAATTGGATAGCTGTGCAGCTGTAGCCTACAATCGCATAAGCAAGCACTTGGTCGTATCAGACCGTTACAACCATCGGATACAACTATTCGACCTGGATGGAAGATATGTCAGGATGTTTGGAGGGCCTGGAAAAGAGAATGGAAACTTCAACAACCCTTGGGGAGTAGCCATTGATAATTTGGGTATGATCTACGTCTGTGATAAAGATAATCATCGTGTACAGGTAGGCGATAAATAAAACGTCTTGATGGTTCTAGATATTCGACAAGAATGGAACTTTTATGCAAAAATTTGGCAGTAAAGGAGATGACATTGGCCAGTTCAACCATCCGTTATTTATCGCCATTCACAGCAAAACCCAAAATCTGTTTGTTAGCGACAGCGCTAATCATCGGATTTGTGTGATGGATCATAATGGAGGCCCTATTTTAACATTCGGGGCTGAAGGATTTAGTGTTGGTCAACTAAAATTACCCCGAGGCATTGTGATCGATGAGCAGGTAGATTCTTATTTATTAATTTATACGGGTTCAGGGCTTTGTGGTAGTGGCTGACAGTGGAAATAACCGAGTCCAAGTATTTTCTCCCGACGGAAAATTTGTTCACGGTTTTGGAGTTTGGGGTACAGCGTCTGGCCAGTTCAAGGGCCTGGAAGGCGTGGCCTTACTGGATAGAAGGATCGTGGTTTCGGACCGAGAAAACCATCGGATTCAGATCTTTTAGTGCAACAACTTGTTGAGTTTATACTCGGTGACATAAATTAAACCCGAGTAAACCATTTATCAAACATTTTGTTTAACAACTACATGTTTGAAAGAGTTTATTACGATTGTACTTTTAAGTGTGTTTTAACAAGAGACACTGAGTAAGACGAGAGGATTATGTTACGGATCACCAGGATATAATACAAGAATGAGGTTCGGAAAGATCTTTGGAATAGAATACTGTAATGTGGATTGGCAAGGGTTGTGTTAAAGGACGATTAAGTTTCTACCTACATTATCTAAAACGTGGTTAAGCAGAGACGTTACTAAAGTCAAGTTTGTTTCCACCCTGAACTCCGACATTATTTGTATCTGAGACACTCGGAATATGATTGTGGTCGTGATGGTCACTCCGCGAATTATTGTAAATACCCAGTAGCATCTCTCGTGCCAATGGTGAGAAACAAACTTGCTCGAAGAAGTCCGCCACAACCACGGTTTCTTTCATTTCAACGGCCAATGTAGCAATAGAAGGACCTAATAAAAGGACCTTTCCATATCGATGGGAACCTCTTTCTGGCCCATAAGTGTTCAACATGTATCTGTAAAGAGAGTCGGCAAGTTGATGACGAGCGCTGGAAATCATTTCACGAGCCTCGGGTGTTGAGATGTCATCTGCATCTGGAAGTAGAACATAAGTGTTACAGTGTTTTCGGATTAACGAAGCTTGTTTTGTAAGCCTTTCTGTGATTATTATATTATAGATCACAGACATACCCGGATTCAAGAAAAAGATCCCTTTTATTGCCGCAAATTCATTCATGTCGATTTTCAGATCCCGCATTGGTTTCATAAGGTAATCGAACACTCGTAATTTCTTTCTGTGGAATCCTGGTGGCCTATAAAGGATATAAGTTAAAGTTTGCGTATTTACTTACCTTGTGTCATCTGGATTTCTGTCACAATAAGTTCCGTTTGGGAAAACTAAAATATCAGGGCCTTTATCGATGCTATAGAAACATTGGATGAGTGAAGGATGTGTAATTGCTGAGTGGTGAAGAAGGGCCAGCTAAAATTTTAAGATTTAGTTTCCGCATCTGACTGGAGAGTACTGTAAAAATCAACGCGTACTTGATCACTGGCATCTAATCTGTTATAGACTTTTATTGTTTTTGCCCATTCTGTCATAATCGACCAATCTTTTTCATGGCAATCTGCATGATCCATTGCTACTGCTGGTCGGATGGCATCGCTGATTTTTGGGTTCTAAAAAGGGAATAATGTTGGGTTTGTATTATAGATTTTGCCTTTGCTTACCATATCCAGATTTCTGATGAACTCGGGATTGTGGAAGATTGAAGGTACAAGTAACGAATGAACAATTGATTTTGATATAATGTAATCAGAATTTCTAGAAAAAAAGTAATTTAATTGTTTTCAAGTGTTACCTCAACGGATTAATATATTTCTCGACTCTGCAGAGGTCGTTGAAGATTTCATCTTCGTAATTTCCTTCCAGTTTCGGTTGTGACAAAATTGGACTAACAATATTAAGTGGACTAGAAGATCCTGGATTTGAAATGGATGGAGATGAGATGTCAATTTGTTTTACAGGCGGATACCGTCTTGTTCTTTTTGTGTATCCGATAGGATCTCGGTTTTGTTGAATGGCATCCCTTCGCATTCCCACGGCCAAGCACTTGTTGAAACGACAATGGCGGCATGCACATCGGACGCCTATAATTGATTTTATAGTTCATGCTTGCATATGGTGAGTTAGTTGACGTGAAGCAAGGGCAAGACTTACTTTTGTCGATAAGACAGTTACCATCATAGTGACATGTGAATTTTTGGTTTTTCATGATCGTCCGACGAAAGAAGGTCTTGCTGAAAGGCACATTTATACTGTAATGTTCAGCAGAGACCTTGTTTATTACGCGTATTAAAGGATTCACTTACCATCCGTTACAACTTGGGGTTCCATAATGGTAACCAGTGGAGACATCGTTGCAGACCAAGCATAACTCTTCTCCTTGAGGTGAATTTGTGTTGGAGCTCCCACATGCGGATGACTGTTCCATGTAATAGCTAGAATAATCCTGTTGAAACATGTCTTGATTATAATATTGTGGATTCATTGTGCTCTCAGGAAGCGACAATTCTCGCTTACACAGCTTCGGCACAAAATGTCGCTTTTATATCGCGCTAGGGTCACGTTTCCTGCGATCCAAAGCGAGCTTGATAAGGGACGCTGCGTTAAGTTCTGCATACGCAAAGGACGCTATTGACGTCATAGATTGTCTTGGGGATAGATAACCAAGACAGAAGGTTGTAGATAAATGACCACAAAAACCCGATGAATTCATCTTGCAGGGGTATAAAAGAAAGGGTTTCATAAGGTTTGCGAATAACAAGGAATTTCAGATAACGAGAAAAGCTAAATAAGTTCAGCTTTTCTATTAGGTGTAAAGTGCTACGAAACTTACAATTTAGCCTACTACTAAATAAAAGCCCGGCATATTAGAGGGTTTGCTATGTCAAACGATACAAAAACACAAGAGAAGCCATTTTAGGTCATCATGATCCTTCTATAACGAAAAAATCTCGAATCTCCTTTGGCAGTGAAGTCATAAAATGCGATCGATAAAGGTCAGGGGTCGAAAAAGTTGTTGTTGGTTGTTGAAAATAAAATTTCTTTTCAAAACCCTGCGTTTTCCCCTAAAAACGACCTTTTTGGAAATTTCTTTCATCTTGTGGTGAAAACGTTAGCCATAGGGCTGCGCTCACTCAAAGCACAACACGTCAAAAATACTTTTGAACTGAATTCGCTTAACCCAAAACTCTAAAAATTACGCTCTGAAAAAGGAGTGTAAGCGAGCGGGAAGTCAGGCTGTAAACACCCGAGATATTTCGTTTCCCCGGATTATTTTGCAATTTAAGATGGTTGACCGAAGATCCTTCTGCACTACCCTCAGCTCTTATTCTTTCCTTTCTGGGCGTGACAGTAGGTTATTTACAAAACAAAAGTACTCATGTCATACTGAGCCTGCCAATGCAAAAAATGGAGCATTTACCGAAAACAATATTCAAATCTTTTGCTTAAGGCATCAGAATTTGATGCATCGACCTTTAGGGCCTTAGATCAGATACGTTTATGTAGTTTATGCAGTGCGCTAAGGTTCTAAATTATCCAAGTAAAATAAATTTCAAATTTTGTAGTCCAAACAGAGTACGGTAGGCCTCGCAGCTATGCAATCATATAGAAAAAGACATAATTTTGCAATAGCGACTTCAGTTTTTTTAAACGTCCATGTTTTCCGCTACGGAATGCAATGAGAAAGCCCCGAGTCAATTTTATATAAGGATTAATGCTGTTCATATGAAATACTATCTTAAAAGTACAAAACGACACTATAGGGATAAAGTCAAATGCAATTAAATAGATTTTAAGACAAAGTCATCAAATCAACGATAATTTACATGTAGTCTCGAGGGCTTATATTTCTGTACAAAGAAATGGAAAAGAGGAATAAACTAATACAATTCTGGGAGTAACTTACACAAAAATGTAATAGCTGAGAAAATGTGCAAAACTTAGTATGTAAGCCTAACGCGTTAAGCACGCAGAAAGAAGCATTACCGAGAAATGAGAGACTATTGTCAAACGTGATCAAACCCGAGGATTCCCAAAAAACGACTCTATCATCTCTGATATACTCTCGCCCAAAAGTAGAGCGTCGCTGGGTCTCGTGTGGGTTGTAAGAACCAGCTCGCTCTCTCTCTATCTTCCCCATGTGTACCTTCTTCTTCCCCTTCTTTCTTTTCTCGCTCTGATATCGAAAATAAAAGGGGGTTTCCCTTTTTGAAAACTGTTTTCTTTCCGATCATTGATTTGTAAGAGCGAATTTCTAGCCTAAAATGAGGGTGTAACAGACAAATTAAGTAGTCTAGAAGTCCAAGTGATGGCCGACTAACCAGTGCGCGGTTAACCAAAACTTGAAGAAATGTGATTTTCTCGGCGAAACAGCGGGATTTACTGAAAGATTTCCAGTCTCTCTGAATTGCGACTTGAGGCATAGTGAAGCGATGGTTTTTAAACTGTATCATTTACGTAAAAATATGAAAGTAATAAAATCCAGTGGCAGCGATGACAGAGTGGGTTGTGATGACGACTAGCGCTCTGAAATAGCTTTCAAACAGATTGGAAAGTGAACATTGACAGGTCTTTTGAAGGGGTTTTGGCTATCACTTTCTTCCTCCAACTATAGTCTACTCTTATCATCTCCACAAAAAGTACTTGGATGAATGACAAAACTCTAGTAAGAGTATAAACATGACCGGTAAGATCAACGCCACTTAATCCCGCAAATGCACGTACTCCCACTCCCCGTTCCATGTAATGCAAAAGGGTATTTACTAACCGCCCCGACTGAGATTTGATCATTAAAAGTGTGAAGAGAAAAACAGGAAAAAGAATTTATTAAAAGTACAATCAACAAGTAAAAGAGTGGAAAGTATAACTTTAAAATGCCCGTTTTTCTGATATGAACATATGATTGTAGATTCTGATGATAAAAAGTAAGTGAATACGTTTGGCTGTAACATCAATAATACAACGATAAGTACACTTGAGGAAGTATGAAATGACGTAAGGGAACCTAAGGCAAATAATGAGTGATATGACGGTAAGAAAACCTGAAAATGTAATTTGCTCGCTGTTGGTTGAATCTCTTTCGACGCCGCTTTTGGCAGCAACAACTTTACAGAAAATATTCTTTTAGGCTTTGGAAAAGTGGACAAAAAAGTAAAATCATCTTTGTCTTCGTCTCATAAATGTAGGCAAGAACCTGCGGAAGTCTGTTTTGTTTGGACTTTCGGCCTTTTCTCCCTCATTTGGAGGCTCCAACACTGCCAATTGACTTTGCGATAAATGACACAGAGCTGACGCAACGGCCAGACCTGAGGTCCCATACGGAGTGTGAAGTTTGCCACCGGTTGGTAGTCTCACAACGACAGTGTATATTGCGGTATTTAGATTTTTACAGGGCTCAATCGCAATTGGTGTTGGTTGCTGAAAAAAAAACAATTTCCAAAAAGGAATTCAAATATATACATATAGATCTCATGAAGTGTAATCTAGGACTCACAACGTTTTGTCTGACTTCCGGAAGATGCAGTTGAACTGATTTCTTTGGCCGAGCGGCCATTCGCTCATTTTCAATGATGATATTCGCCTCTTGACCAGCATTTCGTATCCTTTGTTTGATGAGCAAAAGAATGCCGGCAACCACAAGCAGAACTATGAAGCATCTGAAAAATAAGTTTCATTTATAAACACGTTCAGACATCTTAAAGATACGACAAATACCCAATCAACGCGTAGCGATAACTTACGCCGCAAAGATGACAAAGAAAAGGACCCAATTAATGGGCGGGGACTGAGCGAATGAGATCTGAATTTTGATTGGGGTCTTGAAGTTGGATATCGACACGCCGAATGTGGTGTTTGAGCCGGCTCCAAAATGGAAATCGTTGGCCGAATACGTTCGTTTCAGCCCTTCAGCAACACAACTATCGTTGTAGAGAGTTCGTTTAGTGCTGTTCTCTGGTTTGTTGTAGTAGAGGTCGACTAGAAGAGTAGCATTACTGTCACCCTCACAACTGGCAGTGAACTGAACGTCGATATCTCGTTTGAAGGGGATTGACTTGAAATGGATCCGCTTAACGTACTTGTCCTTAGGATCGTCGGCGTCAAGTTTGAAGGTGTAGATGAAATCAATTAGGAGCTCAACTGAAAAAATACAATCTAATATAAAAAACACACAACTCTGGACTACTCTAAATTAAATAACGGTCAGACAGGCCATTTAACCGGACATTAAAAATACGGAGTGGTACATAAGCTTTAAAGTAGGTGGCTCTTGCGCCTTTAATCGCTTTAGCTAACAAGTATAACCATTGCGTAAACCTTCAAAATAGTGTTCGAAACGTTTACTCACAAGCACAAGGAGTTCCATGTTTGGGATCTCCGTGATATTTGAAGTCACACTGGTCACACGCCTTGTCCGTAGCGCCTTTGACAATACAATTACAGGTGCCATCTTCATCGCAAGTTTCTGCTTGATCATTGCACATGCATTCTTAAAAAATTATGTCATGTCTTTGAAGTAGAAAATAGGCAAGATGTTCTCCTTATCAAAGAACTTACTTTTACAAACCCCTCCGTTTCTCGGATCTCCATAATACCCATCTTCACAGAATTCACAATGATCTCCTTTAGTGTTGTTACTACAAGACGCACATCTTTTCAAAGTGTGTGCCTCATTCAGCAGAACAACATCCATAAAGGCTGGTTTATGAGTTGAATCCACACATGTAGAATGACCATTGCATTGGCACTCGGGCTGACCAGTAAAATAGAATTTCTTCCCCTCTGCCGGATTGCACTGCTTTTCATTCACAGGTTGTTTGTCGTTCTTTGCCTCCAGACATTCTCCAATCCCAGTGCCATCTCCACTATCACACCAACCACACCGAGGGCCCACTAACTGACAATCGGTTGCATTCCTTTGTGCACTACAATCCAAAGGATTCAATTCACAGCTTCGCTGATGATTATTGTTAGAGGTAACCCAGGACTGGCACTGCCCATAGGGTAAGTTGACCATGTAGGTATCCATTGCAATACATCTTGGAACAGTCGGACACCACATACAGTTGTTATCCACACACTTCTTACAATCTCGATAATCAGAACAAGGAGCAGAACAATTTGAATACTGAGAGATTCCAAATCGTTGTTCATGGAAAGAGTTGTAATGGGGGAAGGGCAACCCTCCTTTTCGAGATTTTACCGAAGAAACAGATTCGGTGTGTCCAACCGTAAAACTATTATATCTATCGGAATATCGCCGAAGCTGTTCTGTTATCATCATAGCTTGCTCTGCCCTCGAAACGCACTTCTCATCCATCCAAGCGCAATTATAAGCATGACAAGAGAAACAGTTAGAGTTCATACTGCAAGGTCTTTTCTCCTTCTCTACGGGAGTTGAGGCTTTGACCATCAAAGGAGTTGAACACATTCTTTGATCAGTCTGCAGTTCATCTAGACAAACGGAACTTGTTGTCTGGCATTGTTCGGTAGACGAACACCATCCGCAAGTTGGTCGAGAAACGCATTTCGTGCAATCTTTGATAAAAGAACACATCTCTTCCTCCAATTGAAGGGAATTCTCCGAATCTGGGCAGGTTACTGCTTGTATTCTCGGAGAATTACTCTTGATGAATTGGGCAAAAGGCTGAAGATAGGAGACATCACTTTTCAGTCTCTGGCATTTCTTTCCACTCATCGAACAACGGATTCCTTTGGCAATATTATAACATTCAGAGACTGATGAGGCCTCGGAACTACAATCTTCTAAAAGAAAAAAATAAATAAAATCAAGATTGTAAACCAAAATAAATTTTAAATCCATTTCAACTCCACTTACTAGCTAATGTCAACACCAGGATATCATTCTTCATCAACCCGTCGAAGCCTCCAATAACATAAACTTTAGTCACCTTTTGATCGCCCTCTTCTACATCCACCGTCACTGCTGCATGGCCATACCGGTAAGTGCTTTCGGGCTCATCTAACTTCATCTCATCCCACTTTTTGCAGGTTGTGTCGTATATCAAAAGTGAAGAACGATCCCCATTTTCATGAGCTTGAGAATCACCAGGAGAATTTCCACCGAAAGAAATCATCATACCGTCAACCAGAACAGAACTGTGCCGAAATCTTGGAGAATCAAAAGACGGCAGAATTGTCCTAAATAGGAATAGAAGAAAGAATCTTGCCTTACCATGCATCGCTTTGAACATTATAACTGAGGAACTCATCTGTCACCGAAGATGCTCCATTAGGGACATGAAGAGAGCCTCCAAGGACAAGGATCTGAGCATTTTTACCATCAGAGGATGTTAGTAACACCGACGAATGACCGAACCGACCGATAACTTTAGGATCAACGCCTCCTTTTTCCATCGGATTGGCCCATGACTTATCCTCTAAAAAAAGAATATTTCTATACATATTTGATTCAGAAATCAAGTAAAATGCTTTTTGTAAACTCACTCAGATCGCAAATCTGAACATAAGGAAGATATCCATGATATGGGTTATATCCAAAGACAATGTACATTTTATCCCCATAAACATGAGCCGTATGACCAGCCACAGCATAAGGAGCGCTATCAGGATTCGACCGATAGTCACCGAACTTGTACCAACGATTGCTTTTGATCTCATACTGCCATAACTCATTTGTTATGTTGGTGCCGTACGTACCATCGGAAACAACTCCACCAAAGATAAAAAAACTGCCCTAAAAAGAGATGAGAAATCCAAACATTAAACTTGCCGCGTAATAAACCATGCTGTGATCAGATCTCATAAGCGGTTTATCTCCTTCAGGGTTAAGAGCGGTATACTTTTCGGTCTTCGAATCAAATTTGACAAGATCAACAACGCCGTGTTTGGAAAAGGTGTATCCCCCGCATATGTAGATGACTCCATCCACATTCACCGCTGTATGAGATGCTCGTGGATGGAAGATGTTTTTGTTTGCCTCTGTAATGACTAGTCGATCCCATACCGGCTCTGTTTTTATCGCCTAAAGTCCAAACATCAACAATATAAAGTTCGGTTACCTGGCAAAATTGACCATGTCTATTGGGAGGACAAGAACAAACTCCATCTATACAACTTCCACCGTTTAAACAAGGATTGTGATTTTTATGGCAAAAAGACTGCTCGCATGCTTGTCCAGAATGCCCATCATTACACTTGCAAACCCCTCTATCACAAGTTCCATGTCCGGAACAATTGTATAAACAGGTGTTATACTTGTACCTAATGGAGAAACCGGGATGATTTATAGCAATATCACTGGTAAAGTAAAGAATCGCTTTCCCGGACGGCACAATCAGCTGTCGGCCTTTCTGTTTTCCGCTAAAAAATAAATTATACTTTCAAAAATCATACTTAATCTTACAAAGGAAAAATTAATCGTCAAACTGGCCTACCTGAGAGCAGCAATTAGATTATCGTCGGCGAAGTTCCCATCGTAAATGTACAAATGATCCCAATAATTTTCTGTTTCGAATTCGAGAAACTCCAAATGCAATGACCCATTCACAGTACCATCGATCAGCCATAAACAATTTGCACTGGGCGGATATTTGCCCAAGCTGCTAGTGATATTCCCTTCGGTATTATTCAACCTAAATGGTCTCTAATAACATGAAAAATGACTTACTGTACCCTTCCAGAACAATATTCACATCTTGTCCCCGCCAATCCTAATGGACAAATACATTTTCCGTTTTCACAACTTCCGGGATAACATGAATGGTCACACGATTTGAAAGGTGACGAGATTGCCGGTTTGTGCGATTGCAAAGCGGAAAAAGTTGGCTCGAAGAAGAGGGAAGTCAGACCAACGATAAATAAAATGGTCGTTAGAGGTCGTGTACAGGTCGATCTTCTTGATTGTCTTGATATGAGATGGGTACAATGAGGTGAATGATATGTAAAAGACCCCAACGAGTTTGTAAAATCCAAATTCTCATTCTTAAGGCAATCACACGTTTGAAAATGGCTATGATGAACAGAACGGTCGTCATAAATGTCGTCATCCGTACTCCGACTTGAAGTTGGAACCTCCAGCTCTAACTCAACGTCAGATTGCTCTTCCTGATTACATTTAGAACATCTACTTCCTGCATCTGACGTAACTTCATCCCGTCTCATCGACGACGACCCCACGGCAATCGGTCGCCACATTTCATCGTCGCGCATGAAATAAAAGATTCGAACGCCCCGCGGCGCATCAGCAGCGGCGTTCTGCCCCCTCCCTTCCTTCTTTGATCTTGGTCGATTTCTTTCTTCGTGGGCTCCCGTTAGTAAGTGAAGAAACCCGACGTGTTTTTTTCGATACCGTCCTCGCTGGAAATAAGCGGCAATGATCCGTGATGACGTCAGATTTTCATGGGTCCGGCCTGGAAGTTTTGGTCTGATAGCCTTACTTTTCAAATTAGAAAATAACGCCGAAAAAGCAAACGTGTTTTTCATACGATGACTAAAACATGTCCCAGACAATGTTACAATATCAAACGGAAAGGAACGTTTCCCAAATGAAAATAATTCTCTAACCTCTAATAAGTAACACCTTTCTTGTTCTCGCGTCAAGCCAATACAAAAAAAAATTCATCTGCAAAAAAGAAAGCAGAGGTGAACACCTACTGAACGCGGGGACGATTCAATCAGATCACTCAATGTGTTTTCAACCCGAAAGCTTTATTATTTTGGTCTAGTAAGTACAAAGCTGTAAGTAATTGGCGGATCAGCCTGTAGAAAAAGTATTATGGTTTTGTTAAAGTTTTCGAGGAAATGAGTCAGCGAGATCTTTTAAACGGCTCTATTCAACAAAGGTATTACTGTAGCTATTGCGGAAACTCTGAGTAATCGTCATTGGCAGAGATGTGTGACTAACTCAAACTAATGAAGATAATTCAACCCAAGGAGGTGCGCATGCCAGAGCGTAAAATGCAGCGCAGACGGAATTGACACAAATATAAACGCAAACAACTTCCAATTCCATGATGAATGAGAAAACAAACTTTCAAGTTTGCCAAAATATTAATAAAGCAAATTTCAAATAAAATAAAACCCCTTGAAGAATGTGCCCAACACCTCGTTTCTTCGATAACAATACCGATACAGTTCATGTTCATGTCCAGTCCTTCAATTCTCCCCCTCAGCGAATTCGATTCAAATTTCAGAGCCCAACGGGTTTGGAAACGGACGAGAGAAGAGTGCGCAAAGGGAGTGTTCTGCTGAAACTCTCCTTTGATCCTACGATCTTTCCAGGTAATGAAGGTCGAACACAAATTAGATGGAAGGAAAGCGAAGAAAAATATACAGAAGAAGTGCGTGGCGAGGAAATGTACACTAACTGGTAAAGTAGATCGTAAAGAGAAGATGCGGAGAAATTATGGATTCGCAAATTACAACGAACCAACAAACTTGTATGACTTCTGAAATACGATAAACCCTAAAAACCTAAACAATTAGCCATCGTCCGTCTCAAAATCTTAGACCGCTATCTACCGGCACTCATCTTTCACACAAATCCTTCCTTCAAAGGCCTCCTTCCGACCTCTATTTATCTCAAATACCTGAGAGTGTTGTTTACATTGGCAAAGCGCCGGAAACAACACTTCGATAGCCAAGCTCCACATAGTCTTGTAATGTTCACAATTCTAATAAGAAATGGTTGCGCTCAAACGAAGACTAACAAGACGACAAGGAGGACCTTTTGTAGACGATCGTGAAGATTTCAAGAGTAGAAGATCAAACAAAGGAAGTGACCAGCATGACGTTACATCCGGCCGAGTGTAATGCAAGGCTTAGTGCATCCCGATTTCTATATTTACATGAAAAACATAGCAAATCTTGCGCCTCAAATGTTTTCCTGGAACAGTTACATCGCCTAAAGCCAAAGCGTAAACAAATTATCAATTCCAAATTAATTTAGCCATCAGATTCCCATTTGTGTTTTCTGCTCCAAATGTCATCATTATGACGTTTACATCCACGTCCCTATTTTAATTTTTTCGGATTGCATTTGGCCGAGTCTTTTTCTCTCCTTTGCCAAAAAGAGCCAAATGGCTTCTGCAGTGGCTGCCATTCTTTTTTCCCTTCCAGCGGCATCAGTGCGGTTGGCCATATATGGCCGTAGGCATCCGAATTTAAAGGAATTTCGGGGATTTTTGAGAGAAATAAGGCTGCGACCATTGAAATCCGCTCGGATGTAAAACGGCACTACCAAAATGTTAATCCATTTTGTATTGGCATTTAGGGACTTAAAAATTTTGTTTTAGAAGAGTGAAAGGAGGCCCCAAAAAGCATTTTAGCTTCTTTTTATGTTGCCTTGTACCAAAAACCTTCACTGCAATTAAGAAGTCGGATATCCCATTATTTTGCTAGTTTTAATTATAATAACATTCATCTGACGTCACCACTACTCTCTTTTTTCTTATTCTCCACTCCAGATTTATCCGTTTACAAGATTATTCTCTCCCCGAACGTTTCCCCGTGTTTTCTCTCTTCTCCCTTATCAAAATAGAGCGGCACTGAAGCCGGGCCCTTTTCCTTTTGGGTTCCAACGTGGCCATTTGGGTTTGGCCCTGTGAAAACGGCACGGGGAAATGAGTGAAGAGAGAAAAGGAGGGGCGCGCGAGCAGGGGAGACTTGGAATTCGACTAATCGTTACTCTGCCATTGCAATGCAAAATCTCTGGACATTTTATGAGGCCATGTTTAAAATTCTATAAACATGCCTCGACCGGACTCACAATGACCCTACTCACAAATTACATTACCCTTGCTCTTCTAAACAAGTAATGACTTTTCCAGTTCGAGCCTATCCCCTCTGTTTTCTGTACTCTTTTCTTCCTTCAAATATCCTACACAGCTTTCGGCAATCTTCTGCGACAAATGACTCAATGATTTGATAAAAGATAATATTATTTCGCTCATCATAACCGAGTTCTAAAGCCAACGTATGTTTGGTTCCGTTATTTTTCTCGCGACGCGCAGACTAACTGGTTCAAGAGCTTGTTTTCGATGTTCAAGAAAACGGCTGTCATCAATAGAGGGGCATCTGAATAAGTTTTTTTGTGCAGCGCTAATTGAGGATATTCAGTAATGTAAATAACAGTTTCCGTTATTCCTTTAGTAGGAATTCTTCTCTATGATAACTTTGACCGTCAGCTAGCCTCTTTTCAAGTCAAGAACTTGAAAGATCAAGTGTTACTTGGGGCTTTTTAAGATTGTAAAAACTGTCACTAAAGTTTGGTTGCTAAGTTACTCGTGCGTTCCAATGTAATCGGTTTTGAAAAGATGAAACCTGACCATTCATCATATTCCGTTTAAAAACACCTGCTCAACAAACTCTCCCATCTCTCCCCGACTTTTTATATTATAATATAAGTTATGCCCACTTCAAAGGGGAGCATAATTCAAACCAGGCCCATAGCAATACAGCTGCTGACCAAGGCAAAAAAATAAGCGTAGACAATAGAATTGATCCTAGAATGCCTTTTGTAGTAAAGCTACACGACGGAAGTAAAGTTGTTAAATTAAGTTCTCATGTTATTAGAAGAAAATATCTCAAAACCTTGTCAAGAAGAGGAAAAAACAAAGGACACCTTTTTTTGAATAAACGTAGCCCCCAAAATAATTTCACACGCGATAATTCGGAACGCCCCTCACGCCAAACCCCCAAACTCGACCTTATATTGACCTGACCACTTACAATTTTTCGTAAAATCCGCGAAAAATCAATAAAAAATCGCGTTTTTTTTCTTCAGCGCGCTGAAGACGGAGGCGAAAAAATTGCGGCTCGATCTTGTTCTCAACTCTTTTCGTCTTCCCTCAGCCCTCCGTATCCTTCAACCACCAAAAATCCTCTCTCACCATTAGTTTTTGTGGTTCTGGGAGTTTTTTCCGAGTTTTCCATCGAAAATTCCGAAGTAACGGGACTGAACCTGAGATGGGAGTGCCCACAAATTACTCATATCGACTTGGAACGACGTCAAAAGAGTTTAGAATCGATGTGACGCTCTCTTCCGTGTTATCAAAGACGATTTTTTTACTTTCGGGGGTGGTTTGGAAGCTTGGTGGTTTCCGAGTTCTTCTTGCATGTATAATTTCAGGTTATGTGAAGGAGCCGGATATTCATTGTTTTATTTCCGTTTTTAAGTTATGTGTTATGTGTGTTTTTCTGTTTTACTCATGTGATGGGTTGAGTAATTCGGTTGAAATTTAGCTCCTGATTTTAGGTACCTAATTCCTGCTGCACCACTGGTTGCCATTTCTGCCTGTTCCTATTGATGAGCCAGTTTAGAGTCGATTTCTTTATGTTTTAGTAACATCATCCCTCACTGCGCTAATTGATTTCGCAATGAGTTTAAAATTCGCCCTTCTGAGCGTCTGACGTCTCAGTTGGCTTGTTGTATCTAAAATAACAATCTTCTTGATATTTCCCTAGTATTTGAATTTTTGATTCCACATTGCTATTGAAGTGATTAATCATTCCCATTCCTGTAAATAGGCATGACCCTGGGGGCTCAAGTCTTTCTTCTCTTTTCTGGGATGCAGTGAAACTTTAGCGTGAATTCTCGGGAATGTTATCGCGTTTATTTGATCGGCACATTGTTTTAATATTTAATATCGAGGTCGTTATTTTCAGGTTCTTTGCAATCTTTGGTTATGTCCATATAGTTGATCGAGAACATCCTTGGACACAAACTTGGTACCTAGTGTAAGGTCGAGGATTGAAATGGCCGACGCTGCTGTCAGCGTGGCACGAAATGGTACTGATTATGTGTTCTTGAGGTCAGCCTCGGCTCATACGATTGCTGGGTTCTTTACATGGGCAGCTTTGTTTATAACAATCCATCAGGTATGTTTTTCTTTTTGTTTGTTGTTGTTTAGGAAAGTGTTACGAACATGCTCGATTGGTTAAACAGTCTGCTTATTTTTCCCTCCGACTGATTGCTATAATTGCATTTTCAATTTGCAGATCTATCAGCATCTGCGGTGGTATTCTTGCCCCTCAGAACAGCGGTGGATTGTTCGAATTCTTTTCATTGTCCCGGTATATGCATTTGACTCATGGTTGTCATTAATATTCTTTACGAATGATGTTTATGTCTACTTCAACTCGATCAGGGATTGTTACGAAGCCTTTGTGATCTACAGTTTCCTGAGTTTATGTTATGAATATCTCGGTGGAGAGAGTAATATCATGGCTGAGATTCGGGGAAAACCCATTCGGTAAGCCCTTTCTAATTGGCTGGTTAATTTTATTTCTCATGGAAAGAAGTTTTTAGTTTTAGATATACTGTTTAATGAATTTTGTTTTCAGGCCAACTAATTACGCTACCCTGACTTGTTGTCTCGCTGGAAAACAGTATACCATCGAATTCCTCCGCTTTTGCAAGAAGGCTACTCTTCAATTTTGTCTTATCAAACCAGTTATGGCTGTTCTTACATTATTCTTGATGATGATCGGTAAATACGAAGACGGAGATTGGAGTATGGATAAGGGTTACTTCTACATCACCATTGTTTACAACTTCTCAGTTTCCTTAGCCCTGTACGGTCTCTTCTTGTTCTACACAGCTACGCGCGATCTTCTTCATCCATATAATCCTGTGATCAAGTTTTTCACCGTCAAGAGCGTCATCTTCTTGTCGTTCTGGCAGGGTAAGCATTCCTATTATTTGTGTGTATTGCCATTTAGGATTCTTGATTGCCGTTTTGGGTGCCACATCGGCTATTGATCCAGTTGTTGATCAGAATGGAGTTGAGATCATTTCTCGCGGAACTGTTGCTGCAGGATATCAGAACTTCTTGATCTGTGTGGAGATGTTCTTTGCTGCTATTGCATTGAGATTTGCTTTCGGAGTGTCTGCATACATCGATGCTCATGCTGGTAGGTCATATAAGTTCTTTTTTTGATGTTTAGGTGCTGGTTAAGATGTTGACGAACATTAATTTGATATTTTCAGTTCATAATGACGGTGCGGAGCCTCGACCAATGACTCTGCAGAGCATTAGCTCATCCTTGAAGGAGACGATGAATCCCAGAGACATCATGCAAGATGCCATTCACAACTTCCATCCTCAATATCAGCAGTACACTCAACACTCCAATCCATCTCGATCGGTTGGTTCTTAAGATATATACGGGGTAGAATAACATAATAAAGACTGGAAATTTTTTTTGAGACTTAGTTTAGATAGATGTTGCATTAGTGTTTCTGTTCGTTAAAGATGGAGTCTATGTCGTATGTTAATAACGGTCACCCTTGTGTGCAAAACTTTCCCTTCGCTGTCTGTGTTTGTGGTTGTCAAGTTTTATCTTTTTGCAGTTCTCTTCCTCATCTGCTCAGAATGTCCAGACTGTTCCCAATTACAATGCCACAATGGACCCATTCTCACCTGAAACCCTTCCACAAACCGCCTTGGATAATCCGTTTGCAGCCAGTTCATCAGCTCAAAGTAATCGGAGAAGCGGTGAAAGGAATGGACAATCTCTCATCTAAAGTGTAGATCTGTCGTTTTAATGTGTAAATGGGTAGATGCATCTTGAGAAGGCGTTTGGAATTGACTTTTCATATGTTTGGTTGATTAATTATGTTGTTTTTTGATACCTTCTAATAGAACAGTCAATTTTACTTCCAAAAGCATCCTCAAGACTCGTCGTAAATGTAAAAGTTGTAACCTTTTGCCTTATATTATACTTATACGTTCTTGAAACCATCTAAATTTTTATGCAGCTCCTCATTCCTTTCTAATGGGAACATAATTTATATAAATTTACCATTTTTCTGCCAACGAATTTCAAAAAAATCTAATACGAGAAATCTCCAGTGAATAAATGTTGTAAAGTAACGTGGTTGTGTTATTTAGTACCTTTTGGTTGTGCTCATTAGATAAAGAGATGGCGTATTAAAGGATCAGACGTTTTAGAGCGCCGGGCCAGCTGATCCAGCCGCCGTTGATCCCAACAATAAGGGTCTCACTTCCTCGACCTCGGGCAACAACTACAGTAGTATGGGATACACCGGCCCTCAGGGCGAAGTGACTCCGCAAACACCGAGTCAACCCAATTTCTTCGATTAGAGAGCTGCCTAGGGCCTATTGTACAAGACGTTCACTACATTTTTTAGTAATGATTTAGTTATAGCTAAAATTGATTACTTTCGTAATGTTTGTAGTTTCTTTACAGCTCCTTTTTATTACTGACTGTAGTCCGGTTATCATTCTTATAAAAACCGCAGACGATTTCGTCGTCTCCTTACTTCAGTGCCGTATATTTAAATACGTGCAGCCTTTATGCCATTGTCATTGTTATCCGTGCAAGGTCTGATTGATTTCCTTTTTTTAAGCATATTTCTCGTCTAAATATCTATCTTTTCTTCACATACACATTGAAAACATTCCTGGTGAGCAGCTTTTTCTAAAAGATCTTTAAATTAATGTCAACTGAAATTATTGGATCGCTCCAATTTTGGAAAAGTTTTATTCGTATAATTTTGTCATTTCTATCATAATTCTTAACTTATTGCGGAATAAATATTGTAGTCGGAATTACAGGATGAGCTTAAAGTTTTCTTGTTCTAATTGACAGACGAGGCGCATGTGTAATATGTACGTATTATATTTTGGCAATAGCACTGGTAGAATTGGCAAGAAAGATCATAAAAATAATTTAAATACAATTACTGTAACTACCAAAACATCAGTCGTTTCAGCGAACCCAGTTGATTTTGATCACATCGGACTTGGAGTAGCGACTCGGACCCTCTGTATTTTTTAAATCATCAAATTTTATTTAGAATAGATCAAGACTTACCGTTTCTCAGCTTCGCATTTCTTGACGTTAAATTTGCATAAGTTTAAATGAACTCCCCGTTTGTCATCACAAACAGGCTGAATACTGTCACCACAATTGTCAGCGCAACATTCTCCGTCATAAAGAATTGTTAGTTGACTTGACGGATGCTTCTTATTATAATTGCAGGCTTCATTTTGGAAGAAACACGGATTCCGGTGTGTTTTCCCTGCCGAATCACAAACCGGCTCTTCAACTGTTGGGCATTCCTTCTTTTCACAGCATTTCCCTTCATACGCAACCTGAAGACGACCTCGAGTTCCATGACGATCATCAATGCAACGTTTGTATTCAAATTCACATCTATCTTTGTGGGTTGTTCCGTCAGTGTCACAGATCTCCCCAGATTGAGCGCAGACGCCACTGGGGCGTTGGCAACAAACTCCTGAGTATTCGGGAAAAATGGTCGTGTTCTTCTTCTCGGCTTCACATTGAGCTACCCTAAAAATCTTTGAGATTGATATGCAAATGGGTGTAGAACACTGCTAGAGGAATAAAACGAACCTGAAGGTGCACCAATTCTTATGTGTCACTTCGCCGTCACAGATGGGCTCTTCAATGTCCTCTGGGCACTCCGCATCCTGACAGCAAGCATCTTCATAGGCAAGAACAAGATCGGTTCCATTCCTTCGTTTGTGCACGCATTTCTCAGCCTCAAACACACACTTATTTACATGAGTTTTGCCGTTAGCATCGCAAACGGGTGAGTAGAACTCGGGACACTGCTTTACTTCGCAACATTCGTCTGAAATTTTTGTGAATATTTGTTTAGAAGGAGATGCAATCTCTTACCTGGATAATCAACCAGGATTTCTTTGTGATGTTCTGATTTCCGTTTGACGCAGTTTAACTTTCTAAGCTCACATTCGTTGACATAAGTTTCACCTGAAATAACATGTAATGTCCGATCGTTGAAAAAAAATAATTCGACTTGCCATTGCTTCCACAAATTGGCTGATAAATTTTGGGGCATTCAAATTCGCAGCTATCTCCAGGACACAAACCAAAGTTGTTGATTGTCAAATTAGCTGACTTATGCTTCAAACTAACGCATCTCTCATTGCTGAACACACACAGATTCAGATGGCTCCTTCCCAAGTTGTCACAAACAGGACTGTACTCGTCCCAGCAATCAAGAACAGTGCAACAAGCTCCTTCGTATTCAATTTTAACGTCATTTTTTTCTTTTCGATGTTCGCGCTGACATTTCTTTGCGTCGTAATGACATTTGCTGATATACGTTATCCCATCAGACCCACAGATCGGCTCATATTCATCTGTACAGTTGAATTCACAAATCATTGTGGGGACGATCTCAATTGGAAAAAGCATGGTGTCATCCTCATTGTCTGTAAAATCAAAAATTCTCCAGTAAAACGGCATTATATTTTTTCAGAGAGTGCAAAACGTGAAGCTCAAGTGTTCAAGTGTTTATTAATGTAATAAACGCAAATCCAAATGCAAAATGATTAATAGTGCACTGTTATATAACACAATCCTCAACAATCCTTAATTGTAAGAGATCTCAAGGTAAACGTATTTGATATGACATTATGGCAAGACTTTTAAGACCGATAAGACTACGGAAATTGCAATAAAAACTATTCAAATACAGGCCGTTCGGACGAAGCATTGAAGTTAAGAAAAAGTGTACAAAAAATGAGTGGAAGAAAGCAAAAGCTTGAGGAGTTTGCAAATCCAAAATGGCAAAATGAAAACATTTCTGTGCTGGTGTCTTTCTGTGCAATTAACCCCTTCGGCTAGACCGGAGAGTACGTGTGTGAGTCCAATACCAATACCGCCAATAGCGGCGGGCCTGGACTGTCACCCGTCTTCTCAACGGCCGTCTCGTTCGATTCGCACGATGAGGAACACGGAATGGCCGCCCAGGACGACGACAAACGTGAGGCGTACCTGGCTGAATCCCTTCATGATCATGATTCTCCGACGACAAAACACTCGGGGCAACAATGGTCTTTGTTGCAGGATTCGAAGGTCTTGGAGCCGTTGGTAATCTGGAGAATGTAGAGCGTCCTCCGTTTACTGAGGGCAAGGGAGAGTTTGCGAGGCTTCGTGGTGCTGATGCTGACGTTTCAATCGCTCGAACGGGCTCTGGCTTGAATGGAGAAACAAGTGGAGCAAGAGTTACAGCCGGCTTAACTTCGACAGGCGTTGGCTGTTTAGCAATGGTCTTGCAGGTACCGTTATTACGTAATGTAAGTGGAGTCTGCGATTGTTCAATCTTGGCAACACGACATTGAGCGACTTGGAAATGGCAGAGATTGCGATGCTGTTGATTCCTTGTATCACAGACTGGCTGATTCGTGCTTGGACAAGAGTCAAGAGTTGGACAACATCTGCCGGTCTGAAAAGCAGAGGTATATATTATAGTAGTAAAAACATTTCCAGACACAGTCAAAATCACTTACATAAGCTTCGGTGATGTTATGACCAAGTTTTATTTCGTATATACATTTGATCATATCAAATTCACAAAGAGTTTTGGTCTCTCCATTCTGGTCACAGATTAATTCAGAATCGGGAATGCTGTTATCGCTAGCATCAACAATTGGACATGGTTTGGTCAAGCAGACTTCACATTTTCCTTTGAAAAGAACCTCTAGATCCGAATCCAAACATTGCGCTTTTGTGAATAAACATTCGTTATTATAAGTGTGGAAATCAGTGCCACAAATATAATCCTTATCAGTTTCATCGCAACTTTTTTCTTCGATAATTCTGCAGCGATTAGCACTGCATTCTTCATCAGCTACTGCACTCAAAATTTTGCCTCCACGTGCGGCCAGGCATCGAGCGTAAGCAAACATGCAAAGATTCCTAAAAAAACGTCAAAACGCAAGGACATCCAGAACTTACTTATGAATGGTCCCCTCATTATCGCAGATTGGCTCTTTTTCTTCTGGACATAAAGGTTCTGGGCATTCAAAATCATTGGAAGTTACATTTTGTGTCATCATAGTTTGGGTGACAAAGGCATCATCTTTTGGCTCACTGCTTAAGTCATCTTTCTTCCATCCAACCAACTTTGTAATTGTCAGTGGAGCTGTTGGAGCTGGCGGTTTTGTGCTCAAAGGTTTGGATGTTGTTGTGGGAGCTTTCGTAGTTGTTCCCTCCTGTTTCTTTTGGCATTCTGACAAGCTTATCAACCAAGATGTGTTTGGAGTTTTCTAAAATTTAATATCTCGTTGCCTACTGTATTTTCATCTCTTGTAAGTGTATTTTTAGGCACATAATTACTGTTTGATTGCAGTTTTTTAATCTTATGTCTGCATAGCCTTATTACAGTTAATCTCCGTTCTTGACCTACTTGTTTTCGTTGCCTGCAATTGAACATTTGGAAAGTGCACAAATTGGGATGCGTCATGCCCTGGCTGTCGCAGACGGGTTTGTATTGATTTGTACATTGTTTTGGGCACTCTTCGTCCTGCAAATGACATGTATATACGACTCATATACGTTTTCCGTATTCTTAACTTCGTAAAAACGTTATCATCAGAAATGTTTTTGTTTCACTGTTCCGTGATCTTTGAATTTTTTGTAATTATTTTAATATTACTAGTAATACTAGGACTTACTTTTAATGAGAACATAAGGGAGTTGGACCTGCATGCTCCAACATGAACCAAAACTCTCTCTTCCAGTTTATGTTGTCTCATTTTGCAGTTCCATTGAGCTAATAGACAAGCCGACTGATGGGTATGATTGGTGTTGTCACATACTGGGGTTTTCGTACTTTTGTCGTCACACAATTTGCAGTCTTCAGGCTTGGCAGAGTTTTTTACTGCAGTATGTGTAGTTGGGTTTGATGAGGGAGTTGTGGCTAGCTAAAGAGGTGTTATAAATCCATGGAAGAGTTCTTACTGTATCGTTACAAGCTCCTTTCTTCACGATCTCGGGAATAAATTGGCTCCCGATGCTTGATTTCTTCATTTTGCACACTCTGAATTGATACAGGCACATATTGCGATGAGTATTATTCTTGTTATCACAGACTGGATCCCACTTTTTATCGCAATCTTCGGCCGAACATTGCTCTTCATGTGGGATGACAGCTGAAGCTGGCAACGGAGGTCGAGTGCGACTTCCGACAACTGCTGTCTTTGTGTTGTTAGATGATTGCAAGGGGACTAATGGAGATTCCGCGGTATCATAGGGCACAGATTGAGGGAGCGGGTTGAGTTGCGATGGTTGTCTTCTAGATGCGTCATAGACTTTGGTGCCAAATGCTAAAGCTGGATGAGAGGTTGTTGAAGTTGTCGAAGTTGTTGTCGTTTTAGCTAAAGGTACAAAAAATTTCAATGATTCTTGTAGAATTTGAAATGTTATTTTTGATTTTTGCCCGCAATTTCTTAATTTCCCCATTATCGCTTACAAGTTGCTTCCGGCTTCTCGCTGCTGGAGCTCTCTGCCATGATGTCTTCTTCGCTGTTTTCGTTACATTTCCCGTCGTGTTCGATCCCAATGGGTTGTCGACCTCGTTCTCTTAAGGCGCAGAGAATTCGTTCAAAGCTGTAAAAGTCGGGCGATTATGAGAGCGACAACAAAATTAAAACCTTCTCAGAAAGGGTGGTTTTAACGGCACTTACAAGCAAGTGTTTTGATGAGTAATCCCGTTCGTATCACACACGAAATCCTCATCGTCCGGACATTCGAATTCACATCGACTGGTCGATTTTGTCATCGACATTTCCTCCTGAGGCAAGAGAGAAGGCTCCGTAGTCTCCTCGCCGCATTTTCCTCGACTTCGAAGCTTCAAATTTATATTTTGGAGTCGTTTTGCGACGCATTTTTGGAATTCAAAATGGCATTCGTTCTCGTAACTATTGCCTAAGATGTGTTAAAATTAGCAGAGACATAGATGGCATACCATGATCATCACAGACCGGATTACGATGTTCTGTGCATAAACTGGCCGGCGGGCAACAAGCTCCATGATAACGTAGAAGCAACGAACTCTCTAATACTTGAGCACATCTAAATTGACATTCGTTCTCGTATGTGTGACCGTCGCTTCCACAGACAGGCTTCAGCTCTCGGCCACATACACATTCCTTGCCTGTGGCTATAATCATCGATAGTTTCACAATATTTCTGTGATTCTTACCTGTTTCTGCATAGCTTACTGGGAAAAGTAATGAGAGTAATATACATTGACAAAAATACTCTCCAAGAAATTTGAATGGCCGCATGTCACATAAAACGCGTGGCCTGAAATCATATTTGTAAAAACTTTCAACCGAGCACGGCCCGTTGCCGCTGTAAGATGTCCAAAATGACGTCACTCGAAAAGAAAACTAACACCAAAACAACGAATCAACCGACGCGCCTTACAAGGGAACCTTAGTTACAATCTATGACAAAAAATAGTTAAAACGTTTAGAGAAACAGCCGATAAGAACATCATCTTCATGCTCGTGGCCCTCCAATTATAAAACCGGTGCAATTAAAGCGAACTCTTTCCGAAGTTCGAAAAAACCCATTACAGAATTTGCATGGATCATTGTCTCCTTTCGCATTCCATTAAAATCGCCGCAATTCGAATGAATCTCGGCGACTTTCACTAAAAAAGTGTGAAGAATAACTGAGAGGATAATTTGAGACCGAATTTGATGGGAAAAACCAACAAAACCCCGTCTTCTATCTTCTTATAGTGTTCTTGGTACAAAAATCGGGGTGTTTCAATAAAAAGATCGTCGAAACAAATTGCTGTGCCCGTTTTTCTCCCGTCGGTAGAAACAGGGAAGACGTTAAATTCGAAAGTAAAACCGTCTCAACTAACATGGTAAATGGGATTACATTGGGACTGTTATGGAGTCTAGACGACGGTTGGCTGTGTGGGTGGTCAAGCAAGTCGGAGAAATGTGGGGAAGATAAATAAATGGTGTGGTATTATAGTCGGAGTGGGTTTTTCTATCGATATTATCCATCAACTAGGCTTTATTAAGGATTGGCAGAAGGCTATGGTGTCAGTTGTAGATCTAATAAGTCAATTGCTTGCTTAATCAAGGTATGATGGGCATATTAGGGCTGAAGAGCTCGCTACAAGGGCTTGATCAAGCCTCTATGGATCTGTTTTCCAAAGTTTTCAACAATAAAACTTTCAAAACAAACCAAAACCAGAAAGGCACAAGAATGACATGTGGAACTATTGTATTCCGTCATCTTCCCCATCCTCCCCAGCAAAACGCCCTTCTAGACTCTGTCTAATTTAGTTTCATCTCCCCATTTTTTACCTTTTGACCTCAATGACACTTGAAGACATTTTTTGTGCCTTCAGAAGGCAGCTGAAGAAGCGCCGAAAAGGGGAGCGGCGGATTCGGCATCTAAAGAGACATTTTATCGCTTATAATTCGTCAATGCTATTATTCCTCGGCGGGAAGTTTTTCAATCCAGAAATGTTACTCTTTTACTGTTACTTTAAGTGGGTTTTATTTGTTCCGGTATTTGGAGGTTAACGGTTTGAGGGGATTGGAGCGGAGGATACTGTAAATTAAAGGAAATCAAAGTTGAAAAAGATGAAAACAATTTAAAAGAAACAAAAAATGTGAATCTCTAACGATGATTCTGAAAACAAAAATCATCTCACCACCATCGGAACTTTTAATGTCTTGCAAACAGATTAATTACAATCACCTTTTGAAGCGCCCATCATGATGCCATAAAACAAATAAACCAGCCTGCAAATCCGTGGGTGGGTTGAAGTTCGCCAGCTGTCAACTTGAAGGTCATTTCAGGCATTTTCTTCGAAGACGCGTTGGAATCTGAACAGCAGCCGAATTGATACAGAATGATACAGCCCAGTTTTACTATTACAATAAATAACGCAATTAAAAAACAATTCAACCCATCGGACATCGTCTGCCAACAATCTATTTACCAGAGCCGGATTCGAGTAACGGAATTTTATTTGTTATTGAAAAAAGAAGATTCCCATCACAACATTTGTTATTCATTGACTTGCTTGTATTACCCAATCTGCAGAAATAATTTAACAAGTGAATGAATTCTATAACAATTCCACAACCCATCGTTCTTTTTGTTTTTATGAGCCTGAGGGCTTTTACCGACCGTCCGTTTACACTTCTGGTTATTGTGAACGGAACAAGTAATTCGTTATTCGAAATGCTTCCGTTTAATTGAACAGAGAGTGAGAAATGTGATCAAGACAGTAGAAAGATTGTTGTGCAGTAATTGCAGCAATCAAAGTATAGAAAAGGTGACTAACCAATAAGAAAAGCAAGACATGTATAAGTGGGACAATGTTATATATTCATGACGAAGTCTGCCATGCCGTTTTGTTCCTCGGATTCTGGGAAAACGTGCCCATTTATCTGCCCAAACTGCGAACTTCTCCTTGTTTCCGAACTCTTCTATTTTTGAATGTTCCGACTTTACAGTGTTTTCTATTATTGGGTTGTTTCAAAAACCATCAAATTATGTCCGAATGCCGTTAGTATATGCGCAATGTTCCCGGAAAGACAATTTTAGCCATGTTCTTCAGAGAAATCTCGTTTAGAGAACAAACAAACGGAGCTTCAAACTTGTGGGTATTATAATTGAATCTGGAAAATACGAAGTTTCTTCAGACAAAACGGTTATTGGGTTAGTTACAGTATCCTCTGTTCGGAGATCTTCAGTATAAAAAGTATCTTTTTCAAGGGTATAAAGGGATATGTAGGCCCACACCGTTTTTTCCAAGTTCTATGAGAATATGAGAATACTTAACTTTGGTAGAAATTAAGAATGTAAGAGACGTCCCAGACTTTTTTTCGTATTATATTACGTCATCTTTTGGTCGACCTGAATGTTGAACTTTCAAGACTTTGAACGACCATACAGATTCTTTTGAAGGGTGCAAGTTTCTCACTGCTTGTTTTATTCAAAGAAGCGTATCCTAGATCCCTTTAACCTACGCTTCGCTTTCCTGAAATTATTTATGCAAATTCGTGTCGTCTTCTTACGGTTCAAGATGTCGAAAAGTCTTCTGAATCCACCGGTTGAATAGGCATAACCCCGTAGCCAAAAATACCCCGGAGTCTTTTGTTCTTCGGTCTTCCCGAAGCGTGGAAATTACTCTACAAATTCATATTGGAATGGCATGAAATTTTGATCGTGAACATCTTGTAAATTGTAAATTCTTATGACAGAGAGTATTTTAGGGAAGATAACCGACCCAAGTCGTGTGATAGTCTTTACGGTATTATGCATTTTGACGTTGAAATTATTGCGGAAAAGAGAACCTAAAGGCCACAAAATGCCCAGAATTTCACAAGAGGGAGACTTGAAGGGCGCGGAAATAGTTCCACGAAGATGTCGACGATTTGAGAACAGGGCCCAACTTCCTAATCGAATTTTTGATTTGCATAACTTGACCTTTAAAGCCGAATTATTCGACCAAACATTCGATAAGGAAGTTGGGCCCAGAGTTTTGGAACAACGCACAACATGAGATAAATTTGAAAATGTCAATGTTCCCATGCGAAAGGATGCCTAACCCTGAAGATACCTAGATGAGCGCAATCCTTCGTTTTGTCAAAATTCTGAAGTTTTTTCGCACATTTTCTATTGAGATTTTTTGGTTTTATGTTGTGAATAATATTACAAATAATTTTCAATAACTTAAATAATGTCACGAATGTTTTTGTAGTCCTTAAACAACTTAAACTTCCTGTTTAACTTAATCAAAATTAGTTGCTTTACTGGGTGCTAACTTCCGTTTCGTATGAAGCACGCAACCTTGTCAACGCTCTTGTTTCTGAACTTTACATCAATTTTAAAATACTCTAATTAAATAGTGGCTACTCTAGGGTCTGGAAGTTCTGTTTGGCCGCGGTTAATCTTTTTTGACGTTGCCGATTACTAGTAATCTCCAGACATTCACCTTTTATGTCTGACTTTTTTGGGCTTTATCTTTGGATCGGTTATCTGGGGATGCAATGAGTACAGTATTTGGATTAGAGGCTATGCTGTTTTTAAGTAAGGTGATTTAGGCAGTAATATACTGATGATTTAGGCAGCAGGAATAATTTTTTTTCATGTTATCATCAAATATCCTTTTGATGATATTAACATGAAAAATAAATAGATTGTTCCAAACCTACTATATAAGCACTCGATCCTTATCCTTATTTGGACCAATAGGTTTAAAGTTCGTTTTTTTGGTAGTACGCCAGAATTGCGAAACTGCGTGACTTTTGCGTTTCTAGAAGCCGATCGTCGACGTCTTCAGGTGTTCTATTCTTGAACAAAGCCCGTCCTTGCATGCACCGGCAGGTTTTATGAAGTAATTCTAGAGTGCCAAGCAGTCGACTTGTAATCGAGAACAATAGATATTTGGTCCGTGAAAGATTCATGGGCTATATAGTACACGCGGAGGTGGGGTCAGAAGATCAGGATTGTCCTGTGACGGTGAAGATGCTCACAAGGCATTCTGAAGATGCTTGGAGGACGTTTTGGGGAAGTTATCTTTAAGAGTATCGACAGTTAAACGGTGATCTAATTTCTGTGTTGTCAAAGTGGACAATACTCGTTTAGAAGTATGCTGCCTCAGGTTGTAATTGCCAACTCGGCCGTCATTGCACTTCAGAACTGACCTCTTGTCTATTTTCTATCGCATTTGCATAAATTCGTATTTTTTTTTATTTAACTCGTCAAATGTCAATGTATGTCACTCGGAATACCCTAACCAGAATTCATCCAACATTTCTGGAGTATTCAAAATCCCATGGGGACAGCCTTATTTTCATAATTTTGCCAAGTATTTCTAACATGAGCGCAATCGTGGGCGATGAGTGTAATTGTGGATAGAAAACAAGGTATGGTAGCATAAGTCGTCAGTTTAGTTTATTTAAATTTTTTACGTGGCAAATGTTAGCTACTGAAATTGAAAGTTTAAAAAAGACAATGATTTTACATTCTTTGGTTGAAATGGGTTAATTACGTCCACAAATATATAATAACTTCAGAGATTAGACTCCACTTTATATGTAATCTGCAGTAATTACTGTTGGCGTGAGACCCATACAGCATAAGCAGCGTGTAACAATGCCATGTGTGATATGTTGTAAGGTCCATGGGAACAAATTACTCACGTTTTGCGGAACGGAGGAGTGATTATGTCAAATGTTAACTCTTTAACAACGCTAATTGCTATGTAATTTTCACTTTCTCAAGAGTTAAATTGGCGAAGAGTGCAAACTTTGGTCTAAAATCCCAGCAAAAAAAATCAAGTTTTCCAAGAATTTCGAAGCAGACTCGATGTTGATGCTCGGTTAAATATACCAGTGCATTGATGTAAGTGACAGCCCCTGGACTTTCTTAATCTCTGATCACTTCGTCAGAGTCGTATGTTTATTGGGCATTTTATCGAGATTTGCCAACGCCATTCTTATATTTCTGGCATATTTTTATGCCAACGCTTTGCAATAAAAGTGCCGGGCGGTTTTGGAATTAATCTTTGCTAAAAAGTAGTGACAGAAAGTTACGTCTCCTTAAATAGCAGGTTCGAGTCCAAAGTTACAAACTTTGTTTGATGGGATGTCCTTCAAGGCCTTCAAAGATCGTCAACATAGAAACCCTTCTTTAAAAGTTTAGAGATCACCATCATGTAGTATAACAAATTTATGAAAAGCTATCGTATTTAACCGGAATCAATAAATATTTGATTAAACGGGATTACATCCTCTGAAAAAAATTATTTTGTTCAAGGAAAGGCGGGTCTTGGAAAGCACATTTCACATTCTTTTTCCCACTCACTCCACATTGAAATATTCAAGATGTTCACTTGGAATCTAGTGCATTCCAGTTTATTTTCCTAGGATCCATTTAACAATGCAAAGTGGGTTGTGGAAGTGTGTCTTATATAAGATTTTTTTGATGGGATTAGTGCTACCCCGACCGTTCACTTGATTTTGGTCTTTGGTATACAGCGTACCCCTAAGGTTCATTTGTTCTGAGAGCCATTTTACTCTTGCAGGACATGGCTAAAACATTTGTCACTTGTCTTTTTTTTTTACACTTTTATCCTTAAAGTTTAATCTGGTAATCGTTTGTAACAGTGAAGTAATTAAGAGATTATCGTACGGTTCCTCATGTATAATAGAAACTAAAAAGTGTTTATTAAAGTTGGATCAGTAGCAGGAGGAAACTGTCACCAACAAATGTCTGGAATGATGACAAAGTTTGCAGTAAACATGTGTATAGTGTGAATGCGGACGTGTTCGTGGTAAGATATATGCAGATTGTACTTACTATTAGTTGTTATTAAAAGCCAATATTTTCTTAATAAACTGCGCAAAAAATCTCATCTAGTCACCTCTGCAGAATCCATGTTTCCGCAACAAATTTTTAACATCTAATTACCTACATTATTCTACCCACCATAATTCCGTGGACTCTGTTTCCGACCAGGAGTTCATACCCTAGCAAAAAAGTGCGTAGTAAGTAGTAGTAAGCAGTAAGTATACCATTGAGACTTCTCAATTTTGACTGTACCCATCTGGGACTAATTAATTTTCATGTTTCTGGAGATCATTAGTGATGTTGCAAGGTCAAAATGAAGTGGAAACAGAGATGATTAATCTGTTTTAGAGGAAGATAGATTAGGTAAAAGCTATCAGAATTTGGGATTAGAAGTGACAAGAATCTTGCGTTGTCTCGGTAAAGAGATTATCGTATTCTGGTTATTATTTAGTAGTCTAAATGGTAAAGATTCAATGTTTTTACTGGATTATGCAACATTTATAAATGCAATTTTTTATTTTCACCGTATCAATTTCAAAATACAACTCCTCAAATAAAAAAGTATTTAGCTTATCCCTGAGGCTATGTTAATCCGCGTTATCTCGAGAACCTCGGCGATTACAGGATTTGCGGTTATCTTGTTTGTGTTACCGTAAAAACGTGAATATTTGTCATTCAAAAAAGAACTTGGCACAAAAAGGGGCGGAGCCAACGACCGTTTGGGAGGAATCCCGAACGCCCTGAGGGTCGAAACGGGTTGGCCGAAGTTTCAGGCATTAGTTAATCAAATATTTGAGCTGGAACATGGCCGGGGAAGACGTCGGGAGCCGCTGAGTTCACCTTTTAACTTGAACTTTTATGTCGTGATATCACTGTCTTGTAATTGACTACCAATGTACTAATTTATACATTTTCAGGACTTGAGTAAACACGTCACGCTTCATATATTGAAGTAGACCATTAGATTGACAAAATCAAATCTCAAAAAATGTTCGCCGTTCGAGAGGTCTCGTTGAAATCGATCCTAATCTTCGTAATCGTTGCCTTATTGTGCCTGCAGAGTTTTGGGTAAGTTCTCAAACATTTCACATGCAAAATATGTCACCTATGTTTAGGACACCTATATATATGTTTAGTTGCTAGAAGTTACTTTTCGACAAAATTATACAAATGCTTTCAATTTTTCGTGTTTATTGCAGTTTGTACGTTGTACATCACAAACTACACCCTATAATTTATTAAGGCTCTTTGTGAGTTACCGTACTTACCCGAGATTGTTTTCACATTACTAAGATACGATTTTCTGCCGAAAATTAACCCGTCTTATTTAAGTTACTTAATATCTATTTATTATTTCCTAAAAAAACGATTTACCGGCCTTTACCCGTCTATCATGAAAACAGTAATTAATTAGCAGGTATTCATAGAAAACAAAATTTCCGGGGTTTATACAAAGTCTTTGAAACGGCTAAAAACTTTAGAATGACACTGAGACTAATGACTATTAACTTCCGGAATTCTTTGGTCGTGTTCCCAAAACACTTGAAAAATAAAAAAAAATCAAAAATAAACAGGAGCGCGAATGCCCTGGGGGGACGGGAGAGTACCCGTCTACTGACCCATATCATGTATGACGCGGAAATACGGCACTATAAACAAGCGGGAAGTGTGAGGATTCGTGATTTATGTCTTCTCGTCACTTTCGACACTTCAGTTGCATATTAGGGAGAATTTTAGTGCGCTTAAATCAATTTGTTTTCTCGTACCTCCAGTAATGAGAGAACGGAAACTAGACGTAGATACTGCACCTTCAGTTAGCATAACAGTAAGCAGTCAATCTGAGATTGTAATTCTCCGCACGCAGATTTTTATTTCGATGCGACGTCAAATCTGGAAGTCTAAAAAAACACAAATTCTTATTTGACAGAGTGCACATAAAGCCCTGACATTCGATATCCGCTGATATCACACCCCGGTTCTTAAGGGGGTTATAAAACGCCAATAAATAAATTCCCTAAATCTTTTATAAGATTAGGCTGCGGGGTTACGGTCAGGCGGATTCTAGGGTTTCTCGGTCTGTCGATATCGGATATGTATAGGCATTGGAGAAGGTGGAAGCTGCTGACAATACCTTCCAAAGATGTGAGAAAAGCAAACAATAGGAGGACGGAAAAACGTCAGATGTTTTTCTGTCCTCTTTGAATATTCATTATATTCATACACAATATAAATCAACTCATACAAATTTGCAGATGCAGGTCGTATTTCGAGCAGGTCATGATGAAAATGCCGTATCTAGAGCTTAAAATATATATTGTTTGAATGCAAGAAAAACTTCTTGCAGAGATTGCCGCTTTAAAAAAATTGAAAATAAATTCTTTAGGCTGTAATTAGTCATGAAACAGATCTCATAGAACTCAAATAGTATCCCTCTTGTTGTGTGAGCCCCTTTCAATCACTGTTTTCAGTTTCAGAGCAGATAAGAAGGCCATGAGAAATTCGTTGGTCCGATTTGGAAAAAGGGACGGAGCCCAGGCCGCGCCCGCCGCTCCAGTGCAGCCAGAGTTCCAGATGAATTACCCGGTTGATTCCTTCGGATCCCACGCCCAAAACCCCGTCTTCGGCTATTACCGACGGTACTATAACAACTACGGATTTTAGGTGAGTTTAATTCTTCTTGAAAATAAAGTTATTTGAGGGCGTGTATAATATGTATAATATAAGAACCCTCTTCAGATCCCTACACACCGAGCCTAGAATCACCCCCACATTGCTCCAAGAATTCTCCGCCGATTCTGACGCCACAACGATACTCAGACATACAAAAAAGAAGCCCCAACACCTACTACTACAAGATACGATCCTCTTCTCAACTCTTTTACCTTCTCATGCGTAAAGTAAGAGCCTATCTCCAGCGTCATGAGCCGTCGTTTTATGACGTTCTAGTTCCCTTTTTTACACCGACCAGTAAAGTTCGTTTGTTCATTCGATCCGTTCTATTGTAGCCTTTGTTTTGCGGTATAAATTATTGCGTTGTGTGATTGCGAGAAGGCAAAATGTGGTAAAATAGAATTTCATAATGATATAAAATCTCGTTTTGAATAAAAATCCCGTAATACGGCGAAAATAACATCCAAATTACATCAAAAACTTTTTATAAGTGAGTTAAAGCTGTAAAAGTAAAAGTGTAAAAAAACAACAACGTAAAGTCGGATTTAGATTTACAATCGTCCAGTAATTTAAATCTGACCTTACTTACTATGCTAAAAAATAACGTCACTCTAAAACAAACGCCAAGGTAAAACTCGGCTTACAACAACAAAAATTAACAATTACAGCGGGAAAATAAAACGGGATGACTTCAAATTAACTCGAGGTTATGACAAATTGTAAAGGCTTGACTGACCATACAAATCAATATACAACATATATACACCTTCCTCAGTTGTTTCAAGTTCCAACTTTTGGTCCCATCTTATGTTTTTGGGCCTTGTGGCTCTTCAGTTCTAAAAAATTTATCATTATTTTTGATTTTAATCCTAAAAATCAGAATAAAATGCAAAATAAATCACCTGGATTCTTTCCTTTCGTATATTTCTCAGCGTTGGCAGGAGTTGCATAAATCGTGATTTTGCTGACAGTCCCCACAGCTTTCGTTAATCCCTCTCTGAAGACCAATCTAGTCCCCGGTCGGACATATTCCGGCCTTCTGATGAATTTGAATCGAACTTTGTCGCGATCTCCAGTTCTCAAGACCTCTTTGTTATCCAAACTTATCAATTTAGCGGTTTGCCGGACCGCACCTACATGAACCATGGCTTCATAATTTTTGGCAATAGTCGTGGGATGATTCAGAATCAGAAGGTCGGCTTCAAATTCCCAAGCGGCTTTGGGGGCTTCAGTTCCGGATAAGAGGACCATTCCTTTCCTGATTTGCCTTTTCGTTATTTTTCTGCAAAATATAGCGGTCAAGAATGTATAATATAATAGCTTCTTACTTAATAGCAAAGGCAGCAGATTGACCATGTCTCACGAAGTCGACGGGCATTCTTTTCCGATGGATCGACTTGATGGGAACTTGTATAAAAACTCCTGTGGGATCTGGCCCCAACCATAAAGTGTCTCCGGCTTCTATTCGGCCAGATATACAATTTCCAGAGACAACGGTCCCTACTCCATCAACCTAGACGCAGAAAAAATAACAAAAAAACATAATTCCCAAAAAAACTAAATTTTTCAACTTACCCAAAAGACCTCATCGATGATAAAAGAAACCTGTGAATGATCCATTTGTTTCCTTCTGAGCGGAAGGATATTCAAAAATGTCCTAACCATATCAATATTTTCACCGGTAACATTGGAGACTTTGAAGACCGGACACATTCTGCAAAAATTACCAAAATTATATATAACAAACGCCATCGGCTCTCTTACCTGCCATGGAAAAAATTTTGAGCGGCCAAATACAAATCCTCGAAGGTGTTTACAAGAACCGGATGTTTTCTGGACCCCGGACTTTTCAACAATTTATTCAGCTGCTTCAAAGTGTCCTCCAGGACTGGTTCCGGGCATCGATCAATTTTAGTGACAACAACAAAGACCGGAACATTAAGGGCCAAGCATAAAGACAAATGTTCTCTGGTCATCCCGCTAATTCCCATATTGGCACCGACCATCAACATTGTGTAGTCTGGTTGATGTCCAGTAAGCCCATAAATGGTAGTTTTGAGATACTTTTCATGGCCAGCCAGATCAATGAAGGTCAATATTTTAGCAGCATTCTCACTAATATTCAACCAGTCCAGTTTGCCCGAATGTGGATCTGGGTTATTTACAATCGTTCCGTGGATGTCGAAACCGAGGATGTCATTGCTGACCGATGATGTCCGTCCGGTTTCAAACTCGTGTTTGTGCCTAAAATCAGAAAAAAATATTAAATATTTATTTTCTGGATGAAAAATATAGACCCATAATTTCATATTACTTTAAACATACCTGAATAGTCGTTTTCTAGCTAATCCTCTTCCATCATCCAATGAATTATGAGTGAGAACGCCCAAGAATGTAGATTTACCCGCATCCACATTACCAACAACAGCCACTCGGACTTCAATAAAGTCGGTAGCTGGAAGATTTCTTCGAACCAATGCTATTCGAGTGTAATTCTGTCCTCCTAGAGATCTGGTAAATACTGAGGTACATTCGCAGCTAAGTTTTTTGGCAATCTGAGCATTCTTGGCCTCAGCCTTGTCCAATTCAGCTTGGGTCAGACCTAAATATAATTTTTTTAGGTATCTAAATTTAAAAAGCAAGGACATTTCAAAAAACTCACCTTTTTCTTCAAATTCATCGTCCAAAGGCATGCCTAGCTCGACCAAAGCTTCTCCCTCGCCTTCATCCAACAATCTCGTCAAATGCTCGCTATATTTGTCAAAAACTTCCTCATCATCTTCTAACAAAAATCGATTGTTCAACGGCAGATCATCTTCTATCGATTCTATTGCTTCAGCCATCCCTGAAACAAAATATTCGTCAAATAAACATTACTACAACGTGTTTTGCAAGTGACGATCGGTGGAAAAAACGACAGAGTGTCTTCTGTGTTGTAAAATAATAATTTTTTGTGCGAAAGTCGTAAGAAACAGGTATTTATTTTGAATATGACTAATCAATATGGCTGCGAGGAACACATAATTAAAAACGACAGAGTCTGGAGGGAAACGTCGCTCAAACGGCTGAATAGCAACAAAGAAAATCTCGAAAAAAATAAAAAAAAAAAAAAAAAAAGAGAAAAAGTTGACACGTTGGGTCAACTGTTGTCTGACAAAGGAAATCCGTAATCCAGAACGCCGTGGATCGTATGCTGGTTGTAACATGGTTCTGTTGGATGTTAACGACGTTTTATAAGCGTGTCAGTAACGGAAATTTTTTACGAATGATGCAAGACTTCCATTGAGAGTAAGACATGACTAATGCGTCAACTCTTCCGTCCAAATTGCATCAGTATCCGCAGGGTTTCGAAACCAAAGAAGCTGGTCACATTTGTAAACAGAAAAGCTTGATAAACCTATCAATTGTTATAATGAGTAACTCTTCTCCTTTTATAGCCATTGACTATCCCTTGAATGGGCGGGCATTTCGTGATAACAAGACGCGTCATGGAAAACTTTTGTTGAAATCAGTACAAGAACGATGTAAAATACCTCACTCTTGCATCATAAAGAACAATCTGGTAAGAAAAATTAAGCTTACAGTAGCATCTAAGTTTCAAGAGCGTACGACTTTATTCTACGGGATTAATTTCATGCAAAACCGGGATTTTTTATAAGAATCGGATGATTACTGGCAATTTCCCTCTCCAAAAGTTTGAAGGTTGGTGTTGAAGTAGCCAAGATGATCACTCAATTGGTAGGCAAGGACGAGGCTGTTGGATCCATTGGGGTCTTCGGGTTTGGTGGAAATCTACAAAGGGAAAAATATAGAGGATAACGTGAATTATATAACTTCTTACTCTATAAGTGCTGGTAAGGTTTTGAATTCCATCAGGATACCAGACTTCGGTGCTGTGATGATAGTAGCTAAGATCAGAGGCGACACATTCTTTAAGCCCCTTTGCGATACATGGGGGGACGTGGGGAATGAAATCAGCCTTGTTGATCACTCTGTAAACGGTCTTGAAAGTGGCGTCGAATTGCTTTGAGAATGCGGCGTTTCCAACTCTAGGCTCTCCAAAAGTCCAGACGACAATCTATAATAATTTGTTAACTTTTTAAACCATTGCCCTACTTTTTCAGCAGTTTTTAATCCACTTTCGACGATCTGAGTGGCAGTCAACGCGGCTTGAGCTCCGCCGAGAGAGTAGCCAGTCACAACGACGTCATAGGCTGAGGTGGTCGAGGAATTAATAGCAGATTCAACGTATGGCCTAGAATAAAACATGCATTACGATACGAAAACCTATTACTAACCAAGTAGCCTGGAAAGCTTTGTAAAAGTAATCATGGACTTCTCCTCCTCCGAAATCGTTTCTTGGTGCAAAAGTTGAAAAGATCTCGTCATCAATTTGCGAGCCTGAAAAGTTAATTTTATTTCAGTTGCAGTGATATTTCCCCCACCGTAGGATCCACGGAAAACAATAACATATTGCTGATAAACGTCAGATCTGATGACGAGAAAGCCGCACGTTTCATTGCTTCCAGGGCACTTTACATCCTAAACCAGGATAAAATATGGTTAGCTTCGATCTTACCAAACTATGAGCAACAACTTGCCAAGATCCCGCAGGTTCAGTCGCCTTGGCCACGCATTGAGTTGGGTCCGCGGCGAAGACGGCGGCGTTCAACAGTACGTATTCGTAGGACTTCTGCGTACTGTATGAGGTCGGAAGATGACCAGCAAACACGGTCGATGCTAACGAAGCCCACAAAAGCACTGCCAACATCTTTACTGTCACACTGTAATTGATGAATTGAATTTGATCTTCGAATCTTATATATATTGCATCCAGATTTGTTTGCTTTCTCCACCTTTTACTTCCTTAATCTGCACGTTACAATGTGGGCAATAAAGTTTTAGCGTTTCTTGGTAAGAATTTTTGTGTATGCAAATATTAAAAATAGAACAACGTTCGAGGAAATACAATTAATCATAACTTTTTTAAACTTTTTTTTGCTTTCTTTCAACCGGGTTTGTTAAGGCGGTACCCGGCAACTGTCATTAACGCAAATATTCGCAATTGCAAACAGACAGCTTTATACAAAAGCGTGGTTTTATGGGTTCAACGGCATACTGTAGACTATCGGACCCCTTGATCTTCCACCATTAATTTCACGCTGTTACGAGTTATTGCCGGTCTCAACGTATTTAATATATGTAATAGAATGGAACTCTTTTTATTGCTCTGGGCTCTGATTTCGGATGATTTACATCTATGATTTTTATTAGAATTTAAATATATTAAATATAAACTGCGATATAAAAGCACGTTGTGACTTTTTAATCTCATCTGACCCTGCTTAAGTGAGTTGGCATGTTTAGAGCGAGCTTGCTTATACTAATCCTATCGGTTGTGACTTCTTTTCCAACTGAGTACTCAACCGAAGCCACTAAAGAGTATTTCTTTCTAAACGCGGCATTGTTTTCCACTCCAGCTTCGGTTTGTGTAGATAAATACATCGATACGGAAGGAGAGTGGAAGATTATTGATAGGAAAACTGTAAGTAATCCTAGTGTCGTTAAGATTTTGTGTAGGATAGTATTTGCGATTACCTGAACCAAACTTGTGGCTATCTTGTCCTTCGTTCGGATGTCTACAGAGAATACATCGTTGTCTACAGAGGATCCATTGGTGAGATATTCAAAGCGGAGTGTAAATTGCATTGTATTACTTTACAGGCAGACAAGTTGAAGGAGAGGTGGAAGAGACGTTTTTACCTCAAGTTCGTTTGGCTGGCGGTAGAGTTCATCTTTATTTCTACACAGCGCAGAACTCCACATGGCAAGTGTCTCGTTTTTATTGTTTATATCTTCTTTCAGGGGTCTTGTATCCGGTATTTTGAAAACGGAAGGTACTAAGGATTACACGGTAGTATTTACTGGCCATTCCTTGGGCGGTGCTGCCTCTGTAATCAGTGCGGCAAGAGCGGTTGAGGAAGGTTTGAAGAATGGAAGTCAGGTATGTTGATAACTCGTAGATAAATGACGCATGCTTTTTAATAGGTTGCCATCTGGACTTTTGGTCAGCCTCGAGTTGGTAACTCAGAGTTCTCCACCTACATCGACGATACATTTGATGTTGTTTATCGCGTCGTAAACAGAAGGGATATTGTTCCTCACATCCCACCATGCTTTGCCAAAGGACTTACTGGCTGTTTCCCTGCAACCTTTGGATACTATCACGAGATCACTGAAGTCTGGTACCCAGAGGGCCTTTATGAACTTAACAGTACTTATCAAGTATGGCGTTACGAACTTTTTCCGTAATTCGTTTAGATTTGCACGAACGGAGGGGAAGATCCATCATGCTCAAACAGTTTGATCGCCAACTACAGTTGGGACGATCATGCCGGCGCTGAGGGGTATTTTAATATTGATCCGGCTGTTTATGGTTCCGCAAATTGCCAGGATTAATCTGACAGAACTAAATTGTAGTATATAGGATTTAGAATTATTCAATAGCACTCAACACAAACCCTTTACTTCAAATACTCTTTATGTTATATTCAGACAACAAGGGTCGCCTTTATTAGTAATAATTTATAAATAAAACAAAATGCGGAAGGTTGTGAGAGACAGCACTAAAAATAAAATTTTTGTTAGTTCGTTGCACTAATATCTTTCTTGTTGTGAAGGAAACGACGAGACAAACGGCAAACAATACAATTACAACTGCTTTTGTGGATTTCCATAATTTTGTTAATATTTCTGGGAACAATTATCGTATCAGATCTTGAAAGTAAGCGTAAAGGTTCATCTAGAAGTAGCGACATTGTTGGAGCATTGGCTGGTAGAGAAGAGAGATCACGGCGAACGAAGGGGGTGTTCAGAGAAGAAGAGTCGGGCGTTGTTGCCTGCGGGTGGAGGGCAGGATGAGGCATGCTTCTGGCGGGATCACACGAGAAGATCTTTTAGATGGTCTACTAAAAATGGAATTCGTTGTAAATCACTCTTTTTAGGGCCACAATATAATAATTTCAAGATTTTGACTTACATATTCAATGTCATCGAAGTCAGACCGTTTTCCGAATCGTACCATTGACGCCCGATCCATGGGTGCTCTTTTTCCAAATCTCACCATTGATGCTCTGTCCATCGGCGCCCTCTTGCCGAATCGAACCATCGATGCTCGGTCCATTGGTGCCCTCTTTTCAAGCCTAAAAGTTTTTGTACTAACAATAAGTGTGAGAGGAGTTTCAATTAACCCTTTCCGGACGAGTCGGCACGTATATATTAAAATGAAAGAGGGTACCCTACTGAGTAACGGCATAATAGTGGTTCAGCCCATCGAAGCGTTATTTGGGACTTATGACAAAAAATGTCCTAAAAAGTACCCCTACTTGACATATCACTTTTAAAATTTTTGCGACAAGCTGTAAAACGGAAACTACTCATAAATTAAAGTCGAGGAGTCTTAGTATTGTTACATCCAAGAACTGTCCAAATCGGAGCACCATAGGATTTGTTATCGATTTTTGGAAATTGAATTTTTAATTTTGGTCAATTTTGGACCTAAAATCAAGTATATCTTCCGCCGGAATCAACCATTTCGGTCCAAACGTGGTTTTTCCGAATCTATTGTGATCCTACCTTCTTACTAGAACATTTCCACAAAAAACCTATGAGGCATATTTCTGTAAAACGCGGAAATGTTGAAAGTGTAAAGGTTTGATCGTATAAAATGTCGCCGCGAGCCGCGGAGGGACGGGCGCAGCTCGAAACGAGAAAATATTTTAAAATTTTTCCAGAAGTTTGATTTTAGCGTGAAACCAAATTAAACTCGATTGAAATTGCCTGAAAACAGAGTAAAAATATAAAAATGGCATTTAGGTAATGTTTGCGTGCTATTTCTGCCTGTATTTCGTGTTGAAATCAGCTTTTCGACACCAAAATAATATTTCTTGAAGAAAAAATTATTATTTTCTCGTTTCGAGCTGCGCCCGTCCCTTCGCGGCTCGCGGCGACATTTTATACGATCAAACCTTTACACTTTCAACATTTCCGCGTTTTACAGAAATATGCCTCATAGGTTTTTTGTGGAAATGTTCTAGTAAGAAGGTAGGATCACAATAGATTCGGAAAAACCACGTTTGGACCGAAATGGTTGATACCGGCGGAAGATATACTTGATTTTAGGCCCAAAATTGACCAAAATTAAAAATTCAATTTCCAAAAATCGATAACAAATCCTATAGTGCTCCGATTTGGACAGTTCTTGGATGTAACAATACTAGGACTCCTCGACTTTAATTTAGGGGTAGTTTCCGATTTACAGCTTGTCGCAAAAATTTTAAAAGTGATATGTCAAGTGGGGGTACTTTTAAGGACATTTTTTGTCATAAGTCCCAAATAACGCTTCGATGGGCTGAACCACTATTATGCCGTTACTCAGTAGGGTACCCTCTTTCATTTTAATATATACGTGCCGACTCGTCCGGAAAGGGTTAAATATGCCGAAGAGAGTAAACCTACTCAAAGTCATCGCTGTCCCGTTTTCCAAATCTGACCATAGACGCTCTATCCATCGGGGCTCTTTTTCCGAACCTCACCATCGATGCTCTGTCCATGGGTGCCCGTTTGTAATAGCTGAAAAGGAAGGGTAACACTGCCTCAATTTTTGTAATCTCGATAATTTATAAATAAGCTACACGGTATGTTAAACACTCACCTTTCAAGGATATCCTGAGCCATTGTGCCGGTGAAGAAGACTACGAGCAGAAGGGGAACGAGAAGGGATTTGAACTGCGGAAGCATTGTTGGATCTGTCTGGAGTTGCGAAATCGAATGGAGAAGATGCCCAAATCTAAAAGATTTCTTGTCTCTGGTAGGAATTTGATTATTCGCGTTTAAATGTTCCAGAGCACGTCATGAGAAAAGTTTTCCGTGTAGACAAAAACTAATTCAAATTCAGAAACGTGCTGCGAATCCAAATATTAGAACTTGAAAATGGAGAATTGTCATTGGAACGGCAAGAAAATAAAGATGTCTAAAGGATCATGCCTGAGGCCATTTTGAGGATAAAAAATTTTATGAAGAAATAATGGACTCGCTGACACCCGCAAATCTTTTAAAAGGGCACGGAAACATTTTTACAAGGCAATTACAATAATTTTATTAATTTGAAAAACAAAAAGACAAAGGAATGAATTTTACAAGTTATGCTGACATTACTAAAACTAAAGAGATGCATGCTAATGTGATATAGAAATAAATATTATTTAAATTGTCACTTTTTTATGCAAATGGTGAAAAGGAGAGCATTAGCAAAGAAAGTTTGCAAAATTAAAAGCTTTGAATACGATTTCTACTGCGAAAAATGCTCAAAACGATAAGCGAAAAGCATTCTCAAATTGGACAGTAATCAATTGAGTCAGTCTATTTTACTGTAGATTCGAAACTTTAGATATTTGAGAAAGTATGTACATATATACCATGAAAACATGGCCTATATGACTTATTATAACAGAAAAATCATCCTTTTTCTATATCTAACAAATGTAAAACAAGCCCGGAAGTGAGTTTAAAAAGCTGGGAACTATATATTTATGTATATACATATATGTATAACTTGTATATATATAAACACGAGGTTTTGAACTTTTTACGACTAAAAGGCCTCAGCTTTACTAAGGAAATCCCAGTTTTAATGATGTAAGGCGCGTTGACCGTTATAATCGTATCTATTGCGCGGGAGAAGATATTTTAAGGATGTGTAAAAAATGCGTTAGTCTTGTCATTGTAACCAACAACAACAGCTTCTAAAGTTTTCGATTTTGAAATAACACTCTGATGACAAATTTCAAAATCATCGAGAGATATACGGTAGAATGGCGGAGAGTTTAATTCGGAGATAGACAACATAATCGTTCAACGGCAGCCGAAGTAAAGCGTAGAGTATCCTTAATCCATTAGCACTTGCGAATCACTTGGCCCCTTTCCATTCTCCGATATCCCATCATCCCCAAGAGCCCTTCACATCATCTTTAATAGCTATGACTAGTACGGCCCGACCTTCCTCTTACAATCTTTTACATAAATTCGTACTTTCATTTGCCTCAAACTCCTCCCATCTTTCCTGCACCGACATTATCTTGCAGAAAAAATTTGTCATAAAGTAAATTATGTACTAGTTGCGCGGAAAAGTCCTGACGCATTTGTCGCGGGTGTCGCGCGAGAAAATCGCGCGAAAGTGCATGTCGCTAGTGCAAAAACAGGGAATTGACGCAGACGGTCCCAAACAAAAGAAAAAAATCCACGGTGCGAAAGTGTAGGGACTCTATGGCGCGACAAGTATGCTGTTAGTAAATTTCGATAAATGCAAGTACAATATGTAGCATGAAAGATTGGGAAAAAGTGTCTAAATACGGTGGTTACAGTAAGGAAACCTTAAATGATTTATTGAAATTGAGGCTTTGCGTAGGATCTGGAAGATGTCTTCCGCATCATGAGTTGACTTGCAATTAGCAAATTGTTCAATTACTCGGTAAATCTGTGTGGGTGGCGACTCTCTTCCGTGCCCTCGACATTGTAGGCAATTGGGTATAACAGAACAAAGAAATTCCTTAAAAAAATGGAAAAGTCAACTCATAGAAAAGATATTGATGCAGTGGAAGTATCCACATAAAAATATTTTTTGGTTTACGTTTACAATCAAACAGAAGACAGTGTCCAAAGTCTCCCTACATTCTTGCATTCGTTTCCGAGGAACATGACTGGGTCAAATGCTTTCAATTAAAGCCATTGTCTCGAGAATCGGCCAGTGTTACAAGGAATATCAGAAAACAATAAGAAGCTAAAAGTGTAATCAAAAAACTGCTTGCAACTATTTCTAAAACTGTAAATTTCAAAGTTTTGAAAGTTTTGACGCATTACCCATTCTACCATATCGGATATCGGGTTGTTTTAGGACAACAATGTGTTTGAACACTGATGATGTAGCAGATAATGTTTCGAATTACAAATCAGACTTATTTACATTGAATGAAATGGAGCCTTATTTACAGACATGTACAGTGATGTGAATATCTTACATCATACGAGTGTACCCATCGGATCCGGTTTCCCATTAAAATCCCTAGACCATTTCGATCAAAAACCAAGTTTTAGAAGACCAGTCGACCGTTCTAAGGAGTCGCTTCGTATTTATACGCACAACTACAAACAGGTACATCATTATCCAACTACAACCCCACTCGAGAACGCCTCCATACATGTCCCCGAGGCCACGGGACTTCTCGATTAGCCCTACATTACTCGAATCGGCACTATTTTTGCCCGACTTGATTACTTTAATCCGGAGAATGAAATCATGTTTTGAGAAGATCGACTTGGACCACTTGGCCAACTCGATTAACGTCGGAAAAGCCGCTCAAAAGTTCTCTAAACCGTTTATTTCTTTGAAAATTCTATTAGATCTCGCGTTCGTTTGTCAAAATATTCTGAGCATAAAATCATTCCAGGAGTAAAAATTGGATTACAAATTTGCACAATTCTCAAAACAAACTTGAGTGATTTGGTATAGTGGTTTGATTAAAAATGCATGTGAGGTTTTGAAAATGGAGAATTGTCAACGGAACGGTATGAAAATAAAGATATCTAAAGGACTTTGGGCTTCATATGGGGTATCAACTTATAAATTTGACAATGGGAACATGTAAACTTAAAATCAAGGAAGTACCTAACAACCTACTAATGCACGGAAATTTTGCAAATTTATCCCACATTTACAATATTTTAGAATACTATTTGTAATACTCCCCCGAGACTGTTTTGTTACAATTATATTCTAGTTCGACTACATAATGATGTAGTCCTGTTGAAACGAAATGATATAATTCCATACGAAGATGTTGCAAGGCTTCCGACAACAAATATCAAAACTTGCAATATATCACAAGAAATATACGATGACGAAATCAAAAAAGTAAATTCTTACCGTAATTCTTTTTCACAATGATTAAAAAAATGCAAATTACTCCTCCGGACTCATAAGTACTCAAAATTAAACTTCATAGCCTCAGGCTGTTTCCTTATTTGTGTTGAAGATACTGCCGGATCTCGCTGAGGTTAAAGATTGCATAATTTTGAAATATAGAGGGTCAAAAATGAGAGAATTCGGAGATAGCAATTTTATGACAAAAACGGACCCCTCTTGTACTAATTTTTTCGGCTTGTACTTAATTACCGGTATAAGGCACTATTACAGGCGGAGTGCAACGCAGACACTACTCGGAAACTTTGGACCCTTAGAACTAAGAATTTGACAAGGCTGGCGGACAATTCGCAGGAGGGAATAATAAAACAAATTGATTAGCAAACTTGCCCTTCGGACAAATTAATTTGCCCAATCGCCAATGAAAGATTAAATTAAATTTTCGATGACAAACACGAGGAAACTCGAAAGGATTACGTTTTCTTCCTAATACGGTAGACAATTTTCTTAATTTATCTTTGCAAAAATAGACTGGCTTATTATGCAGTATCAGGTAAGTTTGACGTCTTTTAACAATCCTCCATTTTTTTGCCACTTTGGTGCTCTAAAATAAATACGGATTTTTCATCCATGTAATTATGTATTCATTTCGTATACTCAAGTTGTCCCACTGTTTTCTGGAACTGGAATTACTTCCAGAACACATCTAATTCCCGTAAAAATCATATTCATTGTATTTTTAGACCAGAAAAAGTTCTATGTTGCATGTATTGCGTAACACCTCAAAAATGATGATAGAAGAGAGAAAGGGAACGGGCCTCTTTTTCTGTTTGACAAAAGCACAACTGGAGGGGAAAGCGAGGCACGGGGGTATAGCTCAGGGGTAGAGCGCTCGCTTTGCATGCGAGAAGTCTGGGGTTCGAATCCCCATACCTCCAGAAAACTTTTGGATTTTTTAAAATTGCATTTATAAGGTTCGTTTATTTCTTAATATACACTTTTTGAAGAAAACTATAAAAGGTAGGAAAAAATAATCATAAACATCAGAAAGATTCTTCACTAAAATGGAGATATTCGGGCCCCGACCTCATAACATCCAATGCCATAACAGCATAACCATGTTCCGCCTTTTTACATATATGATTTATATACAGGCCATGTAACCACGATGTCATCCCCCATTCCTAGACTATTTTCGGATTGGATTTGATGAGATTGCCGCGAGAACGTAGGTCTGCGTGTACCTAAGGTTATAAACAACCGATACTGAAGTATTACTTGTAAGGCAAAATAGAGTATTTATCGGCGGAAATGCGGGATGACTATTATATAGATATTTTAAAGCCAACATGACGAGACGGAGTTTGACATCTTATAAAATTGGATTACGAAAACGTGGAAAGGGAGGTGGATTTCCAAACTTTTATCAGAACGGAGAAGTTCTGCTCTGAGAAGCCGGAAATAAAATTAGCAACATATCACAGAGGTCATGGAAAAAATGTAAAAAAATTCTCTCTTTTAGCCCTTCTGAGACCACAGTTCGTTCCACGCTCAAAGACTCCCGACCCAAATGTCGGCTCATGTGTTATCAACTTCCAAGAACAACAATGCGTAATTACCCGGTCCTCTGATTTCGTTTTTCCCATGTTCTTGCAATCTTAGAACGTGCAGCCTTCGGAAATCGCCTTTAGAATGAAAAAAAACACAGTCATTAAATCCGGGTGGCACTATAAATAACAGGCCGACAGACGTTCGCCCTAAGGCGATAATCGCTCTGAAGTCGGAATCCTTGATTGCAAATTGTTAAATTATCCGAAAATGCAACTTTTTAGAGGCGGAATAGTAGAGTACTGAAGCGAACGCAAATTTCTCGTCATTGGACGTTTGTTTCGCTGTTTCGTTGTCGAATTTAACGGCCATTTGAAGTCGGAGGGAACGCGTGATTACACAATGCCACTCCTTTTTATGACAACTTACGGTAGACATGACCTTTGAAACCAAAACGACATGTAATGTTTACAGATCGAGGGGATACAGTAGGATTAGAGAGCAGAAGGGGAAATGACGACGAAGATGACGAAGAAAGAAATTTAGAACGGTGAGAAAATCTGCGAACGATAAACACATAGACAGTGATAAATGCAAGCCGAGTTCAAACGTCAGAAGACAAAGGAATCACAATACAAATCCAACCAGAAACATTAAAGGAAGCGTAAAAATCTGGCACATAACGATCTCAAGAAATCTCAACCACCTAAAAATTTTTCTCAAACTTAAAATCGAATATGAACTGTCAGAGTCGGAAGCATTTGTAAGCTTGTTCTTTCCACCTGCAATTTCATTTTCCGATGAATTTTTTAAGCTGTTTTTCGATGTCGTTAAGGAGCGCCTAATCAATGCATGGACGCTTGTTTTATAACCGTCTTTCACGGACTTCAAGAGGGCAATGGATTTGTCATCATAAAACATTGACGCCGACTAACATCCGTGTATTTGTGTGTATACGGTATGAGCACAAGTTTGTATTCTGATCTTTGAACTGATTTGCAACAAGTCCATAACAAAACAAAAGCAAAATATATATATTTTTTAATGATCTCAAACAAAGCAAAATCCACATTCCCTTAAGACCAAAATTTAGAATGGAACAATCTTTGGAAAGAATTGGATAATTGACCGATTACTCGAGGGTAACCTTCTCCCTAAGCATTCAATTCGAGAAGTCATATTGCTCCATAATTGCTGACTAAGCCAGCGTTTATTTCCTGCTCAAGTCAAGGTTACCTTTTCAATTCTCTGATTGGTAAGTAAAGCTAGAATTGCTTTGTTTGATACTTTTTTGACAGTCTAATGTGATTTCTCCCAGACCCATTCTACTTTCCAAAACTCCATAGCTTCAATCCCAACGCCCAAAGGTCGGCTGATATGTAGTCAATAACCGTAGCAATGTAATACAATACTCTTTTGCGCATTCTTTTGTAATTTTTCTTCGAAAAATCGGCTTTTAGACTCTTGTTGAGAGCGGAGCGCGAACACTGTATTGAATGTTTTATATCAAAAAAATATTCTCGGAAAGCGACTTTTTTGAAGAGCCCAGCGGACGGAGAGCAACAAATTATTTGAAAAACGAGGAGCTTCCGGATTTGCTGACTCAGTAACTCTCTGATCAGTAGACGTAATAGGGGAGGGGAGATTGGGAAATAAAGGGGGATATTCATTTTGATGGTCGTTGGCCGTCCGTATTGCTTAGAGTACTTAACTAATCTAATAACTCATCGTTTTTTAGAAAAAGTATTTCTGGGAGATAAGAATCGGCTTCAATTCACAAGGTCTGCAAGTCTAAGACTCTGTGAGATGACTTGCCAAGTTTCGCTTTGTTCTATGACTATAGCTAATTTTATCGCAATTTGAGCCTTGTCCTCCCTATTCAGATTTTAACACTTTGTCTCTCCCACATCTTATTTTTCAAAACACATCATAATCTTGTTATTTTCCTTTCGTTAAACCAGATTAGGCTGGGTACTTTCTGCTCCTTCCCCATTGTTTTTATCAAACGCCATCCCGTTTCCACCTGTAATTCTCTCCAATCTTATCGATCCGATGTCCCCGTTGTACGCAATTCGACCGCCAAAACCCCCTTCCCCAGAGCTTTTTTTGATCGCCAGAAAAAGACAAAACAAATGACCCGAAAGGAAATATAAAGTTCCATTCTGCGTAATATGAACCGTTTGGATTCGTTTTCCCATTGAAATCTTTGGCGATCCGTGAGCTTACTGAGTAACAGTTTTTTACACGGGGTTATGGGTTTCTGTTAAAAAGTAGTTTTAAGTTGTGTCTTTGTTTTTCATACAAATATTCGTCAAATATTACAACAATTTGTTGGTTTTGTAATGGTCAAAGTTGACGAACAAGTTCCCTCTCGGCTCTCCGTAAGAGAAGCCGTTAATACATATTTGCGAATTACTCTGTAACTTTTGTCAGTAGTTTCTTTACTCTCCAAACTTTTCTTTGATTTCTTTTTTTTCTTTTACCGAAAAAAGATAACATAAAATGGATTTCTTGGCTTCGTGGAAAATCGACAGAGTGAAATTGTAAATTGGAAGGAGTGTGGAAGTCGGACAGGGGAAATTGGACAGATTTTCTTCGCTGCAATCGTACGAAATGTCACTGTTGAAATTGGACGGAGTGCACTCTGCAGAGTGAAACTCGACAGATTTTTTTTCACTGCAAAAAATAATTACATGATGTTTCAATAGTGACATTTCGTACGATTGCAGCGAAAAAAATCTGTCCAATTTCACCCTGTCCAAATTATTTTTGTCCAATTTCACTCTGTCCAATTTCCACGAAGCCATTTTTTGCAGTGAAAAAAAATCTGTCCAGTTTCCGCGCTCCGTCCAGTTTATATCTGCCCAATTTCACTCTGTCCATTTTCCACGAAGCCGATTTCTTTTGTCATTCCATAAAATTGGCCGTATGCGTATTGTGAAATGAATATTGTTTTGGAGTCGTTTTTTAAAAAAGATCCGACCGATTTTCGACTTTTGGCCCGAGTTTTTTGGAAAGGAATTTTCTCTGCGCATTTTTTTGTTTTCCGATTAGCGATGTTTTTATCTCGATTTTATTTGATTTTCTTTAGACTTTCCTGATTGTTGGAGTAAATAAAGCTTTTAGGACTATCCTTTGCCCACATATCAGCCTACAAAATGGGAATCGAAGATGATGACGTCATGGTGAAGATGTGTCGATGGCAAATTCATGTTCATGTAGGTTTTGGTTGCTACAAAATGAATGGTTGTATCTAAAATTTCTTAGAATAAAGTTTTGTGTTTTTCAGAAGGCGACCTTCGTTCTCGGATTTGTCTACATTGTTCTTGGTTTCTTCGTCGGAGTTTCCGTTCTCCAGACTCAGGATTATGTGGCTTTGGTTGATTGTTTATTATACGTTGGTTCTGGAGGACTCTTACTTCATGGGAACACAAAAGGAAAGCCCAGGTTTTACTGGCCTATGATGATTTTTAACGTGGGTTTTAGTGATCACCTTATTCCAGATGTTTCGACCGATACTGTTTACCTAAATCGCTATTTTTTAGGGAATCCACGTGATGGTCAGCCTAATCTACTTCCTATATGTCTTCGCCGTCCTTATTGGCCTCGCCGAGCCCTCCCAGCCCTTTGATGACATTGGGGACATTGGTGCTTTGATCGGATACAGCACTGGAGAGCGGGTTGGCATCGCCATTGGAGAGTTGTTGATGTGTCTGATGCTTTCTTGGTTTGGGTATGTGGTGTACAGAGGATATAAGTATCTGCTCAATGGAGGATTGCCCTTCTGAATTTGCATAACACCATTGATTTTGATCACTCACAGATTTAAATTCCTGCATGTTTATTTATTTATTAGTCTATGATTATTGCTGCTTAGACGTTCTCAAATATAATTTATGCCAGTGTACAGATCAGATATTGTGAATAAAGTATACAAATTGAAGTTAAATGTGTTTGTTTAGCAGAATATTTAGATTCCACTCGATCATCATTATACTGACAATGAATGTAAAAGCAACGTTACCTTACGACGAGCCTTGGCGTTTATGTTGTATATGTTTTTCCGTTTAATAAAACTTTACTTTTCCACATTCCTTCCTCTTTCCCCAGGAACAATCACTGTCTGGATTCTCGTTTTTCTGATTCGAAAACAATGTCAGAAGACGCTGTCGTATTGTCAATTAATCTGGCTCCGAAACTTCTTTTCACCCCGCATCGTACAACTTTACTGTAGATGAAATTAAAATGTCATTGTTGTTGAAAGTAGGAGGATTCCGGGATGTTATTATGAGTAATTCCTCCATTCAAGACGCCGTCTCCGCCTGTACTCACATTGTCTTGGGCCTGATAGAACGATGGCCCTGGCCTTTAAAAGGGTCAGGATGGAACGTTTTGGCTATATTGTTATTTGATTTCTCCTTTTTTTCATCGCAATGGTCGAGTTGCAAATGTTCAAGTCTCAGAGGGATGAGATCAGCGTGTGCTGTCTTCCGCCGATCCATGTTAGCGTAAGTTAAGTGCCTAGCAACAAGCCTTATTTCTTCTTTGTTTTTTAAAATCAATCAAAACTTTAGACGTTGGTCAAAATCGTTGCGGCTTTTTCAATCTTCGTGGCATTACTCGGACTGTTAAGCTGCTTTCTGATTGGATGGTATGGGATTTTCGGCCCAGTCCTATTCCTGATTGCGTCAGTCCTGTTATTCGTTGGTTCAAACAAGAACGATACCGGACTCTTCTGGCCCTACATGATCGTTAATGTGAGTTTCTACAAGTTATTGACTCTGCGCTTTTAGTTTATTCGAGTTAAAAATTGCATTTAGGTCTTGTACATCCTCTACGTCATATGCCAACTCATCTTCTGTATCATCGGAACCGTGATTTCTCAAGTTGGTGGGGGCGAGGGGTTACTTTGGTGGACTTGTGAAGAACTTCGGGCTCTGAAATGGTTGTTCCCTGGTCTGGTTATTCCAATTATTGTTTCTTTATTGATTGCCATTTGGTGTCAATACGTCGTGTTGAAGGGATATCAGTATATTGAGGCCAGAAAACGTAACTTGGTCGAGCCAATCAGAGTGCCCTATCCTCAAGATGTGCCCAGAGTTGTGGAGGAGACCGTGACCTACCCCAGAACTCATGTTTATGATCCACCAAGAACTGGACATTTCTAAAAGTCTCAATGGTTTTAATGCTTTTCTCCAATCGAATCTGATCAACTTTACTTTTTACTATAACAAAATAAATTCTTTCATTTAGAATTGTAAATCGAATTGTAAAATACATCCCTTAAAAGGAAAGCTATAAAAAATATTCGCTTATATATAAAAGAGACCTTCGGTTATAATAGAACTGATTATTATATAGCATTCCCCATTGCATTGTTGCCTCGAGAATCGCTAGAATAAAAGATGACACGGGTCTTCGATTTCAGTTATTTTTGTGCTATATTTTTCTCTAGATCGCTATGACTACAGTGTCGATTTGTCCTTGTTATCAAACAAATATTTTCGTAGGTGTAGTAAATATGTAATGCCAAGAGTGGTGCAACATCTTTTAGTTTGCAAATCGGATCATCGCTGGTATTACTGCATTGCTTGTCCCATGCGTTTGCATTCTACATTTTAACTGGCTGACTTATTGGGGCTTTGTGTATGGGGTAGTACTGTTAATTGGAGCCGTTTTATTGGTGGTTTCGACTTTTAGAAAATACCGAGCGTTGTATTTGGCGTATGAATGTATAATTGTAGGTCATAAACAAATTCAAAAAGGAAATCGCCTTGTGATCTCTTCAGGCCTGCAACGTAATTGGATTATTTATCACCGTCGGAAAATCGATCGGCTATGTAATTGCCCTATCGCGGGATAACATAATCGACCCTCCAAAAGAAAAAAGGGATATTTTAAGAGCAACTCATATCTTTATCATTGTGGCATCAATTATCTGCGCCTTGATTTTAATTTGGTGCGGATATATTGTGAAAAATGGATATAAATTACTGAAGAGACAAGGAGCCTTTGATGGAGTTGCCGAACTCTCACATAGTAATATTTGATTTATTGAATATTTGATAAATAAATAAACTTGAATAAAAAATTCGTACAGACTCGAGTTAAAAAAAAATGAATTGTATGACTTCTTGGCATTTCCAGCGTCTATTGTTGACAAAAAACTAAAAAGCGCCAATGGTGAACATTTTCTCGCATCATTTTTTATATGTCTTCTTCGCCTTAGGTTGCGAATATATTTAGTTTGACATGGTTAAAATAACTGTGTGTTATCGCTATCAAGGCGATGTTACTGTAAGTGCATTGGGTTAAAATATGTACAGGCCTTCTCCATGACGGAGTCCCGTACAATGTCTTAGTGTTCCTGCTTTTTAGACCGTCCACCGAGTCGTTGCTGGGATCACGGTTCTTCTTGCAATCGCCGTTTCTCTCCTACATTACACTGATTGTGGATATTGGGGCATTCTTTATGGAATTAGTCTATTGGTCGGGGCAATTTGTTTATTCGTCTCTACTTATGTAGAAAACTCATTCCTGTATTCGATCTACAAGTATATTGCGGTAAGCCGAACAATTCCCAGGCAATCAACTTGGAAAAATTGTCTTTATTTAGGCCATAAATGTAGCCGGATTGCTAATACTCGTTACAAGGATGATTGTAAACGTTTGTGAAGCATATGACGTGAACGAAAGCATCCCAGAAGATACGAGGGAACGAAACAAATTGATCGGGCCAATTGTGGTCTTCTGCTCGATTTCTTGTGGGGTTATTCTGATTTGGTGTGCGTTTATCGTCATTAAATCCTGTAAATTGCAGAATAAAGAAGAGTGTTTTTGAATATTTGAGTTAAAGAAGAGTGTAATGACTTTCTCTAGCTTGTGGTATGAGGAATAATAATTTCGTTACAATGAATCATACCAAGTGACCTTTTAGGTGGCAAAAATTACGTTGATTAATGTGTCATATCTTCTAGCCTTAAGAGTTTTTGTAATCATATTTCTAATGAACAACACAAACTAGTCAAGATCTTTATTTTTCTTTTTGTTGGCTTTCAATGGGTAGCAGAAAAATCAACGTGTGTTTATGTTGTCACGGCAATACGACTGTAGGTCATATTGAAAGTTTTCGATGAAAACTAGTTCTTATTGTAGACCTTTACGTATACTGTCGGGATTTTTTCAATAATTTACTCGCTAATTGGAATTCTTAAAGCATTTTTTCTGGAAATATATTCGTTAATTGCGATGCCTGCAGCAGTGATAGTATTGTCTGCATTGTTAATTATTGGGGCTTACAAACGCCAAAGACTTTTGTTTTTGCCATTTCTTACCGGTAATGTAAGTGTAATATTAAAAATACTCAAAGATTTTTTGATCATAGATATTTTTATGTGTTTCAGGTAATAGTCATCGGAATTTATATGGTTGGTCTAGGATGTTACTTATACACTGCTATCTGTGTATTTGCCGGGATCGGAGACGAAAACTTTTACGGAATTGCTACCGGAATGGAGAAACAATCAATCCCGCTAGTAATTATTGCTCTGTTTCTTGCACTCACCTTTGCTGTGTGGAGCGAGCTTGCCGTATTCGAAGCATACAAATCACTCGACCCGAAAATTAAAGACGAAGAACTTTCAGAGGACTCTGAAGTTTTTGAGCAAGAAACTTGTAATGATAACATTTACATCTAGCATAGAATTAATAAATAGAAACCTTATTCACGATTATTGGTTTGTCGTTTCTTTGCATGTGGCGTTTTGTACCAAAAACAGAAGAAGTCCGCATTAATCACCGAGAAACCCTTCACAGTGGACAACACAACGCGTAGCGGGGCCTTGCTGAAGTTCTGTCTTTTGGCGTCATCTGATTGAAAGGGCTGGTGACAAGTCACAATGTTTTTAGCTTGTTATGCAACGGGTGGATTCAGAGAGTTGAAAAAAGATCTGAACTTAAAACATTGCAATGAGTCACATATACTTGAAACAAATGTCCCGCGAAATAAACCTCTTATATATATCATGCATGCGACAATGGTGTTTCTGAGATCACATTTTATATGGACTGTTAAAAGAAGTCACTGCTTCCAGACCTACATTTCTTTGCAATGTCTGATACAACATGTTGCTGTTGTAGATGTAACTCTCTTGTAAGCAAACCTTCAATAAGCGTAGCTCATGTTAATTTCAGAGCATTGTCAAAGTACTATCCATATTATCGATGATTTTGTCCGCCCTCCTCGTCATAACGTTTTCCATTGACAAAATATATCATTTCATTGTTTGTTCTGCGATTATTTTTGGGCTGTCCGGCCTATTATTTGTTGGTGCTGTGGCCAAGAAGAGGTTTCTCTTTGTGCCGTTTCTAATTTGCAATGTAAGAACTTAGATAACTCGGCAATTTTTGAACGCTAAATCCGTTTTTTAGGCATTGACAATTGCTGGCGTCTTGATATTGGTTGGACTCATAATATTAAAAACTGTCGGTTTGTTCGACGGCTTTGAAGACGGTGAAAGCTCAGATGTGGATAATGAAACAATGAAGATAGGCCTTCCGCTTAGTATCGCGTTTTTTTCACTAGTGTTTATTTTCGATTTGTGGTGTGAATATGTAGTCTACAAAGCTTTCAAATCGTTGCGGATGCAGTGAGAGGGCCTGGAAATCAGTGAATAAAATAAATATATACGTGCAATCCATATTTTTTATATCTGCGCCGTCTTGTTAAACTTATTCTAAACGCAATAAACACTATTATCAGACAAAAGCAAAAATTTGTAGGTCAGTATTCGATGTAAATACTATAATCAACATCAAACATTTTTTGAAAAACGCGACCGTCCTTTTCCTCTTTTACAGTTGCTTACTGAGTTACAAGCCTCAAGACAAGTTGAGTTCACGAGGGTGGATTGATATATTTACTTTCTAATTCCGAGGGTAATCTCGCCGTGTCCTGAGGTTAATGGATTTTTTAGTCGAAAAATTTTAAAATTTATAATTTCAGGTTTACGATTTTGCATTCTAATTTTGTGTTCCTTTCATGCAAAAATTTCAGTGATTCCTAGATAGTCGTTTCTGTTAAGGTGTGCAGCTACAACGCCATGTTGATGTAAGCCTAGTCAGATCGTATCACGGGCATTCTGTTAAAAGCCAAAGAGCAAAGCGCTTGCCTCACATTTTTCCCGATAAAACTTAATCACTTCCTAAGCTCCTGGATATCTTTGACTATGAACAAAGAGCCACACCTTGCGTGGTCTTTGTTTTCATGATTACCCTTACTTATTTGGGTGCAGCGGATAGCAGTTTTGTGCTCAAATATCGGTTCTTATATGAAATTTATCCTATTTTTTTTTTCTTTTTGCAGGAGAAGAAAGGACACAGTGATGTCTCATTTTAACCTCTGCTGTATCTATAAGGTTCATATTGATGTAAGTATACCTATAGGTAATCGTGGCCTTTCACAGTTTTCATTTCTTGATTTATTGATTTATCTAAGCTTGATTTCAGACGGTGGTAAAAGCAGTAGCAGTAGCGACCTTTGTGCTCTCTTTCCTTGGAATCCTTGGATTCTTCGCCGGCTTTGGCGCTACGGCTATTGTCAGCGTTGTGTTGACAGCAGCCTGTTCGGGATGTCTGCTTTATGGGGTGATTCGTGAACAGGAATTGTTTTATTGGCCATATATGGTGTGGAATGTAAGCTGACTTTGCTTACTCAGTTTAGTTTCTTTCATAACTTTTGTTTTATTTTTTAAATTTTCAGGGTATTAAAATTATTGTTTCTATTGTTGGAATAATCATCGTTGCACTGGTAGTCGCTGCAGTGTCGTCAGATAATGTTGTTTTTAAAGACGCTGATGGGAACATACTGACTAAAGAGCAAAGGGACCGACTGAAAACCTTGTGCATACTTGCACTTGTTGTTTACAGTTTTGATATCATCTTGGCGATTTTGTTCCAGTACATTGTTATGAAAGGACACAGGTCCATGAAATCGAGGACGACCACGAATTAGCGCTCCACTATTCTGATAATGCATGTACGTACAATATATAATTTTGCTTTTGAATAAAGCTTTAATATGTATATGTAACTAACTATTAGATCAAGTAAAAAATTTTTTGGCAGTCAACATAGTCGCTTTATATCAACTGTTAGAAGAGCGTGTTAGTATTTACATCTTTGGTAGCTTACGATGTGATCCATCGTTATTTTATTCAAGAAAAGACAGAATTTTGCCCATTTTTGAATACTGTGTTGGCCAATACTGGGATTACTGTAAAAAATCTTTTTAATAAAGTAGGCCTCCAATTTCTTTCTTATCACCTCAAAAAAACGTCATTTCCTTCTCCAACTTCTGAAAATTTCATGCGAGTCGGCCAGTTTCTTCGTGGAGTTGCACAGAAATTAAAAAATCGAGGTAATGACCCTAATTTGTAAAATTGCAATATCCAACACTCAGAAAAGAAAAGAGCTGAATTCAAATGAGCATTCTTATCACTCCTCACTCTGATTCTTCCCTTTATTGTCCTGTTTTATGGAAAAGAAACAAATTCATTTCTTTTTTGTCAAAAAAGATATCCATGTAAGTAAAATGCGCTTAAAATAACAAAAAATATTTGGTGTCTGTTCCATTGCGAAATAAAATTTCCATTTTTTCTTAATCCGCCAATCTAACGATAAGTCAATATATGACTCACATACAAAAATATAGTTTTAGCGAGCCCTGTTTGTAGTCGGAGTAATATCCGTGCTCATAGTCATCATTAATTGTACAGCTTTTTGGACTCCGGTTGGCTATTATGTGTTCATTCTCGGGATTGGATCAATTGTCGGCTCAGCGATCTTAATTCATGGGGTTCATGATGATAAGCCGTTACTATTTATCCCTTATTTGTTTTGGAATGTAAGTTAATTTAATTCGAACGTTTTACTGGTATTTAGGGTCTTCAAATCTTCGCTTTTATGGGATTTATTGTGACTCTATCGTTGGTGCTATTTGGTATTATCCACCTTCCTCTGCCAATATTGCAGACTAAATCAGAAGACATCAATGATTTTACGAAATTAGTCACAACTGCAGCGGCAGTAATTAGTACCGGATTGTTCATGGTCGAAGTGGTTTTATTTACTCATTTTGAATATGTTGTTTACAAAGGTTTCAGACATTTGCAAAAGGAAAATAAGGCAGGCTTAAAGACGCATCAGTCTTCAAGGTATTTGAAATTTATATAAAATTATAATAAAGTTGTCGAAATTGTTATTTTTCGAGTCTTTTTGCTGCAATCAAGGAATTCAACGATCTTTGCGGACTGTAGGAAAAGGGTAGCAGCAAGAAGGCATACTGAGTTTGAATTTGCATATCAAATTTTTTGATTCTCGTCCGTTCGTCTTGGTATTTTGGGGCCTAAAGTGTTACGGCAGCTGTTTGTCGAAGATGGTATGCCAAGAAAATACTCGAAAGCTTTAATAAAACTGTCTTTTTTCATTAATCAGATGTACACGTATGATGTTCCAAGAACACAACCTGACAAAGACTACTCGTTGTTAAAAAAAATGCTTTTCAACACTACAAACGCTTGATCAAACCGTCTTTTGACTCACTCATGGGTGGTCGCTGCACAAACAACCATAAAAAATTTAATTTCAATTATGATGTCATGTGCCTAAATCTGCAATCGAACTGAAGTAAGACATCTTGCCCACAGCTTTGCACAAATTGAAATTTTCTATATGAATAATTTTGGCGAAGGTAAAAATTTTTTCCGTTTTGAAAACGAAACTGATCTATTGATCTCCCAGACCCAACGTTTTCCTTGGTCCCCCAGCTTTGAAATTTTTAAGTGTGATAATCCCTTGGGGAGGCTCTATCTGAACCAGTTTCCCACGTCTGAACCCAAAGTTTTATCTGCACTTTGGGAGTCAAAACGGGGTTTTGGAGCCCAGGTATCAAAATAGGCGGCCAAACTGACTGAGTGTTGTTTTTGATCATTCAGTGACCCCGAAACACTCCAAAAATGTCTTACGTTCGAGTTTTCTGCTGCACATGTCATGTTGATGTATGTTTAGCTTTATTTTATTATGATCAGCCTATAAAAAGTCAAACGGCAAGGTGCTTAGCTTATATATTTTGTTCGGTAAAACGCAATAACTTGCGCAATCGACTTTTAAGTATAATCAAAGCGCCACACCTTTCAAACTAGTGACGTGATTCTGGTGTAGTATGCTTATCACAACAGACTTTGGTGCAGCGTTTAACAGGTTTTCGTTATGATGAATCACTGTGCAAACAAATTCGGGGCCTTATATAAAACGGATTCTTCTATTTTTTGTTTTTGTTAGTAGGAGAAAGGGCGAGAAATGTCGCATGTGACTGTATGCTGTTGCTGTAGGTCTCATGTAGATGTAAGTGAATGATTTTATATTTCCCAGTTTTACAAGTTAAAGCTTCGTGTCACTCTTACCAAAGTTATATTTTTAGGGAGTGGTAAAAGCCATCGCAATAGTGACCTTTGTGCTCTCTTTCCTTGGAATCTTAGGATACTTCACTGGCGTTGGAGCTTCCGCTATTGTCAGCGTGGTAATTACAGCAGTCTGTGCAGGATGTTTGCTTTATGGTGTGACCAAAGAACAACCAGGGTTTTACTGGCCTTATATGATCTGGAATGTAAGAAAGATTTGTTTTACTGCCTGTTGTTTCTTCTGAGTTTATGCATTTATGTGTTTCTTGTTTTCAGTTTCTCAGAATTATTGGAACTATTGTCGCCATCGTCATCCTTTCACTGGCCATCGTTGGGTTGTCGGCATATGACATTGAAATTAAGGATAGCGATGGGAAAATAATGACTCGAGAAGCGAGGGATGAGGCTAAAGTTCTCTGCATAATTGGAATTGTTATTTACACCCTTGATATTACTCTGGCGATTTGGTTCCAGTATATTGTTGTAAAAGGACACAGGTCTATGAAATCGAGGAAAGGAATAAACTAACGACCCATTACTTTGATGATGTACATAATTCAGCTTTTGCACAAATTTTAATAAAATTAGCGACATATTTTTTTTCTTTTTGAGGTAAAAATTGTCCCACGTGGCACGCCATGCGTGACAAAGCCAGATATTCCTACTACAAGAAAAATTTCTGTTCCTCGTGGAGCGTCAGGCCACTAAGCTGAATAAATATACGTGTGTATGATCACATACTAAAAATAAAATTTTACTTTGAAATTAAACCCAAGGCTTGGCACACACTTCGGGCATGGGCCACATATAAATTTACAAAAATGTTGTTTTGCGCTTTCAAGGGTAGCCGAGTGCTCTACGATTTTGAAGACCAAGAGAGTACGCAAAACGTATAAAGCGGTCATAGAAAAAAAGACCTGGGTCGTTTTCTAAATAAAATCTCGGCTGTTTTTGCAAAACGCGAGCTAGGAGCTTCGAAAACGTCTTAGATCTGAGCGTCGAACTTGTAGTACTTCTTCTGTAAATATTACGCAAAATATGTAATAGTAAGAAATATTGTTTATCAACCATAAAAATTACAAACTGAGTTATTTGTGATCATGTTCTGTGATTGTGACCTTATTCTCCAAATATGTAAATACATGTGATTTTCTGTGTCATGAGCAAAAGATTATTAATAACATCAATATTGAGCAATAATATCATGTATTCTTTGGTAAGATTATTGTCCGTTGTACTGAGGTTGGGACCATCGGGCGAGTTTGAATTCGACTGCCCACATTATCTACACGACGCCGTTGATCTACAGCGGAGGCTCTAAAAAAAGATGGATATAAAAAAAGCGGTTTGAAAAGGTAAAAGCGAACCAAAACATTATGTTTACAATACAAGCCAAGCAGCGAATTTTTCCGATTTCTTACGTATCAAACATTATCATACTTTTCTGGCACTCCATTTTGTTTGTTCCCTCCAGTGCCTCCATTGTTCTCCGCTATCCTAAATTGTTGTTTCTTTTGCGGCGATTTGACAGGACTCTTTGGTGGACTACCTTCTACTTGGCCATTCGCTTTGACCTGATCAATATTTGGCAATGAATTTGCGGTATGATTCAGTTCATCCAGTATCGAATCGAGGACATTGGCGCTGTTTGTTGAGGATGTTATTGATGGCGGAAGGGGCGCTGGTTTTGGTGGATTAATATTCTGCCTTGGAGATTGTGGGATCGGGGGAATTGATGTGCTTGGAGGCGGTGGAGGAGGGGGAATATTTAGCCGAGAAGGCTTTGGACTGGGGATTCGATTCGGATTTGGAAGAGGCGGAAGATCTTGGCGGTCTGGAAAACGGTCATAATGCAAAGATGTACGGAAAGTTTGCTTACTATGTCCATTATTTCCATTGCCATTCGAGACACTAAACTTCGGACCTCCATTCAACGCAGCCTTGTTTCTGTCATACATTGCCGGATCTTGCACCAGCGCCAGTTTTCTCATTGTTTGCAACATATTCTGCAAAGCGGCGCATCTTCGTTGGAAATTCTCCAGATTAATTGGTTCTCGCCTCAGGAATTCCATATCCTTGGCAATTTCGTCGCGATATTTATTGAGGTGACGATTGACATCTTCTTCCAAATTCTGGAACTCGGCCTTAAGACTGTCGGTTTGCTGATCCAACCCATTAACTTGAGCTGCAAGCTCTTCGACCTCATTCATACGGAGTTTCTGATTCTTGCTGAGAACACTAACTCGACGCTCTTCGATTCGGTCTTCTAGATTCCTAGAAAAGGATAATTTCTTTTGATTTAAACTTACTGAATAGTCTCTTCCAATTGCGCCACGCTTCTAATGTGCTCATCTTTCTGTCCTTCCAGCACAGAATCTTCCTGACTTGGACCTGCTTGAGCTTTGAAATCAGCAATTTCTCTCTCTTTCTGAGCCGCAAACAATGTTATTCGGTGGTTCAGCCGGGAGAAAGTATCTCTTAAAATATCGCTTCTAGCAAGGGCATCCATTCTCAGAGATTCTTTAAGCTCAGCTAGCCCTGATTGAAGGTTTGCCGCATTTCGTTGGATTGCCTTGAGATTTGATGAATTAAATGGTGGAGACTTCTCGACTGGTCGGTTGGATTTAGTGAGACGAGTGGCGTCCGAACGCATTTCCATGAGGCGGCGTCCAATATCGACCATATCCTAAAAGCATAGTATTAGTTTAGCCAAAAAGTTTTTATTGTGGACAGTACAAACATGACCACTCGAGATGGGTCTTTTTCAAAATCGAAGTATTATACTTATCCAGCACATGAGCTGCAGGTGCATAAGATTTGCCTCAGGATTTTACTCTACTACAGGCCTAATACAAGTTTTATAACACGATATACAAGCCAGGCTACACCAGGAAGGTCATAGGAACACTAAGAAAAATTTTAAAAACTTTCTCAATAAATAATTGAGAACACTTAGAGTGATGAGAATTCTAATTATATACTTGCCTCTGACTGATCCTTGTGCAACGCATGCCTGACCATATTGGACAGATCGCTCAGCTGCTTCTCCATATTCTCCACCCTGTATCTTGTCTCTTTATCAATCACTGGAGTTGCACTTCCACTTCTCGGACCTTGACTGCTATCACTATAATACGGATCGTAATAGGGCTCATAATGACTTGATGACAACATATTTGAGCTTTTTCTTCCTCCGTTCTGAATTGATCCGTAAATCGGATATCTGGCCTGATCGCTTGGGACAACACTGGACGGTCGATTTGGACCCCGATAGGATGCGTATCGACCACTTCGATCATCCAACATCTCCGGTTCGCTTATATAATCTGTTGGCAAAGCGTCTGTAAATCTGACGGGAGCGGGACCATTTCGCGTCGCTTGGTTTTGATGGATCTTCAGAACACATTGGTCTCGGATGTCACTGAAAAATGTTACTTTATTGAAAGCGACAAAAACAAGCTTACTTTAAATCCTCCAGCTCATAGAACAAGACATTGTCACCAGTTGAATTCCTGTCCGAAATGTAGATCTTAACGTGTTCCTGATTCAAAAATTGTAAATTCAGCGCGGGAAATGAGCGCAGGAACAAGCTCTTGATCTGTTCCAAGCTGTAGATCTTCATTGGCAAAGCAGATCGCTTCACTTCTTTGTTGAACTCGAGGTAGACCACGCCTGAAGAATATTTTTTATCTGATATGTATATACATACCTTTTGGATTGAGCACATTGCTCGAGCTATTCCTTTGAGGAGGAATCGGCAGTCTCTGATATGGAAACTCATTTGTCGACATATCTGACTCAGAAAGAGCTCCATCGTCAGATCTTAGCTGCTGGAGAATAGCATTAGCTCGGTTCTTGGGATTGGCGTTGACTGTGTTGATGATCTGCTGAGCTCTTTCTGATGCCGAGTTCTGCGCATAAGATCCATATTGTTGACGGGGAGGTCGCGGTGGGACGTATTCTTTACTCATATCATCACTTAAGTGCCCGTTATCTCTGCCCAAAATCGGAGTTCTCTTCCCTGGTAAAGCCCCATAATCACTATGGTATCCATTAGACCGTCCATTCACAGTCAATGGCGATGGCTGTCTTTGAACATACTCTGAATGCCGAGAGATTCCAGAATCCGAAATATGGCCAGATAAAGTCTCAGCTCCAACAATATTCATGGGGATGGGCTGGGGAGTGGAACGATTCGGATTGTAAGCAGGAGGTAGAGCATGAGGTGGAGAGGAGGTTACTGTAGCAGTCAGAGCTCGGTTGGCATTTGCATTCTGATAAGTTTGAGGTTGGCGACGTTGAGAGTTCGGGGTGGCAGGAACAGAGCTTGAGCCCACACCTGGAATCATTCAGGCGTGTTATAAGAGGAACATTGGTAACATTGCAAGAAAGATGGAACCTAAGCTATGCTTCGAAACGTCTCAAACGTCAATGTTTAGACAATCTAAACGTTTTTTTGGCCGCCTCAACCTCAAGGATAATATTCCCCAATAACCCTTCAACTTTCAGCTGATGTGTTTTTGTTCAGACATGTGATTTGGCCGAGAGGAAAGGCCAAGAGGCTTTTTTAGACGATCCCATTTATTTGTAGGATTCCCAATTTACCCCAAACGATGACACATGTTTTTCCATGCCGGTTAAGCTCGGATGTAAGAGAGGTGAGGTGACCTTTAGGGAAACTTTACGAAAGTTCGTACAAATCCTGATTTTTAGAGAGTAATTAACCTGAAAGTCCAAAGGTTATAGGCCAAAAAATAACTGACAAAGGAGAAATTCCACCGGATCTACTGATTCGCACAAAAAGAACCCCTTTTGACCCCAGGGAAAAGGGAATTCAGAGGGACTCGAGATCCAAATCAAAGAATTAAAATCCGACTTTTATACGTTTGATTTTTTTGTTACAACAGATCGATCTACAAAATCTCGATTGCCAAAAAGATTAAATCCCCGGACAACCAAGACAAATCAATATATAATTAATGGCTTTGCAAAACTTGTTTTCCAAAAAAACATTACTAATCACCGTTCAAAAAATGAGTTCACTGATAAAAAACAGTGGGATCTCTTTGATAAAAAGCGCTGCTGAGAGTAAAAGAGTTTGTCAACATTCAAGTACTCTGTACCGGTCAGAGAAAACCGAGAACTCCAATAAAAATTTGTTTGAGGGGCTAAAGCAAACAGCAAAGGTTTAGACTTTACTCTAATTAATTATAGCAGCCAAAGCAACAAAATTGTTTGTTGCGAGTCTCGATAATAAATATAAAATTAGAGGCAGCGATACTCCTTGAAACAATCAATACTTACAATAATCCTCCACGGACACCGGAAATGGCAAAGGTTTGTATTTTTCTTCAGCATAATTCAAATACTTGTCAATAATCCAGAACAAAGCCATTACGACAAGATCGGCGGCCAGAAAATCTCTCAAAAATATCTCCCGGAGGAAATGACCGCTAACGCCGATCAATCATGCAATTTGCCATGAAAGAAGGACATAAAATCGTTGAGACTATCTGATGGCCCACATGCATAAAAACCACAAAGTGACTAATACCTCAAGAATCGTATGATGTAATAAAAAGACATGTTCTTGGCCCCTTTTGTTATGTAATATTATCCACATTACGTGGCCCAAAACTTGGGAGTGGAAGAGGGAAATGCCAACAACTTCGAGAAAAAAATATAAATAAGAAATTCGTATATCGAATAAGGGCCCTTACCGTCTTCAAACCTCACATTCCTCGGGCTTTTGCTCCGATTATTATTCAATCGATCAAACTGAAGGTAATGAAAGCCTTGATCACCCTCGTTCCTGTGCAAGATCGATGAGCGATTACTATGGCCATAGCCATTATTCTGGCCATATCCATTATTGTTGATGTTTTGTCGGCCAAAACTTTCACCATTTCGATTCACATTTCCATTGGCGATGTGTCCCTTTGGAACATTGATGTTTTGATCCAAATAAGGAGTCGGGGAATGATCTCGATTAGTAAAATAGTTGGTGTTATTCATAGTAGAGTTAATCCCATTAGGATTCGGTAGAATTGGATCGCTTGGGGGATCTTGAGACTTTGAGTTTTGAATAGGAAGGGGAATCTTCGTGGCCTCTTGGTTTTTCCGACTGGTCGAATCCACTCGTCGAATTCCAAATTGAATCTTGGGCTTCCACTTGAGAATTGGCATGTTGAAGGGCAATATAAACGTCCGTTAGGCAACGTAGAGGTTGCAATTGAGGAGGTGTGCAGGCTTCTTTACGGTCGAAAGAAGATTCTCAAACTGTTGAAAACTACATAAAATCGATGTAGAACTCCATTTGTCACTAGTAATCACCTCCTCAAAGTTCCATAAACAAAAAATCTCGGTTGAAATATCAGCTGGGTACTCTTGACACCTCTTTTTTGACCACAAAGTCCGATTCTCTGGCCAAAACCGCTGGTAAAATCAAAGTGTCATGCGGTTTCGTCTCCAAATGTTGATTGGGATCGGATAACAAAAAAAAGATGGAGAGGAAATTTATATAATCTTCAAAGTCGTTAGGGGGTCGTTAACGTGCCGCTGGGCAAATTAGTGTGATTTTATCGCTGCAGGCGTTAAAGCCGGCCCAATTAGAGATGGATTACTGTAAGACCTGGAATGGAAATCGTGACGAAATGGAAAAATAACAAATTTTACATCGGAAGAACAGGCAAATTACCTGTTTATTAAGTATAAAAACGACCGAAAAATTGAGAATAGAGTTTAAAAAGTTCGAAATTAAATTTGGAGATTAGTAAAATAGATTAGAAATAAGTCGAAATGTCAAAAAAGTCATTCGTTTTGAACCAAAAAAATGCAAGAATCAGCGAAAAACAAGGGCAGCCTGATGTCAGCGAAGCTCCCCCTCCCCAGAAATGAATCAGTCAGATATCAGCGGAGATGACAAGAAATGTTTTGAGCGGCCCAAAAATTGGAAGGAATCAGCCCGAACACTACAACTCTTTGTGGCACAATTTTCGAATCAAAATCACTTTTCGCCCTTTGCCTCGGGGCCCTTCTCCAAGCGGCCTCGAAAACCTTTTTGTGGACACGCCGAGCTGTTTTGAAACGCAATTAGATTGAGTAGACGGAGAAGACAATTGTCGGCCGAACATTGCCTCAGGCGATCAGGCAAGGTGGGGATGAAAAGAAGAGGGATGGGACCAAGGGGGGATAATTAAAAGGCAATGTAAACATTGGGAAGGTACTCTGCCAAAGGCTTCTGTCAAAAATAGAGCTATATAAAAGGCCTATTGTGCTTTACATAATCAAAAGCAGATATCCATAGAATAATATGTAAAATGTTAATGCCATTCTTAACCCCCCTCCTTTCCCCTTTCTCCTTTCCCAACTCCAAACGAGCCCTACAAAAACCCCTCTCAAATGCCCTACGGTTAAACACACTTAACACCAAATGTTTATGAATACAAAAGATGCCGAGAATTAATCAAATCGACGAAACTGGCCCTGGCCTAATTTGCTCGCACCACATCCCCTACAGGGATTTTGGAAAGACCATTAAACGCGCCTCATTGGCTTAGTGGCAGAGCGTCTGTCTCGTAAACAGAAGGTCGCTGGTTCGATTCCAGCATGAGGCAACTCCTCTTTTAGACAAGTTATGCCCACTTTTTTGGAAGACGCCATTAGGCGTGACCAGCCCGAAAATTTGGTCAATTTTTAAGAAAACCCAAATTCTATAGCTAAAAAACGGCTGCCAATGGACTTGCAGGGTTTTCTTGAGTGCACAGCAGTTGAACGAACGGAGGACATTATTAATCACAGTTTGGCCGTTAAATGGACTTAATTTATGACTACGAGAAGAAAACTGCCGGTATTTCGCTGAAAACTTTCGTTCGTTTCTTAATGTAAGACTAGAACTTAAGGGCACTTTGGAAATGAAAAAGTTTAGTATTTAACAACCAAAACCGGCGCATTTACGCCAGACAATCCCTGATGCCATCTCGAATTCTTATTATTCAATCTGAATGTCTTGTTGGATCAGCTCACTTTTTGCGTTTGTTGTAATGTCTTTTGGAGATCTCGAATCTCTTCGTTTGACACTTTACACTCCACAAATCTGATATCGCCAATCTTCTTTGTCTTAAAATTCGCATGCAAAAAGCTCTTTTTCGTTATCAAATAAAAGGAATTCCAGGTGGACAGAGCTCCTTTGTCTCATCAGCCATTTATCAAGTCCCGAGGCGGGATGGAATGCCCTGCGGCTAGATAAACTTCAAATTGATGACAATGAGGAGATCTTAAAAATCTTGGGCCGAAAGGCCGAGGGCATGGAATTCCGAGAAAAATAAATGCATTACAATTGCACGAAGCTCTTTGCAAATGAGAAAACATTGTAAGCTTGGTGGTGCGTAAAATTCCAATGAAAATAAGTGAAAACGTTGCATTGCAAAGAGTAGAAAAAATTATTTTTGGACTTGGCACCTCGAAAACCTAAACCCAGATTTAAGCATTTCTGTAAGTTAGATGACAAAAAGTCACAATACTACGTCATAAACCGTTGCCGGTTATCGTTATTTACTCACTCTGACTTGAAGCAGACACTTCTTTTATCTAGCAAAACCCATTTTTTTATCATTTTCTGGGTTACGGCACAAAACAAGTGTTGGAAAAAATTGGCGTCCTTTGAAAATGCAGAAAAAGGTGCAAAAATATAAATCGTCTTACCATTTCTGATCTTGTGAGATCCATTGCTATCAATTTTCTTTGGAGGTTTTCGATGACTCAAAGGCGTTGATGGCAAAGAATTGGTCTTCATTTGATGTTTCACCCTCTTCTCATCCATTACATTTACATCCACATTCTTGTGACGTTGCGGCAATATCCTGTGCAACATCTTAGCCAGCTGTCGAACCAAAGAATTCTGCCGTCTCAGCTCCTTTTTGGATGTTTTCGCCGAGCTTTCGTCGCTCTTTCTTGGCTCCTTAATTTGGCGTTTGATCAGTTGAGGTGAGGCCGAATTGGATTTGACAGCTTCCTTCGCTGTTTCCTTCTGATTTTCTCGGCGTTTGTAACTCGCCAAAGTCGAGGTGCTTGCACTCTTTCTGAGTCCGGCTTCAATGCACTTATTCAAATTCTCTTCGAATTTGTTTTTGGCAACTTTATCGGCTAAAGTTGTCTGCACTGTGCCCAGTAGAGTTGGATGATTCTCAATAATTGTTGTTTGTTGTGTAGCTTCGGAAACCGAGACAGAGTCCGGGGTCCCACGAGACTCCACGATGGGTTCTAATGTGGTTCTGGTTGCCTGTGATGAGATCGATTTGGCGGTTGATCGATGACGATGTCGAGAAGGAATTAGTCGTTCGTTTAATTTCTGGACAATAGGATAAGAAGATTCCGAGGAAACAGGATCTGCAGGATGACGGGATAACGTGGAGGATGATTGGACGTCTAAATAGGCAAGATTTATTTTTTGGTGAAAATCAAAAAAAGATGAAAGCCGGAATCGAACCAGTGACCTTTCGTTCGCTAGGCAGACGCACTGCTCCTGAGCCATTGAGGCACAATGTCAGTTTAAACTCTAGCTGTACTAACTGATAAGAAGACTAAAACTAGGGAATTTTTGAGGAAGAAAATTGTGTTTTTTTCGAAGATCATCAATTTTCTTACCTTCTTCGCCCACCTCGGCCAATTGAGGTCGATGAAGTAGATCCTTTGTGGTCGGCGGAAGTACAAAAAGCCTTTCACTCCCACTCTTAGCCAGACTATTCGACCATTCGGATAAATTATCTTCAATATCACCACTGATCGCACTTAACGTTAATGATTCGGCCTTCCAGTTGGGCGACCACAGCACAAGGGGTGAGGGTTTTGACGGACTTTGACGGGCGGGTCCGTGCGCCGCGTCCCAATCGCCGAACCAGTCCTTGCGGGCTGCCAGGTTTGACGACTTTTCGGAGAAATTGGACAGGTCAAAGGGTCTTGATTAGGGTCAGGTGTGGGTGATATAACGACGAGCTGAACGGGAGCTGGTTGGAGGAAGTTTAGTGAGAGCTTAGGAAGATCTATTGTCCGTAATCGCGTGGGAAAAGCAGAAACGAACCATCAAAATACTAGAAATGTCTCCTTGGGCTCCTTGGCATCGGACAACTAAGCCTCCAACGCCCTGTTTACCCTCATGGCTCAATCTGACATGGCAAAGATAATAAATCCAGCAAATATATCCGACGAAACAACTTTTCAAGGCACGAGATAAAGACGTTTTTTAAATCCCCACCTAATTCCTCAAGTATCAAATCATCTGTTTCTCTAATTGCCTCTTCATTATACAAACTCTCTAGGCCTTTTTGTGATCAAGAATTTCCGTTAATTTTCAGGGAAACAGGTGACACGCGTCCTCAAATTAAACTTTGGGAATTTCAAACTTTTTTATCCGAAAATAAAAGACTCTTGATCTCCATCTCTAAAGTGATAACGGGAAATAATGGAGCTGAAAAAACAGATGACATTTCTTATAAAAGAAAGACACGTGTTGTCCCTTGGCCGTCATAAAAGACATGGGCAAATAGATCGAGATTGATCCGAGCCAAGACTAATAGAATCTCTCTATGTCCACTTAACTCGATCTATCATCCCGAAAATAACATTTCAAAAAACACCCGACCTCAAAAATGTTGAATGTCAGCTTATCAAAGGCCATCGGACAGACTACATCAAAAATATTTTATAGAAAGAGCGATCTTTTGGCCAGTGGATTTTTGCGAAAATATGGGACTCTCAAGTAATTGGAAAAGAGCAAATTTACGGACTTGGAACTCTTGTTTTTTCAAGCACTTCTCGGAAAATAACTACAATCAGGTTTCGTGGGCTGGATAGTTTCGATGGGGGGATGACGCAGGGTTCGAAATGTAAATATTGTATAAAAGTGGGATGTTCCGGATTGTGCGAAGATGACATTTCCAGAACGAAGAGGTGCCCCGAAGGCCTTGAATTTAATATAGTAAAGTTGGCCAGGCCAGAATCTGGCCAGAAAACAAAAAATCAGCTCTTATTGAGCCATTATCCATTTTAATTGACTTATCGAAGACCACCCTGGGTTTATGAAGCGTGTACTAAAAGATAAAGCGTTAAGTCCAAGGCTTCAATATGATTGCTACTTCATGGCCATTTGGCCAAGACGCAAAAAAACTAGCCGCAAAACGTCCGTTCAAAGACTGATTTGAGTGGATCTCCCTTCGAAATGCACTTAACCTGTAGAAGACACGGAAATGAAGCACAGAATCTTCAAGAGGCCAAAACAGTTTTTGAAAATGCGACTTTGAGAGAAAAAGCTACAAAATGTGAAATCAGCCGAATGAAAATCTTGATTTTCACAGACAAAGATGTTTTATGACTCTTCCGAGTTATTAACCACGCCGATTTAATAGTAGCTATGTAAAAACATACGTTTCATGGTGTCCACTTCGAGTTTGGTTTGGGGAGAGAAGTCGTGAGATCGGCATTTTCCACAAGGCTGATCACCTAAGGGCAGGACAAATGGAAGAGAGGATCGACGGTCAATGCCGGAGGAACAGAGAAACCGCATATCTGGAAGAACATTTGATTGGAAATTATGCATTATTGTGACCAAAAATTTACAAACAAGAAGGATGACCGTTATAAACAAAAGGGGAAACCGGAAGGATTTTTAAGAAGATGTTTTTTCGTCCTCTTGAACTTACTCATAATGAAAAAACAACGCATTTTGCAACAGAAACCCTCAAAAAATTTTGCTTTGAAAAATATAACATTTTGGGGTAAAACAGATAAAAAACAGCCATAAAACATCCTAAGGCCTCCAATTTTTGCCCTTATTCTAATTGCGGCGCTAAATTTCACGGTATTAATTCGTAAATCTTTAGAAGGCATGTATTTGGCAGGTCAAGATTTGACTTATGATTCGTAATGCCAAAGGGTTTGTTGTCCAAAAGACAGACAACATAATAACGTCAAATCTTTGAAAAAACGGACACAGATTTTTTTCGTGTTTCCGTGCCGGATTTGTGACAAGTCCTGTGGACTTTTGACATCCTTTTGACAAACCGCAAATAAGCGAAGAAATAATGTTGGACAGCAATCATTGCTATTTTAGGATGTTTCGGGGACCATTTTATAACATATGAGGTCAAGTTTTATTGGCGACTTCTGATAAATAAAGTACGATAATTTACTTGTGGAAAGATTGGATGGTATCTCTAATAATCTTTGCCGACTCAATCACCTGATCTTCAGTTATGCATAATGGGGGAGCAAAGCGGATGATGTCACCGTGAGTATTCTTGGCCAAAAGTCCGTTGTCCTTCAGTTTCAAGCAGACTTGCCAGGCATCCACGTCTAAGATAAATGGCAGTCAATAGGTTTATTTGGAAAAATAAATAATATTAAAACCTGAGAATATAAGCTGAGCTTACTTTTATTGATGACAACAGCATTCAGAAGTCCTTTACCGCGGACGACAGAAACAACATCCTTAGGAAGGTGACTCAACTCATCACGAAGCAGTTTTCCCATCTTTTCCGAATTCTCAATCAAGTCTTCTTCTTGGAGAATCTAAACCTCATTTCTAACATTGGAATTACTGCATACCTTCAAAGCTTCGATTGCGATCTTGCATGCCATTGGATTTCCTCCATAAGTACTTCCATGTTGTCCTGGTCCGATCGTCAACATAATCTCATCATCACATAGAACAGCAGAGACTGGATACATTCCACCGGACAATGCTTTTCCCAAAGTGATGATATCCGGTCTAACATTGTCATGATGGACGCAGAGAAGTCTAAGGATTAGCAAACTATGTTACTGGCCGACCACTTACTTTCCAGTCCTTCCCAGACCCGTTTGAACTTCATCGGCGATCCAAAGCACATTGTGTTTGGTACAGAGTTCGCGGACTTTTGTGAGATATCCTGGATCAGGGACCACAACACCAGCTTCCCCTTGGATTGGCTCCACCATGAATGCGGCAACATTTGGATTGGAGATCGCTTTCTGAAAAAATAAGGTATTGGATGTTGTTCATACTCCATGCGATAAAAGTCTTCGACGACCAAACCAACCTCGAGAGCTTGCAGATCGTTGTAAGGAACTAAATCAAAGTTTGGAACAAAAGGACCATAGTTATTGTAACTGTCCGGGTCATTGGAAGCGCTGACAGCAGCAATTGAACGTCCCCAGAAGTTATCCTTGGCAAATACGATCCTGGCCGCGTCTTTGGGGACCCCTTTCACCTCATAAGCCCAACGTCTCGCCAATTTAACGGCGGTGTCACAAGCTTCGACCCCAGAATTCATCGGGAGGACTTTGTCATATCCAAGGAGTTTTGTAATGTACTCCTCGTATTCGCCCAAAGAGTCGTTGTAAAATGCGCGAGAAGTCAAAGTCAGAATCTGAAGAGTAATTTTTACATTACTCCATAAAGCGTAATAGTCACCTCGGCTTGTTTCTTGACCACATCTACCAGTCGAGGATGGCAATGGCCTTGGTTTACGGCGGAGTACGCTGACAGAAAATCGTAATATTGCTTTCCTTCAACATCCCAGACGTGAACACCTGAAATTTGAGGTGGTTGTATTATGCAAAGGATTAAAGTTTTGCGAACCTTTTCCCTTGGAGATGACAACAGGGATGGGCTTGTAATTATGAGCTCCATACTTTTTCTCGCGGTCGATGTACTCTTGTGCGGTCAACCCAGAACTTCGAGAAGATCGGGCTGCAGTTTGGCACAAAATTCGAGATCTTAAAAAGGTCAAATAAAAAAAGGTTTAAAGATTTTTTGTTTGAAAAACAAGCCAAGAAAAAGAAAAAAAAAAGTCTTACTTGGACAACATTCTCCGGGAAAAGATTGTTTACGGTTTTTTGAGAACAGCAAAAAGAAACGTTCGGGACAGACCGACCGACCAAAAACTAAACAATCTAAAATTGTTAATTTGACAATGACAACGTGCAATCGTTGGCTTATAAAGCCCGTAACTGCCGTTTTTTTACAAAGATAAGATATCGTCTCGAAATTTTTTTCAGCCGAGTTTCTCAATAGCTCAGAAGTTATGTTTGGGGTAAAATCTTCCTTTTCGATTGTGAAAAATCAAAGAAAAGTCTGCAAACTCAGATTTTATCATCTCTGATACGATCTACAAGACGATTTGATCGAGGGTTCCACGCAAATACAAAAACTTTTCTTGCTTGTAAGAGGAATGGGGCGCAGGGTCACAGAAAATGTCCAAAAAAATAAGAGGGGAAAAATATTTTTTAAATTTTAAAAAACGATATTTTGCTGGTAAAAATAGTTGAAAAACAAAGATATTCATACCTTAATAATAAATTGATGCACCAAGACTTATCTTTCACACCTATTTCATCATGCACAACCTTTTAAAAGACCCCCACCTCCCTCTCCTGTCTAGAGATTGCATTCCTAATTATCAATGGGAGTTTGTTTAATGTGATGATGGATTAATTACTTGCGCATGAGTGTTGGGGGAGTCATTCTGGGCTTGATTGTTGACCTCGTGGTTGTAAAAGGATCTCCTTTAACATGATGAAAGTTGAAAGATGTTGTGTAATAATAAAAATAGTTTTTGCTGCAATCTACATACATTTGTTTGATTTTGGCGATGCGGTTGTAGCGTCGACCTTTAGCCAGATCTCCTCCAGCTGATGATGATTTTTTACGCAACAACACGGATTAAGTTTCTTTAATGTTCAAAGAATTTCACACCAAACAATTCTCGTGTCACGTGGGGAAAAAACAAGTACGAAATATGAAAAGAATAAATAAATATTCTCGTTTCTCTCATTCATTCTTCCACACTGATAACCCTGATAAGACGCGAGGCCCAGTCCTTTGACCAGCCTGAATCAGGTATTCAGGGCGAGTGCATCTGTTGTAAAAAACGTTAATTTCCTTCTTTATTGTTGTTGAACCTCGTTATAAGCTCAAGTTGTTCGAATTCCAAAGCGTTTCGACCAGTGTCGCAATGGATACAGGTCTATTACAATATTTCTTCGTGGCTTCGATTCTTCTGGCAGGACTGGTTGCTAGTTTAGTGCCGATAAAGGTAAGAAAAGGACAGTGAAAAACGAGTTACGACAACCTTTTACTTCTGACCGTATTTCTAGATATATCAAATTTTAAACAACCGCATGCGACAGAGTTTACTAGGTAATAATCGCAAAGAATCCAGCCTCTCGCAGTGGATCTCTTGTCTTTCTTGCTTTGCTGGTGGAGTATTTCTAAGCGTTATATTTCTACATCTGTTGCCAGATGCACAGTAAGTCAAGTCAATAATGTGTTACATAACTGTTGATTTAATTTTCAGTGAATCTTTGACGGTTATTCAAAAGAAAGGGGTCTTTGTGACAAGATACCCGGTCGTCGAGATCATCTCGTTATTGGGATTCTTTCTTGTGTACATGACGGAAGTGTTGAGCGAGACGTGTGTTACGCAAAGAACCGTTACTCATGATCAAACTATTGTCACTAAAAACCCAGCAATCTTGAGGAGACGGAGGGCAAATACAACGACAATTGATGACAAATGGTAAGTACAGTATGGTTGACAAAAGAAAAGAAAAACTTGCAGTGAGATCCACGAAGATGGTCATGACTTTACCCCACCGCCAATGGAATCGCCCTATTACTCAGCATCATCCATTCCCAGTACAACCGCAATGTCTCAACGAGAGCGTACTCTGATTGTCAGAACTATTACCTTCATTACAGCTCTCGTATTTCATTCCATGGTCGAAGGATTTGCATTTGGAGTTCAGCATAATTCCAGTACGATTATATCCTTATTTGTTGGAATAATTGTTCACAGAACAATTGTGGCCTTTTCTGTCGGCACCAGGATGATCAATTGCCACCCAAAAAGACCGGTCTTTGTGATCTCTCTTGCCATTGTCTTCGCTGTGAGCTCGCCATTGTTCTCGGTGCTGGGAATGATCGTTAAAGAGTCAGCTATCGATGAGCTGTTCAAGGAAGAGATATCTCTTGTTTTAATTAGCTTATCCATTGGGACGTTTTTGTATATCGCTTTCTTTGAGGTAACTGTGCAAACAACAACTTTTTTAATTTTTTTACGCCATACAAGTTGATTATTACAGATGCTGGCGCCAGAAAAGTCGAATGGAAATTACGCGGTCTCTAAATACATTTCAACATTGGCTGGTTTCTTTGTTATTGCGATTGTAATATACTTTGAATAGAAGTAAAATGTACATATCTTTATTTCTTGAACCCACTGACTTTAAGACCAAAGAATTTCTAAGTTAGGCTACGAATCAACCTATCCTTTAGATCGTTCAACATATACTGATCCGCAGGCCCGCTTCGAATGGTCTCACGTCTGCCTGTAATCCCCTAAGGCTGTCAACGCTATACTATTTCGAAAAGTTAGAGCTTAAATCGCATTTTTATAATGCAATGGACACTCTCTTGCTGCAGTCTATCTTGATCTTTATTTTACTTGTCTCGGCGTTGCTGGCTAGTCTGTCGCCGCTTAAGGTAAGCTGTTTTTATGCACTTTTTCTTCTCTAAATATGTCTCTTAACCAAGGTTACCTGCAAAAACGAAGGAAGACTAGACTAATCGATTACGTTTTGAAGCAAACGGCCCAGCCCATATAGTAAACTTTTGATAGCTTTTGTCATAAGCTACCCTTTTCGAAAACTTCAAAAATACACCAAAGAAAACATGTCACAGTGTGATGCATATTAAGCATCAACAAAATGGAAAGCGTTAGAGATCTCCACCTCTTACTGATTTTGTCGATTTTCTTAATTACTTCGTTGGCTGCGATCTTGCCGATCAGGGTATGGATTTCTAAATTTAGCTCAATTTTTCTACCGATTCACATTGGAAAAGACGTTTCTTATGTATACAAATCGGCTTCATTGAAACGGTCCGTAATTAAAGTCACGATAACTATCAGTCTGTCGGAAAAATAACGGCGGATTGTCGCAGCGAAATGTCTCGCCTCGCCGCTGTCGCGCACCAAATCCCAAGCCGCGGCTTGCAGTCGCAAAGCAATGATGGGCGATTCCGAGGCGCGACGATCCGCCGTTATTTTCCCGACAGACTGATAAGATCCTCCTCCGGCTCTGAATCTTTATTCAATCTTTATTTTTGCGAAGCCACTACCAAGAAAACGCTTGCAGATTTCGCAGCCAATACTTTGAAGAAGCGGTATATGGCCTTGAAAAGTTTCTACAACGTTCGAAACAGACGTTAGATCGCATGCAGAACTCTTATACCGATTAACTCGCAATTTTTAGATCTACACTGCATTACGAAAAAGATTGATCGACAACAGAGATCCACACGATGATTCTCCGTCTATCCTCAGCCATTGGATTTCTTGTTTGACATGCTTCTCGGGCGGTGTCTTCCTTGGTGTTATATTTTTACATTTACTGCCTGATGCGCAGTACGTAAGGCCCCCGGAATTACCTACCTGACTATTACTCGCTTTTAGTGAATCACTACGGGTTGTCCAAAGCAAGCATGTGTGGAAGTCAGAATATCCACTGGTGGAGATGATGACGTTATTTGGCTTCTTCTTTATATACATGATCGAGGTTGTGAGCGAGACTTGTTTCACACAAAGCGGGGTAAAACATAAGCATAAATTGGTGACCAAATTTTCCGAGATCATTCGATTTAACCATAAAAGTGACAGCGCATCTTCTAGTAAGAGGCAAGTAAACCCATTTTGTATCAGTAAATATCAATAACCCACTTTTCAGCGATGTCAAACACGAGGTATCTTCAACATGTTCTGAACAGGGTCAGAAACACTGCAAATGCATTCCAAGGATACCACGGAAAGAGAGGACTCTAATTATTCGATCCGTCACGTTTATTACAGCTCTGGTATTTCACTCGATGGTAGAAGGCTTTGCATTCGGTGTTCAGAAGAATGCACGGGCCATCACAACCTTATTTGTTGGCATTATTGTCCATCGAACCATAGTTTCTTTTTCGGTCGGGACAAGATTAGTAAATTGTCATCCAAACCGACCGATCTTTGTCGTTGTTTTGGCCTTTATTTTCTCCGTGAGCTCGCCATTATTCGCAGTGGTAGGAATGTGTGTTAGGGTAAGCATAACTAACTGAAATGTGTCTAAAACGCTTTTATATATTTCCAGCAATCAGCAATCAACGAGCTCTTCAAAGAACAAATTACATTTATTCTAATCAGTCTATCAATTGGAACATTCTTGTACATTGCATTCTTTGAAGTGAGTTCTTATCTATTATATTTCTTTTAGCTGTTTGCTTGATTTTTTAGATGCTGGCCCCGGAAAAGCTCAACGAAACCCATGGATCTCCCAAGTTTTTGGCAACTTTTTGCGGATTCGTCATTATTGCGGTTATAATTTATTTCGAATAAAAATGCGAGAATTTAGCCTCTTTCAGAATACAGAGCGATTCCGTTTGTTTTATATTGTATGGGGAGTCACTTGCGTTTAAGTTGAAGGCTCAAGGGCGAATGCAAACCTTTTTTCCCGCGGGCTTTGCAATAATTTTTGTTTGGAATACAAGTGTTAGTCATTTTCGGAAAATACAAAGTATTTATATATTCTTAGTATGAGACACTAACAGCCTTAATTTTATTCTCATTAGCTTTTAAATTCCTTTTATCAAACCTTTTCTCGTAATTTGCCGATTTGAATTTTACAAGAACTGCCCATTGCAAAATAATTCCAATATTGATATAGGAATTATTCTGAAACGGGAATTTTATAGCCCTATTTTCACCTGAGGCCTTTTTTCGAAAACAGCATACAAAAAGGAAGGGAACGATCTTCCCATCACTCTTTTTCGATATTCTTTCGTCCACTGATAAGCCATGAACAAATTTAGCGACGGAACGCGGCTTTATCTGATATTTCTTGGCGTTTTAAGTGGGGGACTACAGTGAATTCGCGCTTGTGATGGAGTTCGGACTTTAGAATTGAAATTTTAATGCGAAACGGAGTTTAGGAAGTTAATGGGGATTACATCGAAAAACCGAAAGTTGAAAATAACGACCACAATTATTTTTCTTGTACCTCTAATATAATTGTTGTTCTTATTGTTAGACATCCAGTAGTTGTAATTTATGATTCATTCTTTTCTTTCTGACTATTTTTTAATTCGTGATTGTCTGGCTTTTAGCCATGGCCAGGAAAGAGCAACCAACCCCGAGTAGTAACATTTTCGTCAATTACTTTTCCAAATACAATGAGCAGTTGAAAGAAGTCTTATATCAGCCGAAAAATGATACGGTTGAAGGATACATCACATTGTTTGAGAGCAAAACGAATATCAAAAGAGAGCAGGTAAGGACTTATAAATAGGGTCATAATGACGTTGTTCTTTCAGGCCGCCTATGCACTCCTTGGACTAGTTTCTTTATACTTTATTATCGGAGCATTTGCGTCCATTATCTGCAATTTCGTTGGGTTCGCATACCCGGCATACCATTCGGTGAAGGTAGGAATATTTTAATAAAATTTTTGACACATTCTTTTTCGTCATCATCGATGTATCCTAGTCATAAAGCAGTAGTTATAATTCTAAAAATACTTTTCAGGCCTTGAGAACAGAAGCAGTTGAAGATGACAGAAAATGGCTGATTTACTGGACTGTTTTCGCCTTTTTTTCGCTTGTTGACTTCTTCGCCAACCGCATTTTATCTTACTTCCCAGCTTACTGGCTTGCTAAGGTATGCTTTAAATTTCCAGACACTTTCCATGATCTGTTTAAGGTCGTTTTCCTGGTCTACCTGTACCTTCCTCAAACCAATGGAGCTCTTTACTTGTACGAGAACTACGTTGACAAGATCGTATCCAAATTTGACTCTCTTCTTGGATTCCAGAAACCAGTGAAGACGGAGTAATTATTAATATTTCTAGATTTCTAGTTTCTTATAGCAAGGCTACAACAGGGTTTAAGAATAAACATATCAAAAAAAAGTTTATGGGCAAATAGTGCTCGAGGCACCGCAAGGTTTGTTGCCGCGGGTGATGAACAATTTTGGGCGTGTTGGAGTTACGCAAACACAAACACGATAGGCTTCGATAGAAGCTGTTAATGAGGGAGATGAGGATATGGGAAGGTTGTTCATTCGATTGCCAAGGTACACTTTGCGGGAGTTGAAACGCACAGCTCCGTCGACCTGAACAATAGATCAAAGTTTAGTATGATAAATTCGGTCAAAAAAGTATAGTAAAAACGCTAGAACGTTAGAAAAAAGTGTCGTCATTAAATGCAGAGCTCTCTAATCACAGATTTCCCCCTAAAATCAATGAAAAGCTTAAAATTCGCAGGAACTCATGGTGCCATAAAGTGGATTTCCCAAAAAAAAGTTCAAAATCTCCTTTGAATTGAAGAGTTCATGGCCTCGTATAAATCAAATGCGGTCGAAATGATAAAAAAAACTCGGCTCTGGATGCAGATGTTCTCGGACAGCTCATTCAAACAACTTCCGAGACAACTTTACGTGAACTTTCTTCACTTTTTAGTCAAGGATTAAGAAATTATTTTGAAACCTTCACGCCTTATATTTTACAACTACCGTTTTTAAACTTTACTTTTAGCAATGGCGGAAGGTCATAACACCGGCAAGTGTTATCGTCTCTGCACTCAATGTAAATACGCGATCCCCAACAATTTATCCATTTTTTGTGGGAATTGTGGCTATCAATTTGCGGATCGAAGAAATTTGAATGATACGCAGATGATTTTGGGAAGCTTAGATCGAGTTAGAGATGCAATCGGAGACATCAACAATCGACAAACTCAATTTGTTCATGGACTAAACGGGATTGGAGAGATTGTCAGAGAAATGGGAGCCAGAGTAACGAGATTGGAGATAATCGCGGAGAGAAAGAAATGTAAGCTGCCCTTACTTCTACCATATTCAATTCTAAAATAACTAAAGATTACTATTGGCCCTAAGAAATTATCTTCAGCTTTACATCTGACCTCCCACTACACAAACCCTCTTCATCGTAGCATCGAAAATATTGAAATAACCAAATCAGTGACATCGGAGATCTCAGATGACAGTTCGTTACCCCCACCTACGCCTACAGTGAAATCAGCATCAGTGCCTCCACCACCAGTCAAACCAAAACCAGTTGCCACTCAATCTTTCGAAATTGATGAGAGGATAAACAAAAACAGTGATGAGAGTGATAGTGAGATTGAAGATATCAGTGAAGATGACCCAGTAGAAGATATCGACACAACGTTCTGTGACACACCAACAGAAAATATCTATCGAAATGATTTTGGGGAGTGAGGGAGTCATGGACTTGTAATCCCAATATTTTCTGTTTATAATAAACGATACCTATCATACATCTAACGGCCAGCTTATTTTTCCCAAAATGGCAAGAGATGGACTTACTTCAGTTTTGATTCCGATACTTGTACTCGCATTGAACCTGATAGTTTTGCCTTCTAACTTGACACCTTGATTTCCTCTGAGGATAACATTCTCTGCCTCTGCTTTCAGCGGCTGATTTATTGGAGAACGGACCTAAAATAATTCTTTTAACGCCTTGTAACCTAAACTGTTTAAACAGCCATAGCGATGACTATGTTTGTCTTTCTAGAACCACTAAATCTTAAACGCTCACCTTATTGGTGATGATTTTGCTTGTTGAAACTTTCTTTATCCGACTGTCCACAGTAACCATTGGATGTTGTGCACTAAATAATGTTCTACCATCTGTGGTGGTCACCTAGAAAACAATTTAGGGCTACCCGAAACAGTCATCACAAACATACCAAGAAGTTTTCATGCAAATCAAACCGGCAAACCCCATCTTGAAGCAAAAACTCGGTCTTGTTGACTCCACCTTTGATTAAAACCTAAACTTTAAATACGAAAACAGCATACTTTGACTCACTCGGCTTCCTTGAATATTCATAGTCTGTGCTTTCGGCCCAATAACATGTCCAGTATTTGTGACAACATGTCCTAGATCAATGTTCTTGGCTGACATATACACGATCGTCTCTTCTTTCCCTGTCTTTTCGTCATTATAAGAATGCACTTTGATGTATTCCATCCCTCGAGGGCTCATTTTTAGGACCCGTATTAGTGTTATATTGAACTGAAAGAGAAGTTTTTATCATGAAGACCCATAATAAGACGAGCTTACAGCCAAAATGAGGATAGCAAATATGAATAAGATGAGGATCCATATGATCAAGATGATTAGTCGATGTTCCCGAAGCCCGGTCACATTTATTGGAGTGCTTTCCTTCTCCGAACCTTGTTGTAGATCCAATGAATCCGCTTTCTCGGCAGGAAACCTGTCTCCATCAGTGAGACGGCGAAGATATCGCGGGGAAGCCATCTAAAGCAATAATTTACCCAAAATCATACTGAAAATTCAATTTTCAACTCACCTAAATTACCGTGAAATCTAATAATCATTTATTTCCATCGCACTTTCCAATTTTCTCAAGCAAAAAAGCACAAATTGAAAGATAATGAGGAGTCGGAAGAAACAATAGCCTCCTGGAGATATAAAAAAAAGAAAACGGCACTTGGCCGATCTGTCCACCTCTTTTTCTTCGGCCAAAGATATCGCAAACTCCCGTTTAGAGGGGAACATTTTTTATGATCGGGTCTGAGCGGCCACAAAGAGATCAATAAGGAAATTATGCCACAAAAACTCACAGAATTTATTCGAAATTTCAAAAATCTAACCTTGAGATAAAGATTTGGCTATACAAAAGTGTTTTCCAAAATGTGACCTCCTTCCCTTTCATGGCCGAAACTCAGTATTGCTGTGTTTGTAAAAATCATCGTTGGCAGTCATTGATCTCTGCAGGGGCTTTCCATTCGCGACGGTGTTCTTACGGAGGTCCAACACATGATTCACCTCGTTCTCCAGGAACTGGGCATGTTGAGAGAGATTTCTGAGATTGTTGACAGTTATCCATTGTTTTGAACAAAGCTCGGCCAAATGGTTTTCGTGGAAGGCATTTCTTTTCATGATCTCGTTTTGGAGGATCTCCAATTGATGTTGCCGGTCCTTGTTGACATGGATATGCATATCCAACTGGCCATTGGCTTCCGCAAGTTGTTGTTGGAGGGATTCGACCTCGGCTTGAACTTCCATACGAAGTTTATCGGCCTGAAAAAACACATAGTTAAACCACTATGAAAACCGAAAAATGTCTATTAATAAATAACATGCCCTCTGTTTCTGCCGTATTTCCACATCCAATTCGCTTTCGATCTCCTCAATTCGAGTCATCAATTGCCTTATATTTTGTTGCAGTCTTGTGATTAGATTTGCGTCATCATGCGAGCGATTTCTCCACTGTGCAATCTCTTGCTCCAGTCTAAAAATATACCAAAATTTATTATTCCCCTACCTTCTGCATTCATCATCAGCTTGTTTCGCCTGTTTCAGTGCCATATCAGCCTTATCATGGACTTGTTTCAACTCATTTTCAAGTTTGCGTTTTTCTATAAACTCAAGCTTTTCAAATTAAAACGTACCTCTATTGGCCTCTTCTTTGTATCGTTTCTCAGCTTGTAATCTTTCCTCCATACAATCCAATTCCTCCACCAACTTTTTCTTCTGATCTTCGATTCTTTCATTTTTGGTTTTCATCAATTCCAACTGATCTATTGCTTCATACTGACTTTGCTCCTAAAATCAGTTAAATCATCAAATATGGAACTTACTGAAGCCTTCTTTTGTTGCAAAAGCACATTATTCTGTTCTTGCTGCATTGCTAATTGCAACTGTGCTTCTTGGGCTTCTCTTCGGCTTCTTTGAATCTCAGTTTCCAATGCCTTTCTCTCCAACGCAGCTTTCTCCAGCGCGTCTTTATTCTGTTTCTCCAACTCTCTGATCTTCTGGACGCTTTCCTTTTCAATATCCTCTAATTTGATAGTTGTCTGGTGAAGTTCAGCATCGAGCTTCTGAAAATTTAAATAAAATTGCATCAATTCTAATATACAGTCCCAAATTCTGGTCGAAACTTTGTCCGAACGCTTATGACATGTTCCGGGATCCCCTTCCAACCCCGCATTATCCCGTTCTCACCCGCAGGAAATCAAAGTTCTGTCCGGCCGGACAGTTTTTTACCTTTATCTCGGCGTTCCGACGCTCCAGCGCGGCTTGTTGGTTGGTGTAGTTGGCGCGCAGGTTCTCGTATTCTTCTTTCTGTTGGTTTAGTTGTGTCTGCAGCTGGGATGCGCGCTGGTCCAACTCCTTCTCACGCTCTTCGGCTGCCTGCAAAAGAGCAAGGGTTAAGTTGAATGGAACGGTAAGGATTTTGACAATTCTTGGGTCATCAATTGTATTGCACACCATTTTCCGAGAACTTATAGTACGGATACTGCGCTTACCTTCATTCTCTTTTCGATTTCCTTAAATTCTGCATTCTTTTGCAGTCCCTTCAACATCGGTTTTATCCTGGAATACAGTCTGTACCATGGCCATCCTCTCAAAACCAGCCATTTCCTGATGTTCTCTTGGATAACTTCAATGTTTTCTCCCAACATTTCCCGTCTTTGTCTCTCACATCTAGCCAGATATGCTCTACATTCGCATTGAAATTTCTTGACAATCACAGTAAGAGCGGCGTCTCTTAATTCTTCCATTTTGGCCAAAACTCCGGCTCGGAAGAATACCTATATAAACAAGATGAGAGATCATTTTTTTCGTGTACCTTTGTATTTCCAATTCTATAATCGTCCGGAGTCAACTTTCCCTCCTTTACTATATGTTCACACATCTTATCAGCGCTTCCTTTAAGGTCGCTGATTTGAGCGGCATCAGCGGCGAGGATTGCGTAACGTTGACGGAATTCGGGGAAGAGCATTCTGTTGGGAAAACCTTTTCGACAGATTCGAATCCCTTCCAAAACTCCATTGCAAGTCAACTAAATAGTCAAAAATAAAAATAAACTATGATTACCTGGTTTAAAACCAACGGTGCCTCAACCAATCCACTAGTCTTCTTCTCGTTAGGTATGATACATCTGATAAAATGAGGTTGAGTCGAGTGCAGCATGCTGAGCAGATTATTCAGGGATTCCCGATACATATTGGAGACTGTCATGAACTGTCCGGACTTTCCTTTCTTCTTCGTTTCTGTCGCCTTTCCTCTCTTTTCATCTTCTTCTTTATCTACTGCCGTCTTGTATTCCTCCCAGAATTTGTAGATCGAAGAATCTTTTGATGCCGTTTTGAGGACTGACACTGCCGTATCATTCAGCGGATCTTTGTTCTTATCCAACCATGCCGCGGCGCTGTAATTGACAGTCCCAGCATAATGGACAATCGCAAAATCAGCATCCAGAGGCTTTCCTTTTACGGGTTTGGGCTTGAGGAAATTGGGGTGTTTTCCCAAGTGTTGATTGTTCAATTTCTCGACGTAACTTTGATCCGAGGCCTTGGGGACAATGCACTCTTCATCTAACATCGAGATGATTCCGAGCGGCTGAAAGTCGTTCAAATTATATTACCCTAGATACCTTTTCAATAAGCTCAATACAACTTTGTAAATCCAATCCAAAATCGATAAAAGTCCACTGAATTTCCTCTCTTTTGTATTCTTCTTGCTCTAGTACAAACATATGATGGTTGAAGAATTGTTGCAACTTCTCGTTAACAAAATTAATCCACAATTGTTCGAAGGAATTGCGCTAAACGGCAGTCATCTAAGTTTGGAAATAGATCCTTACATCAAAGATTTCGAATCCAGCAATATCCAGGACTCCAATGTAATGAGCAGCGCCGTCTTTTGAGGTAGATAAGGTCTTGTTACACCGTTTGATGACCCAATCAAACATTCGAGCATAAATCGCCATGGATAGAGAGCCAACTGACCATTCCACCTAAAAGAATCTGCCAGTATACGTGCTCTGAATGGCATGACAATCACGCTTTCAATGAATCAAACTGATCTCATCCTACCTGCTGTAAAGTCTGTCCTCTGCTGACCCATTCTGTGCCAACTTTGACTTGTGGCTTTAACAGGGCGTCGATAAATTTCTCCACATTGATTCCAAAGAGTTCACAGGCCAAAGTTGCTTCTTAAAAAGCATTTATAACGTTTTCCCAGATAGCTTAGATCACCTACCTGCAATATCATCGGCTTCGGCTTGTTCTTCTCTCGGTTTTTGTTTGAATTTCATCTCTCCCATATGCATAATGGCGGCACAAGTCTTGTAAAGTCCTTCTTTCTCATCCTTACTGAATCCCATCACATTGAAAGCGTTCTAAAATCAACCGATTTACTATCTCAATAAAAAACCAGCCATTAATAAACGATACTTACGTCAGTACAATCAAACTCAGCCTTATCATCCATTCCGGGTACTGTAGTTTCCGCCAAAGACACAAACTTGTATTTCTTAATGTCATCATCCAGCTTGAGCTGTTTCCTTAATCCCGCATTAACCATAATCTGATAAAAGATGTGGAAAGAACGTTCCCCGGGACCTTGTTTTATGACTCGCGACTTTTCCAGAAGATCTAAACAAGAGTTATAACTGAATACCTATCTTACAGTGTTCAATATCCCCTCCAACCAGCTTTCCATTGCTGCTAAAATGAATTCGGATGAATTTTCCGTATCGACTCGAGTTGTAATTCCTATTCGTGGCGCCATTTCCAAACGCTTCGATCGCCGGATTCGCCTCGACGATCTGTTCTTCCAGCGATGATTGCTGAAAAAAAATCTGATCATTTAGCTTGGCCATTCATTTTCTTATTACTTCAATATTTACTCAAAAAAGAGGGAATATTTAATATCCGCAAACATCCGGAAGGAAATTTTTACGTGGGTTTGGAGTCTTAAGTACTTTGGAAACGAAATTAAGTAAACAGTAGCGTATAAAGAGTATCAGCAGCGTATAAAGAGTATGATTCGTCATCTTTCGTAACTTATATTACACCAGGTACTTGCCTGTTTTTTGCCATCGCTTTTGGTGGAAGCGCCAATTCTAGCAAAGTAAGAGATGACTTTCTTCGTATTCTCGGTCTTGCCAGCTCCAGATTCACCAGTGATCAACATCGACTGATTCTCATGATCTAAAAATATTACATTATCCATGAAAGCGGAAGAATTTGATTTAAAATAGATTAAAAAACTACTTGAAATCATATTTCTGTAGGCCAAATCGGAGACAGCAAAGAGATGAGGGGGCATCTCATTTCTCCTTCGATTCACGAACATACTGGCAACAGAATCCGTGTAAATCGGCAACATTTTATACGGATTTATGAAGACCAAAAACAATCCAGAATAGGTCTAAAAATAATTTGATTTGTCAAAACATTAGTCCCATAACCACTTGCATATATAATCATGGAGCTGTATCTTTGTTTCAGATTATGTAAAACGGAAGCTTCGTTCAGAAAAGTCAGATTGGACATGTCCTCGGTCTTCTCGAATTTGGCCGGATTGATCTCTTGACATTCCAATTTTGGAACTGTTTTCTGCAAGACAACGCTGCTATACACGTATTTTACCTACCTTATCGCCTTTAGGCAACGTCACATTGAGTTTTTCTCCGTCTTCTCCATCAATCTTCCCAATAACAAAGCCTTCATCGGGATCTGGCACCCAAGTGTGAGTTTTGTTGTCGAATCCTCGTTTCGATTGTTCCTGAAAAGGAAATTATGCTTCGTTACAAGAGAAATTCGATTTCAGCACTTTTTACTTATATTACCAAACATAGGTACACCTATTCTTATATTTTTCTTCGGTCTTACAATTTACAATTATAGAAAAAATCGACCAAAAAAAATATTTTTATTTCTCGGACGAAATGTCAAACAAAATCAATACTTATCGATAAATTTATTCAAATTGATTTTTCCCGCCAAAAATAGAAAAACAGGCCTTACCTCGAGAAGTTGCTCCTCCGACAGCCTCAAAAAAGGCCATCCAGGATCATTCAGCCATGATGGATCGATCATCCCAAGCCGATCAATTTATTCGAATTTATCCGCCCACGCTCTCTCTAAAATAACATCCCTTTCATTATCGGATAACGACACCAAAAAGTTTTAAAAAGTGTGGGTTCGGGTCAAAAGATCGAATTTTTTGATTTTCAAGTCTTCGGATACAACCAGGCCGTCTTGCGCATTCCTAATGACAACGGGAAGGGAGTAAAAGTGAAAAGAAAAAAGAGGAATGGGACCTTGGAAACACTCCAAATCACAAGAAGAGATATCCATGAGATCCGGCCGCGCGTTGTTTTTCTTCGAGGTTCGCTTTGAGTTGAAACAGATTATTGGAAGAACGCGTAGTGATACTCGTTTATGTTATAAATGATCGCTATTCGCAAGAAAATGCCAAAAATGATATCATTCATTGGAAAACAGAAAATATGTACAATAAACGATTAGAAATCAGATCTTCTTCTGGTGGATAAGTATCGTTGTAGTTTGGGGAGGGCATGGATACGGTCATGGACTTCCTTTAAACTCTGGATTTTACAAACTGCATCCATTCCTGTTCGCAGAGCGGTATCGTAGATGTTGGTGGCGATAAAATCAACAAAAGTCAGGCCACTGGGAGCAAAGAATCCGGAATTTGCCTCCTAAAACAAAAATATTCATAAAAATTATAATTTACATATTTTTCAACAATTAATTTGCATAATTACAAAGCAATTTTTCATTGACAATTGGATTACTTACTCTGTAAATCCTGTCAAAATAGCTGCCAAATTTCTTGGCGGTAGGTACAATAATCTCATCGTATATCTGATATTTATCCCCATCTATCCTCCCAGATACAACAGCAAAATACGGTTGCACGGCATATCCAAAATCGTGTAATAACTCGGCGTAACTGTCCACAAGAGCCTGTTCCATTTCACTTTTACCCGCCAAGTGGTATCTTCGCGCAACGAATCGATAAATTGCGTGGGATTGACATAATTTTGTTTTGTCATCTATTAGGAGAACTGGGACTTGACCAAATGGAAGGGCTGAAATCAAAAATATAAAATCAGCGGGACGATTTTTTTTGTCCTGTTACTCGTCAACATTCGATAAGATAATAAATAAAGACTTTGGAACCTACAATCGTATCGCGCTGTAAGCTCAGTGGGATCTATCCTCTCATCCTCGAATGGAATCCCCAGATAATGAAACATCAACCTTACAGGTTCGGCGAGTCCCCTGCGATCCAGATAAGTCAATTTGTAGGTATGTTCTTTCATTTCGGAATGCTGAAGTCATCAAAATATTATTTAAATCACATTTCACTCCAGACACATGTAATGTGAAAGCAATAATTTATCAATCAAGGTTGAAAAACAAAAAAATGTAATAAAAAATAAACAAACAGACCGCCTGGGAAGTGCCACAGAAATGGAAAACCATTGTGAAATACGACTATTTTAGGAAGACGTTGGTTTTCAGAACACTTTCACACGTAAAATGAAAGCGACGAAATCGGAAACGAATCGGTAATTTCACTCAAAACTGCCGTTTTTCTTTTTTTATCAGCTCAAGGAATCTCGTGAATGCCTCCGCGTTTTCGTTTCAACTCAAATATTATTATAGGATCCCGACGGAAGTCAAATACCAAGGTAGCAATAAAACATACAATAAACAGTGAAAATAAAAAAAACCTTTTTACTGCAACGTCATGAGATCCGAGTGCAAAAAGTAAGGCGAAGATCCACGTTATTGGGCAGTTTCACGTGACCGAATAATGGGAAAAAGACAAAGGGATTTTGATGTTGGGGAATTAGCCGGATGGCTGGATGTAGAAGGGCTTGCGGATGGAGTGAACACAGTGTAAAGTTAATAAAATTTAACTTTATTCTTGAATATTCAAATTTTTTAGAAATTTCTTGTATCCATTCTAAAAAATAAACGCCTATGCATAGCTATGTATAATTATGGAATTAAATATGAAAAAACTTTGAAATAATGAAAAATTTTAATATTGAAATTCTCACAATTCCTCTTATAGAAATGCCAAATGTCTCGTAGAACTATGGGAAGCACAAACCCGAGAGGATTACACATTCACACACGAGCTGCAGATATTACTAATTTCCCGGCAGAAGGAACAGTTTGTAATAACATTTCTCACGACCTCAGGGCATGAAATCTAATTAAAGTTCGGCTGCCACTGGCGGTAATAGTCTCTGCGAAAGAAAAGGTTTAACAAAAAAAGCCAGACTCTGAGGTTTAAATGTTTTTGACATATTAATTTAAAAGATTGACCCCTATTTGTAAGAAAATTAATCACCCAAATCTCCTCGTTAGAGCACGTTCTTCTCTAATATAGCACGTAATGTAATCAGATAAAAACTAGGCAAGGAAGTCGTTTTATAAGGATAAAACAACTTCCAAACAAGTAAACGTTTGGCCATTAACGCCTTCAAAGTTCGCGATAATTAGGATGTCTAAACAAATTATCTTTTTACAGCCTTATTTTTAATACATTATAAGCCTCTATATTAAACCGGTACACAAAGTAAGGGAAGTTGCAAGAGCTCCGACGCTTTAACTCGCAGTTATTTTTCCATAAAAACATCATGCGGGAAGCAGGCTTGAATATTTATGTTATACGGGAGGGAACACGGTTATAGAAAGACCTTATGGCTCTTCCCCCCAGGGAATTCTAAGGGAAGTTTCCCAATAACTCGGTACCGAATGTGTTGAACACGTCACTTTGCTTAACAAACTTTGAGGGGATACACTCTACACTAAACATGGCTCCCGGCCGGAACCCCTCCGGCGCACTGCAAATCTACCATCCTTTCTCCATTCCTAGTCCGAGCCCCATTAAAAATCACCCTTGGGATAGTAAATATTTTCTCTGTAAGCTCTAAAAAATCTTAAAAAATAATTAATTGAAAGCGGCTATTTTTTAAATTACCTACAAATATCAGCCAGTCATGTTAATGAAATTACACAAAAAACGGACTACTGCTTAATGCTCAAGTACATCTGTGCAAACAAGAAAAAAACACACGCATGAACGAGGTGTTCTCCTTTAGTTATCTATAATATTAGAAAACTGCAAGGGTTTGGTTCAAAAAAGACGTACAATCCCGTGACTCGGTCGAGTTTAAAGGAAAACGGTGGTTAGAATGATATTTTCACAAAGTTCGAGACTGTTTGTCTCAGCGTTTTATTCACTTATTCGACGTATGAATCAAGCCAGCGAAAGGAGTAAGTCGGCGAGAAATCTGTCATCCAAATCGGCCGGGAAACAAATGAACAAAACTTTAGAAAAAAAAAAGATTTTACCCTGAGCAGTCCACAACGAAAAAAACTTCGCGTTGTTTACCGACCGCGAATTGGTAAGCAGATTACGACAAACGTTCCAAACCGATCGTCAGTGCATTGGAAAAGAACTCGGAAAGAAAAGTGTCGCTCGGGCCTTTTGATTACTTTCCTTACAACGGTTTATCCAATGCAAATTCAATGTTAATTTTAGAAAGCAAAGTCATTCCGGTTAACAAATGCGGCACAAAACTGTCACGGATAGTTCTGAAATGCTTCTTCACCACTTCAACCAATCCAATATCCAACTTTTATCAGACTGATTAAAATTAGCGCATGATTTTTCTTCGGAGATTGTGTCAATGTAAGTTTTAAATTCGTTGGCCACTTCCTCTTTGTCACATTCTCTGTTACCCACAAAAAAAGGTCAAATGGAGTGACATTAATTTCCATTGTATTCAAAAAGATCATCCCTTCCTCTACAAGATCATATTTATGAAAAAATGAAGAGATACACAGACTAAACAATGCTATGAAACTAATTATTGTAAATTCGCGCGTCTTCTTTTAGAACTGAGAGGACTTTCTCTGGGCAAAGTATTCCTTTAGTTGAGGAAGAGCCTTCACATTATCATGGATCGTCTTGAAATGCTTGATATTAGTGACGGCATCAAGTCCGATGTTTTTGGCAGTCTCGTAGAAGTTGGAAACGATAAAATCGGGCCAGGTGAGTCCAGATTTCGCCAAGAAACCAGTTCCCGAAGCCTAAATAAAACAGATTTAGCAAATTCGAAAGAATAAAATCAGCAACAGCGTCCAATTAAAATATATAAAAAAGGGCTTACATCAACGATTCTGTTGAAATACTTCTCCCACTTGGTCTCGACATAAGTCTTGGCATCCTGAGCCAACTTCTCCTTGTCTCCCTGACCATGGCCAGAAACAACCAACATATATGGACGCACGTTGGTCATCAGATCTTGCAAGAAATCTCCGTAGCTGTCAACCTGAGCTTGCTCAATATCGTCCTTTCCGGCCAACCCAAAACGACGAGAGAGGAAGCGGTATATGGCCTGACTCTGGGCGATCATGGCAGTTCCATCAACAGTCAGAACTGGGGCTTGCCCGAATGGAAGTTCTAAAATACATAAAATTGGATAAAAGGAGTTATGATCTCAAAAAAAAGTGCCTGCAATTTAAAAATTTCCGAGTTTTCTTATATTATACATGGAGAATAACTTACGATCACGGATTTTCTCCATAGCGGTAAAAAAGTCGGTTAATCGGTCGTCCTCAAAGTCCACCTTGGCGTAGTGAAAGATAAGGCGAGCTGGCTCACCGAGGCCGCGAGCGTCTCCGTAGGTCAGTTTGTAGTGAACCATGTCGAACTAGGAAAAAGGAAGCGAGATGCAGCTGAAGACAAAAAGATAGAGATGTAAATTTGACCGAGAATCGCAAAGCACGGCAGGAATTCGACAACGACTGACAGACAGTTCGTCGACGAAAAAAATTTTCGCTTTAAAAAAATCGAAATGCCACTATTGACTTTTTGCTGAAACTGAATAGACTCAAGTCTGAATAGATTCAGCAACTTCAAACCAGAATTTCTGAGCGTCGGCCAAAAGTCAGTCTATTTTGGGTGGAACCGACTCTCCTTTATTTTATCTTAGCAACGATTATTAAAACTTTATCCATCAGATTCATCTCCACTCCCTTTCCACTCTTCAACTTCCCACAAGGATTGCTCGTACCCCGACAATTGGGGTCGACGACATCCCGGGCCTACACAAACAGTGGATAATTTCGGCGAAGACCAGGTCGTAGTAGATCCCCTCAACGAATCCGTCGGCAGCTTGGCGGAGAATTGGCTTTATCCGAACTTCGCACGGGACATTGGAGAGGCAATGAATGCAACTTACACAGCCTCTTATATAGGGGCGCAAAGGTCGACCTTTCGCCTAAAAACGTGGGATTCGCACCTCGTGTTTTCTATTTTATAGTCCAGACTGGCGAGAACACAAAAGAAAACAGGGTGGAAATGCAATGATTCGAGAGAAAAACGGCTTTGAAAGGGGGTTAGACGTGGGGAAAGGCAAGGAAAAAGAGGCGCTCAGAATCCATTAGACTTGTGGTTCGTAGGGTTAAGTTGGTCAACCATAATCTGCGACGAAAGACGAAGCCAAGGGGTTACATGTGTTTTGGAGTTTGTTCGTCCTAAGTGTGCAGTCTCTCTGATTTCAGTGTTATCTCTATGAGAAGCAAAGATTCACAAGTCGTGCTTCCAAATTACAATCTTCACGCCAATTGTAAATTGAAAAGGTCTCTTTGCCAAACTCTGATCAGCAGTGATTGAAACTTGACCGGTCAATTATTGTATCGAGTTTTTGGTAAGGTAAAGTATCAGTCATGAATGCATGTTTACACTCAAAGCTATTGGTCTTGTATTATTTTCATTTGCCATCTGAAATACTAGTTCTTTTTAACAGTATCGTTGATCCAAGCTGACAATTACCCGAAGAGTGCCATTTTCCCCATAACAATTGTCAGAAGCAACAATTCTAATTTTTTACTTGCCGATTGATTTGACCAGTGCTCATGACGTTATCGGTCTAAACGGTCAAATTTGAGTAACAGTCCCCGCTGATCAATTGTGATAAGGGACAAAAAATTGAAATTTTGAAATCATTTATCTTTGGTTTTTATCTTCTGGGTTCAAATCAACGTTTTTGATTTGACTTTACGAAAGTTGTTAATTGGATTGTAAATAATTGTTCCAGAAGATATGGCTTATGCGAAAACTCAAGTAAACGAAAAAAGATTATTGGAAGTTGTGTTTCAAAAAGAACCAATATGTTTTAACTTGACCTCGAAGATTTAAAACTTTAAAGAGACAACCCAAAGGGAATTAACAAGTTCGTTTCGAAATTGCACTTTTTTGCGCAATTCCAAAATGACGTCTATCACGAAAACCTTGATCGTTTTACGCTATAAACTACAAAATTGCCTTCTATTTTAACTATAGACTTCAAAATTCTTTTTGTTCTTATTTTAAAAGCTTTATTTCGGCCAAGTCCCAGTTTTGACTATCGACGGGACCACCCCAAGATTGCCTAAAGCAAGGTCGTTTTTCGATCTCTTGCCCGGAAATTTGGTTTCACAATTGGCTCAGGGCTTAGTTTAGTCTTCACAGCGATGACCAGAACTGGGCTGACCCCGTGTATTTGTCACGAATTTCTGTACAAATGCTGTATATAAATTTTCTGCTTCTTTTCTGATCGTGAGTCTTAAAACGGATTTATAAAAGACAAAACTGACTTTCTTTTATGCCAACAGACCTACGATGATTCGTTATATTTCAAGAGATTTTGGTTGAATGAAAACCAGTATGAATGCATTCTTAGAGTTGAATATGTTGTCTTGTAAAGGCTTATGTTGCCAAATTCTTAAGCGCCCAAGTTTCCCTTACAGGTATAACCCTTAAGACCAAAGAATGAATCCCACAGAGTCTTCGTCTAATGGGAGAGGAACGCCTATGAAAAGCTAAAGGTCTTTTTCGTCTCTCCCTTTCGGACTTTCACTATAAACTACAAATTTTAACGCTTTCCCTCGAGTGTTGTGTGACACAGCGTCTGAAAAGAGGCGTGCTTTTCTGGGGGAATATAAAAGGGACACAGAGAAAGGGGGATATCTCATCCGTTTTATACTTTCAGTTTTGAGTTACAAGACCAAATCGCTGTAGAAATGGTCCAATACAAGCTTACTTACTTTGATATCCGTGGACTTGGCGAGCCAGCCCGGATTATCTTCCATTATGCCGGCCAAAAATTTGAGGATGATAGAATTACTGGAAGCTTGGACTCGTTTAGAGATCGTAAGAACTGCTGGATGACTTTTCCATTTAGGAATCAGTTTATGATTCTGTAAATCTGTTTTTAGAGCTTCCTTTCGGTCAAATCCCAGTCCTGACTATTGATGGAACCACCAAAATCGCTCAAAGTCAGGCCATCTACAGACTTCTTGCCCGCCGTTTTGGTCTTGCTGGAAAGGATGATGTCGAACAAGCTCAAATTGACAGTTATGGAGACTTTATCCAAGATTTGAACCAAAATGCCCGTCAATACTTCTTGGTAAAGAACGGCCGTGCTGAGGGCGATGTTGAGAAGTTGGAAAAGGACCTTCAGACGTATATTGATACTAAATGGGTCAAGTACTTTGACAGAATCTTTGAAGTAAGAAGATTTATCATTATTTTGCTCTTGCATTGTGGCTGAGTGTAATTAATATTTTTTCAGGCTTCTGGAAGTGGATTCATCCACAAATCTGGGGTTACTTGGATTGACTTTGTCATTACCAATATCTACGAAACAGCTGTTAATCTGGATCTCAAGCCAACTGCGGGTATCAAGCATTTCAAAACCATCCATGACAATGTGAAGGCGCTCCCTCAACTGAAAGAATACTTTTCCCAGAGGAAACAGACACCATTCTAAAGAGCTTTAAGATGTTTTAAAATGTTCTTGCTTTCATATTTATGATTGGTAGCAATAAATTTATGTTTGCATCTAATAGTTGGTTCTGGAGGCAAAATGCGTATTCTGTAAACGTTTTTAACTTTTCTTCCTTTAACCAAGTTTATCACACCTTTTCGTACACCCTTGTGTGACTTGTGGTCGTTTCAAGAAAAATCATTATGTTGGCAGTCGCGTCTGAGTTTTTTGTATCAACGTGTATAGATTCCACTCCAAAATAAGCATAGAAATGTTGAAGTTGATCTTTATTTCATGACCACCAGGTTTCGTTCTAACGATAATTGAGATCTCATGTCATTTTTTCCTCTTCTTGTTTACGTGTTATGACTTTCAAAATCTATTTAGGAGAACTTTTGTTGCTGATTGTTTACCCGGATAAGCATGGAGAATGAAATCCTTGGCCATTCGTCAAAAAAGAACGCGTGTTAGTCCCTTCTTTTTCTTTTCCTCTTGAGGCCACATGGCCTGTGACAAAGCTATAAACTACAAATAACATTTTTGCTTTTCTGGCCTTTTGATGAAAGCTTTTGACGAATCAGAAATTTGACCGGTTATTGTCAATCAAATGACAATATTGTATTTATATAACCTATGTTTCAATAGTTAAATGATTTGTTGAGCTTCGCACAAAAACCATTAAAGTGTTACAATTTTATTTTTTACTAAATATCCGCTACTTTTCGGATTCCAAAGTCTGTTTCAATTTGCTGTTTGTTTGCGTTGAGCAAAGTAAGTCTTGAGCTGAGGCAGCGCCTTGACTTTGTCATGGATTGCTTTAAAGTTCTTCATCTTCAACACAGGATCCAGCTTATATGTGGTTGCGCTCTCATAAATATTCGTTATAATAAAATCAGGCCAGGTGACGCCAGATTTGTGCAGAAATCCGCTTCCAGAGGCCTAAAATTAGTTTAAAGTATAATCGGGAGTTTGGACTTCCTCGGTTTTATTTTACCATGTCAACGTACCTCAACCAGCTTGTTGAAGTATTTCTCCCACTTGGTGTCGATAAAAGTTTGGAACTCCTTCTGAAGCTTTTCTTTGTCTCCTTGGGTTCGGCCAGAAGCAACTCCAGTATAAGCACGCCCGTTTGCCAGAAGATCGTATATGAATTCGCCGTAACTATCGATGACTGCTTGCTCAACTTCGTCTTTTCCACCAAGACCGTGACGACGGCCAAGGAAGCGGAAGATGGCCAAGCTCTGAGCAATCTTTGTCTTCCCATCAATGGTGAGCACTGGCACTTGCCCGAAAGGAAGTTCTAAAGCTTTGCTTGGTTATGAATACTTGAAACCTACGGTCTCTAATAGGGTTAAGATTTTCGGGGCCGGGGGCGATTCGTTCGTCCTCAAACTTGACTCCAGCATAATTCAAGATTAACCGAGCTGGCTCAGCAAGTCCACGGGCGTCAAAATAGGTGAGCTTGTATTGCACCATGGTTTAAGGAGCAAAATCACGGCGAGATACACAGGAGTAATGCCAAGAATGAATGTTCCTACTGTTCTGTCTCCGGCTTTTATAAACCTCAGAAAGGGTTGGGCCGGCGTTTCATTAAGTTAAAATTTCGTTCATAAATATATATTGTGCTGTGCATAATATTTTGTTTGGTTGCCATGGCCATAAAGAGACAAAAGTTGGGCGCTTGGTAAATGTCTTGATAGGGTCCTATAACTTCACCTGCCCTTGTCTAATATTCTAGTTTATACTGCACTCCCAGAAGTAGAATCCTTCATGCTTTTTGCGTTTTTTGGTCGGCTGAGGAGTTGCTTGTCGCCGTTTCCATGGAAATGCCGAACGTTTACCTTGTAGTTTGCACAGTCTTGTGTAAAAATCACACGCGTTATATACATATTTGCCGCTTCAGGAATTTCTATTTCCGTAAAAAGAGAAAATTTAAATACGAAAGCAAAAAAAACTTTATTTGTGTTAACCGGTTGTAGTCAAGGACTACTCATACAATTAATGAAATTACTTGCGATGAGCCAAGTAGTGTTTAAGTTGAGGCAATGTCATGACTTTGTCATGGATAGCTTTGAAGTTCTTCATCTTCAAAATCGGCTCCAATGCATAAGTCTGAGCGCTTTCATAGAGATTGGCAACGATGAAGTCAGGCCAAGTTACACCGGATTTGTGCAGGAATCCACTTCCAGACGCCTATTTCAAAAGCCTTAAAAAGGACGTTCTGAGTATTCTTACTTTGACAAGTTTGTTAAAATACTTTTCCCATTTTGTGTCTGCATACGTTTTGAACTCTTCCAGGAGTTTCTTCTTGTCTCCTTTTGCATGGCCATTAGCAACCATGAAATAAGGACGGGCGCTCATCAAGAGATCGTAAAGAAACTCTCCATAACTGTCGATTAGAGCCTGCTCAATCTCATCCTTTCCTCCAAGGCCATAACGGCGCACGGCAACCCAAAATAGAACAAAAATGTCTCCCGCCCACTTTTGAATTTCGTCCAAACGAAGTGTCAAAATTCCCAAAAGAAATAAAATAATTCCGAGAAAAATATTTTTCGGTCCGAAAACCACATGAAAAATTCATTTTTGACATTTCGTTTGAATTCAACCGATACTAGGTGGGCGAAGCGCCGAAACGAGGCGGGAGACTCCCTGGGTTGCCGTGCGGCGGCCAAGGAAACGGAAAATAGCCAAACTTTGTGCAAGCTTGGTTTTGCCGTCAATCGTAAGTACTGGCAATGTGCCGTAGGGTAACTCTGAAACAATAGGAGGAGATGAGAATAATTTTCAATTTTATTACTCTCCCGGATTGATTCAATCCCATCTTCAGAAATTCTGTCGTCTTCAAATTTCTGCCCAGCATAAGCCAAAATCAGTCGAGCTGGCTCACCAAGACCGGGTCGGTCAAAGTATGTAAGCTTATACTGAACCATTGCATACAACAAACTGGGGAAGCTAACGTTCGCCTTAAAGAAGCAACTTTATATAGCTGGCATTTTTTGTACATTGTGTCTGGTACACAACATTTTTAGACGTTTCTATGACCATGATTCTTTTTCTCCAAAAAATATTTTTTTTTGTTTTATGTATTCTAAATATGCTTTGTGACTACACACATTTCCTTTTTCTACGTTTCGAGAATCTTTTTCGTGAGCTGTGAAATCTTAGTATGATTTCTGTACATAAATCGTACAGAAGTGAATGTAGATTATTCTTAATGTACTGAGTATTTCCTTCCTTAAAGCCGTCTGTCTGCTACGGGCTTGAGAACTTTGTTTTATGGAAATAAGCAACGAGATGAGTGGCTTTCAAGTAATCGACTACTATAGATATGTATATTGTTAAAAAATTGGTGGCTTTCAAATTTGACAAAGTCGAATGAATCAAGATTTATTGCAGTGATTCAAGTATGCGTATTTTTTGGATACGGATGAGTATACGGATATTATGGAGACATTTTTGGTCAGAAATTCGGATACAGATATTTGTGACTGCTAAATCCCGAACAAAAAGTTTAGATTTTCGAAAAATGTCGTCGATCGCTGGTTTATTTCAATATATAATCTACATTGCATGCATTAATAAAGTAAATCATTTTATTAGAATTTGGTTTGTTTCCGCTGTGCAAAATAGTTCTTTAACTGAGGCAACGCCTTGACTTTGTCGTGGATTGCCTTGAAGCTTTTCAGGTTCACTATTGGCTCCATACCATGTACTGTTGCGGTTTCATAGAAGTTGGCGACGACGAAGTCTGGCCAAGTCAGGCCTGACTTAGCCAGGAATCCGCTGCCCGAAGACTAAAATTATTATTGCGAAAGCATTCTAGAAATTAAGAAAATGCTTTAAAATATCATACTTCCACCAGTCTGTTAAAGTATTTCGCCCACTTTGTATCAACAAAAGTCTTGAACTCTTCCAGAAGCTTCTTCTTGTCTCCTTGGACATGGCCAGCGGCAACAAAAATATACGGGCGAGCGCTAGCGAGCATATCATAGATAAACTCCCCATAGCTGTCAACGAGAGCTTGTTCAACATCGTCTTTTCCACCAAGGCCATGACGACGACCAAGGAAACGAAATATGGCCAGGGATTGCCCTATCTCAGTCTTACCGTCAACAGTCAACACAGGGAGCTGGCCATATGGCAATTCTATCATACACGCAGATTGTGTTAAGACGAGGTAAACTTACGATCACGGATTGGTTCAATGGTTTCAAATCCTCCTATTCTTTCGTCCTCAAATTTGACGCCAGCATAAGTCATGATCAGGCGAGCAGGTTCTGCAAGGCCCCGGGAATCAAAGAAGGTCAGCTTGTATTGAACCATGCTTTATAAGAGCTCGAAAGGAGTTGGTCTGTCTGATAAGGCTTGCATTAAAATAATGGGCCTATGCAACTCGGTTCGCCTTTATACCACAAGCGCTGGGCTAAAAAAAACGGAGTTACCTAATTCCAAAGAAATGTATTCTGTGTCCAGCAGAACTTTCTTTATGCCATATTTTCGTTCATATCCCTGTACGAAAGCTGTTTTTTCTGTACGCTATGTTTATGCTCTGTGACTGCACACATCACATATATATTCTGCTCTCTAGTTTATGGGAAGCCGTGTTGTGACCAAATCCTGCACACTTTTTTAACAAGGGTTTATCAAGTTATTTTTAAAGCAACTTTTCATTTTCGTCAAGCTGTTGTCTATGAAAATAACGGTCAGATTATGTAGTAATACCCTAATTACTTCTTTTTGAAAACTTATTTATAGTATGTAGTGTCTTCTGCTTGACAGATAACTTTGCAGCTGTAAAAGATTATAAACGTTATCGTAGATCGTCTTCAGCCCTCGGACATTTACTACGCAGTCCATTCCGACATTCTTTGCTGATTCGTAATAGTTGGCAGCAACAAAGTCAGCCCAGCTAAGTCCAGAAGGGAGGAAAAACCCGCTCTTTGACTCCTAGAAGAGATAAAAATGATCAGTTTCTGTTTTCAAACCGCACTTACATCCACAACTCTATTCAGATACACCTCGAACTTATTCTTCACATAGTTGTTTGCCGATTTCCCCAATTCGTTACTTTTCTTTGGGTCACCATAGGTTCCATCCAGAGAGTACATATATTCATCACAATGTTTCATAAGGTCCTTAATAAAGTCAGCATAGCTGTCAACAAGAGCTGATTCAACGTTGTTTTGTCCAGATAGACCAAATTCCCGCCCAAGGAAGCGATAAATCGCGTAACTTTGTGCGATTTTATGAGTACCGTCAATAATTAAGACAGGAACTTGCCCAAACGGGAGTTCTGCAATGACAATTGTCCTTATTCACCAAATTTTTAGTTGTTATTTTATCAAAAAGCCCTTACCGTTCCGTATCTTCTCAATTTTCTCAAAAGTGACTGACCGATCATCTTCAAAATCAACTCCTGCGTAATGCAAAATTAGTCTAGCAACTTCTCCAAGGCCTCTGGCATCGGCATACAAGAGCTTGAAATGGGTAGGCATAGCGGTAGGATTCACACACACCGGAATTAAAGAGATGGAAGGTTTAGAGGCCAAAATTGAAGCTGCTAACTTTTAAAGAATTTGATGTTTACCTTTCTTTGTTTTTTATGCAAGCGAGAGTTCAAAGCTTCCAAATCTCTTCGAGATTTCACTTCAGGTTTGTTTATTTTCGACGTGTGTGGCTGATTATACAGATTCATTAAAGTCAGACTTGTCGAATAGCCCACATAACGTTAAAATTACTTTATTTTGTAATATATTTGCTTCACTAGTAGTACATCTACATATATGTCTGTGTTTGCTATATACAGAAAATAAATAGTTGGTTGGTGTTATTATCACAATTCTTCCTCGAATTCGCCAACGATTTCCTTCTTTTTCTTCACATAATAGTAATCTCGTACTACCAAATAAATTACAACTGCCAGTAATGTCAAAAGCAATGTTAATGCTATGTAAGCACCAGAAACTGCATCGGGGGTCCTCTCAACCTGAGCTAGGTATTTGTCAAAACGTTCGGAATGTTTGATGACATCAGTTAAGGTGAGAGCCAAATAGAACATGTAGAAAACTATCATAGCCGTTTGGACTACCTGAAGAACAAGTTTTTTTGTAAAGAAATACCGTACCTTTGAGAACAAGAAGAAAATGTACATCCATTCTCGGTACGTCCTGTTGCCGACCAGTAGAAAGATATCAAACAAGGTCCTAATTCCCACAGTCGATAAGGTTACATATTTCTTGTGATAGACGAGGTTGGCGGCATCCATTACGTCAAATATAATGCAGACTACAGCCAGAAGGTATACCAATTTCTAAAAGCCAATATAGTTTAAAAAGTCACCTTACATGAGTATGGGCATTACAAAGGTATCTAAATGAGTACTCTTGATCAAGCAACTTCAATTGATCATTCCTTTGCTGTTGCTGGCGTTTATTCTCTTCGATGTCAATCTTTTTCCGGCCCATGGACTAAAAAGGATACAGCTGCTTAACCCAAAAAAAAAGTACGAAATATGGTCATCTTAAGTTGTCCGAGAGGAAGTCCAACCACTCAAGATCATCACAAAATACTTCAATTTCCCCGATTTTGTAAAGAAGGATCGCAGAAATGAGAGGTATATGGATTTCATGGGCAAAAATAAGTGACGCAAAATTACCAATAGTTTTGCTAATGATTCAATGACTCACATGAATAAATACAAAAAAGAAGTTCGTTTGACTTTTTTTTAAAAACCCTGAAGAAATTTTGTGGTCCGCGACTCTTCGGAAATGAGAAGTTCACGCACCTTCCTGATAAATTTAAAGTGCGCAATTCATTTGACTTCATTTTACGATTTTTTATAAATTTATTGGCTTTTATTGTATGGGAAGAGATTTACAGTGATCCATTTCTATATTATTGCAAGGCCGCATTACTGACGAGCTTAATTTCAGGTTTTTATGATTTATTTTAAGAGATCGCTGCTGGATGAATATATAGAAGTACAGGATGTTCAGAGAAATGTGCAAAAGTGTTTGTCGATTTCTTGACGCTCAGTCAAGATATCCAAAAAAATCTTTTCGCAGGAGAAACTTTTGTGGTAACTCTTTTCAACCATTAGAAACCGTAATAAAGCGTTTAAGATTGGTGTTGTTACGATAAAACGTGCATAGAAGTCTCCGCCGAATGTACTACTCCCCGCGTTAGCGTAGAAAATTTTTTTTGGGCGAAAGACCTTGTGTTCTTCTTGCTCATACAAAAAGAATTTCTTGGTTGTTATAATGTATTCGACGAGATCGTTGCTGGTTTAACAAGAGAGGAGTTTGTTTTGGAACGTGGGATCCTTTTGCACGTAAGAAAACTTAGTTGCTCCAAAAAAGCGGCTCGATATTCTTTGCTGAAATTTGAGTGTTATGATTTTGAATGTCCACTTCCACTCACCTTAACGCAAAGTATGCAAAATAACTAGATGCAATTCCAATATGAATTGGCCATCCACAATTAATCTGCAAGGTGAATATATAGGTCGGGTCTGGATTACTGAAGTCGGTAAAAAACAGTTTCAGTGCGCTTGCAAAGGCCCAACAAACTACATCACTCGTTACAATAACACTCAGCGGTTTCACCGTCTTTCCAATTGCACTTCTGTGCCGTGTGAAAAGGAATGCCCAGATAATTACATAGAATATAATTACGGCCACACTAAATCCCATTCTGATATTTAGCAACAATTTTGATATGTAAGGACTGGACGTCTGTGTAAATATACGGACGACCATTCTAGATTAGTAGTTGATATATTACAAGGACTGTTGCATTTCCTTACAGATTTTTTATTTCTTGAGCACCCAAATAACTGAGATATAATTGAAATAGAGAACAACAGGTTGGAGGTGTCAACAAAGCAATGCAATATAATGCCAGGTTTTCCCGATCAAACCTAGAAGATACTGTAATTGAACTGTTCGGCTTACTTGTATCTTATTGGGTAAACAATACAAAATAATCGATCAAAAGCGATGGCCAACATTACTGACAATCCCAAGGTTGAGCCAAAAAGGGTAGGTATATACGTGTAGAACACATTCTCCGCGGTGTCGAACGCATTCCCAGAAAAGTAAAAGAATGCAAACAAGAAATGTCCACTTTGATGTAATACATCCGCAAATGCATTGAATGCAATGAAGATATTGCAACTCGATCGTAACTGTCTGTAGGACTTTTTACAATTTTAGCCCGTTTACTTACCTCTTACGGAAGGTTGCCCACAATATATTTAGGTTTCCAAAAACCCCTATAATGCAGAATAATATAACCAATGCAACCCCCGGCAACACATAGACAGTGTAAATGTTAAACGGATCCATATCGCGTGAATATTTTTTAGTGAATGTTTTTGAGGAAGTTCTGGAAGAGAAATCCACCGTCTATTAGACTACAACTGTGTAATTCCATTATCCATAAAACCAGCTGCAATTTGAAAATTGCAAATTGCGAAAGCCTAGCTTTGAGGAAAGTAGTTATAGCAAGTAGTTAATTTGTTGCAAGTTAATCTTTCAGGCTTTTGAATTAGCGCTTGTAGAATGGCAAAACGACATGAGTACTGTAAGGATCAGTGCCTTTCTTAGAAGTAGAAATTCGACAGGAGTGGGTGTTTTCTCAATTAGATTCCCGACACTCTTTTATCCAATTCTGAGGTATTTCCTTGGTTAATTGAAGTTGTCATCGTTGATTTAAAGTAATCAAAGTGATTACAGGAAAGATAATTAAGTTGCTCCAAAAAGGCTTGTCGGTATTCTTTACTAAAATAAAGGTATACGGACCATAATACGTATTGCGCTTACTTTAACAAGTAATATACGAAATAATTTGACGCAATTCCAAGGTGAATCAACCATCCAGAATTCATCTGTAGCACAAAAGAATAACTGGGATTGGACCGATTGTCATAAATGGACTTGATAATCACAGATAAACTCCAACCAAGAATGTCACTCAAGGCTATGATACTGAGGGGCTTGATCGTCTTTCCAAGCGCACTTTTATACCTTTTGACCAAAAAGGACCAAATGATTACGTAGCAAAAGACAATGCTAACACAAAAGGTGGCATTTAAATAGAACCACATTTCAGCGGCAGGTCCAACGTACGTTTGAGCAAACAGCCGGACAACAACCCTTGAATACCTTGTAAATCATTGTCCTTGGCACTTACATGCGTTTATCTTTAACAACTCCAGTGTAACATATATGTAAAACAGCAACGGTGTAAACAAGGGGAGAGGCAATCATGATGAGGAAGTACAACTTAGTATTCCTTAATTCGTATCTAGAATGCGTATTTAATATTATATATACATATATTATGATATCACCCGTGAAGCGGACACATTTTGTTTCAACCTACCTTGTCGAAAAAACAATGCAGAAAAGCCGATCGATTGCTACCGCTAGCATCACTGGTGTTCCGAGATTTGCGCCAAGTAAAGCAGGGATATACATGTAAAACACGTTTTCGATTGTATCAAAAGCTTTCCTTGAAACATAAAAATATCCAAAAATTAACTGTCCGCTTTGATGGAGGATGTCAGCACTAGCATTTATTGCAATAAAAATATTACAAGTAGATCGCAATTCACTAAAAATCACGTCGTTAAAATTGCTATTGCCCCACCTCTTTCTAAACGTGGCGACAATAATGTTGCAATTACCGAAGACGCCTATGGCTGACAAAGCAACAGTCAGAAAGGCACCGGGGTATGCAGCCCTGTTGTAAATCTCGAAAGGTTCGGCTGAACTCATGAGATGGCAGACTATTTCATTTTAACGACCTTATGATGTATATACTCTGGGCTGGTTATGTTTTAACTACGTTACGGCAAGAAGCAGCTGCTTTTTAAAGTTTTGTAATGTTTTGAATGACCAAGAAGTTACTTTTATTTACTCCTGAAGGTTAAAGTGTACGCCCAGAAAATTTTATTAATAAATCAATAATACAGTTACACATGTCAAAATACACACGTTAGTCTTTGATGCTTTAACATTCGTGGAATTCCTTCTTCCATTCCATAAAACTTGATCCAAAAATAGTCGAAAAAATCCCCGGATCGATCCATAAAAGCACTTCTGAAGAGACAGTTCTTGCCTTGCCACGGTTTTATCTTCCCCGTAGGTACTTTCCCCTTAAGGGCTGACACGTACGGGCTGCCCCGTAGATCCCCGCGGGCCCCGCCGCGTTCGGTCACGAATGTTGTATTTCCTAAGCGCAAAATTCTGTCTAGAGGTACAATTTTAATTTTTTACTATTGTTATACAGTAGCTGCCAAAAAACTGTCAATTTTTTTCTTCTTTGTGTAACTGTGCTCAACATGGATTACAGATAAAATATTTGGATAGTGACATTACCTTGAGACATGTCAAATATCTCTGGAAAGCAGTTATGGTTCCAGTTTTTTTGCTCGACAACATATGAATTGATCATAAATACATTTATTAATTTGGAATTTTTGTACATGTTCAAACTGCCAGTACAGATACGTTTGATTCGCGCTTTTTACGGCATGGCAAACGAAATTACAAAAAACTTTCTCTTTGCCCTGCCGCGGAAACGCGGCAAAATTGCAAGCAGTAAATTAATTATCGGTAAGCATGTAAAATATCACTATAACGTTATTAGTACAGTAGAAAAAGAAACTTTTTAAAATTTTTTTCCACGGCGTAAAAAGCGCGATTCAAAAGTACTGGCTGGCCCTTTAAATCGAGGTTAAAAAAAGATGTCTAAAAAGTTAAGATTATCGCAAGGAAGATTTACATAGTGTTTCTTAGTTCAAATTTTGCCGAATTATATGAAGAACCTCGGTTTCCGTACATAATCGAGACTTGTGTTCGTCGAGGTTGTAATTTCTTCATTTTTCCGCAGGATAAAATTGCAAGTTGTTCTTGGAAAGCATTGCGGTATTCTTTGCTAAATAAATCATATCTTTGCCGGATACGGATTAGTTCTTACTTTAAAACAAAGTATGCAAAGTAATTGGATGTAACTCCAAAGCTGACAATCCATCCGGCATTCATCAACAGCGCAAATCCAAATACGGGATCTGTAAGTCCGGTTTTACCCATTGTATATTGCATAATTAGGGCAATAAACCAGCCAAGGACTTCACTGAACGTCACCAAACTTAAGGGTTTCACCGTTTTCGTGACACTTCCTCTATCCCGATTCAGAAGAAAACTCCAAATTATCGCATAGCACAACATGGTGGAAATACAAATTATTAATTGCAAGTAAGCCGAAACACTGCTGTTTGTCTTCATACGAATTTGAGAGAAGATGCAAACGACAACACTAAACAGAAAGGTTAGATTCAGAGTTTATTCACTCACGTATCCGCGTTTTCCATTGTGTATTGATAGCACCAATATACGATCAACGCAACGTTAATCAATGGGCCAGCTAACATCACAAATAAATAGGCAGTTCGATTCACTTCGTTATAACTATAAAATAACTTCGAAATCCTCAGTTTTGGAAAAAGACTTACGTCATGGGAAAGAGCACACAAAAGAGTCGGTCCAGGGCGATGGTAAGCATCAATGAAGGCCCCAAATATGTGCCAATAGTCGATGGCAAGTATAGAAAGTAAACATATCCCAGCTTTGCAAAGGGACTTCCCATAACGTAGTGAAACCCGAACAGTAAGTGCCCTGATTGGTGTAATGCATCGGCGACTGCATTTATTGCAATCAAAATATTGCAAGTTGAACGGAGTCGTCTAAGATGTTTTTTAAAAATACGCCCTAAAGAGTGTTTCTTACGTTTTCCGATATGTGGCTATCACAATGTTGCAGTTTCCAAAAACTCCCACAGTTGAAAACAAACAACACATTGATACCCCAATTAAAGCTCCTAAACTGTAGGTGTCGAACGGATTCATTTAAATAGAATAAAATTTTAATTAAAAAATAAAAATTGAGATGCGTACATATATAGTATGTGCAAAAATGCAGTCACACCTTCCTTATTTGGAACGGAACAGTCCTCCGAATATTGGATTTGTCGCATGTCATCTTGTCGTTGAGAGAAAAAAATATTACAAAACAACAGACATGCAGATTTTATAATGTTTTACAATAACAATTCTGCGAAGATACACCTATATTCTACAACAATTTCGATGAAATGTTCATTGTACTTTTTATCAAACCGTCAAATTGTATTTTTCAAAAAATGGATTCATCTCTGTTTCAACATGCAGCTTACACATCCGGGCAAAATCGGAGAGGATGTCATTTGTGATCCGATGAACTCAGAAATGATGCGACGCAAATTTTCCCATTTCTTCTACTACACATTCAAATTCTTCAAAAAATAGAGGAGTTGTTTTTTTCAATCCGATTAAAAATCCGATAAGTCAAAAAATGGCCGCCATGTAACACCTCAGGCAATCCTTCATCTTTTGCTCTTGTCAATTCATCAAACTGGCTCTTTCGTTTCCTCTGCTCAAACCCTCAAACCAGAGTGATCAAAACTTGATCTTGTTTTTCCGCTTGACCATTGGCCATATGCCATATGGCCCAGCTCTTTTTTATACCTTTTCGGCCCCGACCACCGGGCGTCATTGATCCCGATTCCGATTTGTGTTTGAGGATCTTCGATTTATCCTCCGCCATATGAGGATCGCGGTTTTTGGAAGGTCCGAACCCTACTAAATCTCGCGGGGCTGCCTAAAAATGATTTGGGATTCAGCCAGTCATTTTTTATTACACCGGGAAAAATTTGACAGTATGTTTGTCAAAGTCCTCGCATTAAGATCTTTTCTAGCAATTGATTGACAATTTACTCGGGAAATTAGTTGATGGATCAAGTGAATCCCGGATTACGCAACCTCCTTTTCTTTGTTTCTCTTTGGCTAATTGTTTATCTTTTGTCTCTCGCTCCCAATGGGACCCATTTCTCTTCCGAATTCTTACATTGATCCGTTCGTCCTCTCCACGAATCATAAACTTACCTGGCTGGGAGAGCGGCACGATCAAGAAGGTGTCGCCTCCACGGTGAGGCCCTCCCATTGCACTTTGGGGTGGGTTGACCTGTGTGACAACTCCGAGTCGGGGTTGGCCAACAGCTAAATTTTTGCGTGTGGGGTCCACGGACCTCTTATATATATTCTCCTAGAATTCGAATTTTCTGATACGGGCATCATCATCAACACGCATTCATCGTAGCTGAAAATCGCCTGAACCTTGCAACAATTTCCTTTCTGCTTTCTTCAACTTAGAATTTATTAGCAATTCCCATATGGCCGGGAGATAAATCAAATTCCGAAACCAAGTTTATCCGGTTTCGAAGGGAGATACATACAGCTGCCCTGAGGAAAGCCGTTGAGATCGCCTTTAAGACATCTCTGGAACAATAAATAAAACACGTTTTGTGGAACCATTAGTCTGAGGAGGAATGGCTTCGGGATTATAGCTTGTTGCGACCTCAACGTTATTTTCATACGGATGTATTGAGCAATTCTATTGAATCCAAGTAGGTAACTGTTTAGTGTCAATTCATTTCCTGAAAATCAAATTTAATCTTATCCTATTGGATATCTCGTAAGCTTTCATGTTTATGATTCTTCCATTGTACATAAAATATCCACTTTAGTCATAAATCATCTGTCTCTCTTTATCGTCATTGGAAAAATAAATAAAATGCAGGCTAAGCTTGTTTTACGAAAGCCAAACCAAAACTTTTTTTATTGGTTTGGCAAATTAATTTCATTTTTCCAATAGTCGACATGTAATTCGGGTGCCTGGAAAGAAAAGAAAAGGTTTTAAGGGACCACAGATGACGACATCAGGCCTAAATTGGGTGTTGTTTATTGTTTTTATATACAGGGCCTTACTACATAGTCTCCGGGATTAACTTTCTTTTTATAATTGTTTTTGCCGTTCGTTATTTTCGTTAACAATTCGCTCCTATTGCTGTAAAATTCGTTTTTCTTCGGTCCGCCAAGATCGCGCTGATTTCACGCTTGACTAACCGCAGAGGAGGGAAATGCTTATTTGATACGTCTTTCTCATTATTCTCCGTCTCGACGAAACCAACGAACCGTTTCCAAATCATCCCCCAATTCTCTCCATCAGGTAATTTACAGGTCGTTATTTTTTGGGACGGGAAAAGAATTGACGTATTTTTCATTCATTAACATATTCATTTATAGCCGATGAAAGTGAGATCTCAAATGCGATTTCTGTAAGAGTAAGGATCGTGTCATTTTTCTGTCTTCTTAAAACATTCACCTTGCCACGCGCAGGATGCCCATTAACTAGCCCTTTCTCTCCACCCTTCCTGGTGTTGCCTCGCATTGAAATTGAGGTGAAATTAAAAGCAAGGGGATCGGGGAAGATGAAGAAGGTTGCGCATACATTCAATTTATGGTCATTCAAAATATGGGCAGTTTCAAGGATAGCCATTTTTTGGATCGGCCTTTTATCGTCGCGTCAAAAACAAAAGCATTTCCACAGTTATTTACTTTGTACATAGACATTCGCGCTGCAAACTAAAATTGCTTTTATGTAAATCGCATGGTCGCTTTTTATTATACAGGGTGTTCCAAGAATTATGGAAAAAACTATTCGTTAATAACTTTGTGCTCGGTGATCCAATCCGAAAAATTTTTTTTGCATTTTGCAGAAAACCGTTGGAGTTTTTCGAATCAAAAAAGATTTTTTCGTTTTATCGGCGGAGACTTCCGTAATCCGCCTTGAATTCGGCGGAGTGCTTTTTTCACAAACGAGGCTGTAAAATGGGTTCATTTTTTCTCCGCCGGTTTCTACGCCGAATTGCCTTTTTTTCTTCCCAGTGGGCCGAAGACGCAATAAGTCCTATCTAGGCGCCATGCCACCAGGAATACCATACGTTTTGGTTTTAGCCAATTTTGACTCTCAAAAGTCGAAGAAAAATCGTCCGCCGAGGTTAAAAAATGTCTCCGCCGAATGACAAAAATTTGAAACAAATGTCATATTGTATCTATTGAATCCTCTCCCGCCCATTTACTTCACACATACAACAATTTACAGCCTCGTTTGTGAAAAAAAGCACTCCGCCGAATTCAAGGAGGATTACCGAAGTCTCCGCCGATCAATGAAAAATATTTTTCTTGATTCTAAAAACTCAAAGGTTTTCCTGTAAAATGCAAAAAAAATTTTTTGGATTGGACCACCGAGCACAAAGTTATTAATGAATAGTTTTTTCCATAATTCTAGGAACACCCTGTACATTTATTTTTCTTCTTCCACCGGGTAAGACGCTGATTCGGGGAAACTATTAAAATTTGAGCCGGCCCTCGGGCATGAATAAAATTTGTAACATTAAAAATTCCTGGCAATTTTTCGTTGCTTTACCGCGCCTGTGGCGCTCTTCCTCAGATTTTATTTATATTTTGGAAAGCCGCTCAAGTGTTCTTAGGGATTCTGATAATTCGTTAGACAAAAAATTCCGGGAAGAATTGAGGCCCTGGAAAGGACAAATAATTAGAGTTCGGGGGTTTCAGTAAGTTCTGTGTTTTGCTCAGTGCATTGTTCTACGTCAAGACCATGCGCTTGCAGATGGCATGTTGCAACAAAACATGAGTTCATTATCTTCTGTTATTTTAGTCAGCGTTTTCTGTTTTGTTTATTAGAAATGTTTATATTGATTCGTAATATTTGCTCTTTTTTGGTAGAGATAGAGTTGTATTTTAATTTCTCGATGGGTAATTTGGCAGACTTAATATGCTTTTTTGATACTGTCAATTTAGAGATTGCATAAGTGATAGACGCAAGGTGATTTTTTTCCCTCTGTCCCAAATTTTCCCTCCAAGCTTCAAGTAAGGAATCCGTATAGTATCCGATTCCTCTTACTGACCCTTCTTTCATGTATACAGTAGTTGACAGCGAATTGTCAATTTTTTTATTTCGTGTGTAACTTCACTCAGACTCAACAGAATTTGATGAGACTAAGAGCGTTTAAGAGGCTGGGAGACACGCTTTAACCTTATGAAATTGTTTTATTTCATATCGGCCACAGGCGTGGTAAAAATTTCAAAAAAAGTTTTTTGGGGGACAACGAATTGTCAATTTTTACATTTTGAGGCATAAGATCTCAATAAACCAGCATATAAAGACTAGAATGGAGAGTAATCAGTTGCCAGCAATCATAGAACAGCATACAACGGGTTTCAGCCATTAGTATAATCTCCTTCGCTTTCTATAGGTCGGGCACTTGGGGGTGGACCATGTACAATATAATGTCAGCCTGGGGGCTTCCTAGGCCGAAATTATCTTATATTCCGGTTTTTTATGGGCGGTTACATCTTACTACGCTAGGGCAAGTCAAAAAAATTACACCTAACGGGTTACACTTGCGCCTTGTTACCTCGAATATGTTAATCATGGCCTTTCATACTGTTGGTCAGAGTATCAAAAATCAAAAAATGTCGCGCATGAAGATCGTTGGAGAAACCTTCTATATTTGAAAACAAACTACATTAAAAGACAAATATTCAGTGCCTTTCACATGTCAGTACCAGCACTCATGGAAGAGGTATGCAGAGGGAAATATTTGGATTTACATGAATTTTCACGTCGGGTTTGCAACACCCAGAAAAATTCTTATTTCTTCAAGCCTGCAACTTCCAAGACATTTTATTAGCATATTAGAGATTTTTGCAAGCATTAAAAATATTAGCTTTAACGTTTAAAAACGCAGAAGACGTGCAATAAAATCATTAATTTACTCATCAGCCTAGTGTGGCACAAGAATTAATTGGACCGTCAGAATCTCACCCGGAAATTTCAGGGCGCCGAGACAGGTAATGAAATAATTTGCAGAATGCCGTTAGTTTGGCCGTAAAGGAGGATTAAATGAACCTATGCCCCCTGTCGGCAAAAAATTATCGATTTTTGGGCGAAACACAGAGTTTAAATGACCAAAAATAATATTATCTGACGAATTTTTGACCCGTAGCCCCTCCAAGTTGTAATCCGGTGCAAGTGTGTTAAATATATGCAATAATCTTCCATAAAAAACCGGAATATAAGATAATTTCGGCCTAGGAAGCCCCCAGGCTGACATTATATTGTACATGGTCCACCCCCAAGTGCCCGACCTATAGAAAGCGAAGGAGATTATACTAATGGCTGAAACCCGTTGTATGCTGTTCTATGATTGCTGGCAACTGATTACTCTCCATTCTAGTATTTATATGCTGGTTTATTGAGATCTTATGCCTCAAAATGTAAAAATTGACAATTCGTTGTCCCCCAAAAAAATTTTTTTTGAAATTTTTACCACGCCTGTGGCCGATATGAAATAAAACAATTTCATAAGGTTAAAGCGTGTCTCCCAGCCTCTTAAACGCTCTTAGTCTCATCAAATTCTGTTGAGTCTGAGTGAAGTTACATACGAAATAAAAAAATTGACAATTCGCTGTCAACTACTGTACGTGTAATAAACTTACCTGGCTGGGAGAACGACGGGTCTTACCGTCACGGTGAAGCCTTCCCTTGCCACTTGAGGGACGGGCTGACCTGTGTGGCAGCTCCGAGATGGGGTTGGCCAACAGCTAAATCTTTGCGCTTGAGGAACACGAACCTCTGATAAACATAAAAGTACTAAAGATTTGAAGTGCCAAATAGGCTAGACTAGAAGACAAAGGCTCAAAGAAATTATTACATAGTTTACATCCGGAAGGATTTAATCTGGTCTGATTCTGTAACCATTTAAAGTGTCATTGTTAGAGTAGCCAAAAAAGTTCTGGAAGTAAGAGATTTAATCAAGTACGAATTCATTCTCTTCGTATCATGTCATTCGGTTAGATTTTCGTCTATGAATAATTTATTTCTCAATTGAATGTATCGAATGCCAAGTTGGGGTGGAGATATTTTTGGACAAAAGATTGTTTTCAGCTGTCATTTCAAGCTGCATGTGCAATTTTCAATTATAGATATTGTCATACTTATTTATTGCCAGACTTTTTGGTTGCCCTCTTCCCAATATAATAGTCCACTGATATGATTTTAATTACCACAGGGTCTAGCCAATTTGGAGTTAGGTGCAAACATCCTTCGTTAATTCAAATCTCCTCCCGTACACACATTTAAGGGATTAAAAATGTAAAGTCCAAGCGAGTAATTCCTTATTGTTTTACAAACCAAATAAGTTATTCCTTTTTGTGCTGACCGAACCTTTTGTGAGGGATTTCCGAGTTTGGTCGCAGGCGTTCAAAGTCCGCGAATAAACAAAAATCCCTTTTTTCAGTCGCGAGGGATCCAAATCGGGTGCAGAATTGACCGATGGGTTGGAATTAGGTTTGCAAGGGGTGTAATTTGAATAATAGACATGCTAAACTAATTGATTTATTGCTTTCAATTTCTATTTAATTCCAGGAATACAATTTATAGTTTGAAGAACCGGTTTTATGTCCTATTTCTTATCAACGATTAGTTGATTACATTTAACACGCTTTCGTTGTTCCATTTGAAAAGATGTCAGGTAGCTGAGAAATAATTCTAAGCAATAATCAACTTGCTTTAAAAAAACTAAAATTTTGGCAACAAAATGCAATGTTCTGTATGTCGAAGATTCATTTCCTCCCAATGAAAAAAACTATAAGTCTCGTCAAAGCAATTGACTGATGACGGTTTCGTTTTTTTGTTTCCCTGCAAGGTCATTGAGTCGACGTTTTTTCTATACCCCCTCCCTTTTCCTATAAGAAAAAAAGTTGTCTCTAAAGATGACTATTTCCTCGATACCGTTTTTCCAGGGGTGATAGTTTGATTAGCCACCGAGAGAATGATGACTCAACCAGTCGATGGTGGTTCTTAACGTGTTTGTAATTCAATCTTGCTTACTTGCGCCCTCTCGTTCTGTGTACGTTAGAAATGTTTATAGGCCCGCGTTCCGTGCAGGGAAATACTACTTTTTAACCCCGCCGGGGGTTTCCAGTCATCGTGGTGTCTCAGAATAAGTGGGGGATTTTTTGTTTTGAAGGGCGTGGCGGTTACGGAAGCATGGAATGATAGGCCACTTTTGACTCATTTTCCAGGGTTTTGGAAAGTCGAGAGTGGAAAAGTTGCCTCAGCGCGCTGTCTGGGAGCATTACTTTGGAGTGACCAGAGGGAGTTTTTGTTTTTTGAAGCGTGTTGTCCTTCCTTGTTGTCTGGCACTTGTTTGCAAATTCATTATCAAATTTAAGCAATTTCATTGACTACGTATAATTTAAATTGTATCATTCTGTTAATCAACGGAGATTATTACGATGACGATTTTATCTCAAACTTATCACGTTATTTTTTTATTCTGCAAAATTTATGTCTACAGAATGTTTTCGCGTAATTTGCTTCTTATTTTTTCTAAAAATTATGCAAATTAGGCTATAACTTAATTTTTGCAGGGTATAATCGACATGAAGGTACCGTCGATAATCATATTTATCTTCGTGATCTCATTTACCTACACTACAGCCTTAAAGTGCAAATGTACACAGAGCAGTAACCGAAATCCATGTGACAGTGGAATATGTGAAGTTGATGCAAACGGATGTAAGTTTAAGATTGTTAACTTTTTTTCATATTAAAGTCCATTCTGGCGACCAGTAACCTTTTCCGTTTTAAAAAAATTAATCTCTGATTTCATATATCATCAAGGTATCAAAAAGAAAATTCACCGTTTTCCATTAGCTGGATATAACATAATTTATAAACTGACATAATTGATTTAAGCTTGTTTAACGCTAAACCACGAAGCCAGTGGATTTCATTACGCCTGTTCGACAAGTAAACTCTCAAATGGTCAATGCACGGATAAAACTACAAAATCCGGACAGAAAGTTACCGTCTGCAGTTGTTCCAACGATGACTACTGTAATTTCCAACGATGGGGACAACAAGAACAAAAGAGTATAATTGACTCAGCGGAAGATGACGATGCCAACTCTTCGTCTTCACTTATCATTTCAACTAGTCTAATGCTGATAAGCGCTGTTATTCTAAGGTGGATTAATTAGTATTATTTTGTAATTTGGTTAAAGTAGTAAGTATTCAGACAAAAATATTTTATCCATGTAATACTCCTGCTCATTTTCTCTCTAAGAAGACATGTTTTATTTTTCTAATTATTGCCTCGAAAACGGTTATTTTTGTAAGAACTCAATGTTATTGTACTCTCTACAAATGCTTTCTTTTTATGTAAACAGTTTTGTGTTTTAAACTTAAAAGTTCATAATAAATATACAGGGTGTGCCATCTTTGTGGCCTGATTTGAATTGGTTGTACCATCAGTGGGGTACAATATCAAAATTAGGTAAGCCAGTATGAAGGAACGCGCTTTATTTTATTTTACGGCGCTGAATTCAGTAAATATATATACACAAGAGTAAGTAAGTTACCAGGATTGAGTTCGTTCGATTTCTTGGGCTTTTGGGATCCATTCTATGAGAAATTGCTCCATTTTTAATTGTTTTTGCCCATCTGTAAAGTCATGGTTTTCCGCAATCGCACTGATACCCGCATGTAGTGAAATGTAAGGATGTGGTCTTCTGGCTTGAGTCTTGATGATTTTCCATTTAAGTCTATCTGCAACAATTCTTTATATGTTTAGCTGGCAACGTACAACTGACAACAACTGCGCTACTTTATACAAATGGTAAGTACTTACGGTTTGGCAAAACATCGAAGAACAACATCTCCACTTCTTCCAGACCCTTTCGTTTCCTCCGAGTCTCATGTTCTGGTTCGTTTTCAATTGGCCTATTATAGTTGAATTGCTCCGTATCCGTGAAGTCAAACATGAAATCATCATCAAATGACATGTCGATGTCTTGATCCATATTCTCATACCGATCCAACGGAGGGATGATGTCGAAATAACCAAAATTCCGAAACTCAGGAGCTGGCCTTCTGATTGTTTCGTGGATTTCGGTATTCAGATATAGGTCGGTACTGTAATCCCAACTAAGAGTGGTCGCATCGAATACGAGGAACTGAAAGCAACATAAATTATTATTACTTAACGTTTTGGGGTATAAAAATAAGACTACAGTAAATTCATCAAGACAATTCTATAAATAAACCTACCTCCCCAAGTTGTTCATCGAGAATAATACAGTCCGAGATTGCCTTCCATACATCAGTAATTTCGGCTTTGAATAAAAGAGAACTAGAGTCAATGTGGTGAATCTGCATTACTCCAGACTTATCTGTACGAGTATTTATTAGACCAAATCCACTTACGGAACTGAACAAGAAGGCACCCGGACTCCTTCAAAATCTTCGTCGAATAGTGGGGATCCAAGATTTCAATGCGCATCTCATGATTACTCTCGATATTCCGGACACAAATCATTTCGTCGGAACTTCTGAATTGGACATATCGACCAACCGGATCACAAAAGGGCTCGTCGCTGCAGATATCTATCTTCGAAAACTTCTGACTCAAGACATCTCTTATGAAGCCACCTTGGTACTCTATCACGGGTTCTGTATAGTTGAATTTTTCTAGGTCGTCGGGCAATAGTTCGGTTTGAGATTCGATGTCAAACACTTTGCAAGAACCGGGAGTCTAAAAAACAGTTGTGATATACCGTATCAGAAAACATAGTATAAAAATATGTTTAACTGTCACTAGAACGACAAAAAGAAATAAGCGCTTACCATAGCCACCATTAATCGTCCATTCTCTACGATGTAAAACCGGTAAATAGGGAATCCAATGTTGATAAATCGGAGAAAAGGACGATCAAAGTCAAGACTCAGGATAACAGCATAATCATATCCAACCAAACCAAAACGATCGGTCCGGGAGTCAAATTCAAATCTGATGTTGTAGGGATTGACAAGGGTGCAGTCATTCCAAAGTCGATTATGGGCACTAAGACAATACAATTTACATTCAGCCAAAATTAATGTCACAGCAAGGCTAGTATGATAAGAAACTACTTACTCCACAACGACTTGTTCCCAAGTTTCTCCAGGAAATCGGTACATCTTGTTGTCCAGACATAGTTGCCGGAAGTCGATGCCAATGATTTTGTTGAGATCCTCATGAGTCAAAGCAAGTCGGCAGACAGAATAGAAGTCCGGGATTTTATTGATAATGCGAATCCATACAGCTTCAGACAGTTTCCAGTGGGGTGGTATAGTTTTGAATTCCATCGAGAGCTCTGCGACGTTTTAAAAAGATAACGTTTTGCAAGGATAAAGACGTCTGAGTGAGTAGAGATAAGCCGTGTGCACAGACAATCCCGGCCCTAAAAAACGCTTCTGATATTATACCTAAAAATGGTTCTGGACGCTCTGGACAAATCTTTAAAACCAAAACCCCTCCTTTTTACGGCTTCGTGGAAATTGGGCAGAGTGAAATTGGACAGAGTGAAACTCGACAGATTTTTTTCACTGCAATTATTTCTGTCCAATTTCACTCTGTCCAATTTCCACGAAGCCCTTTTTACCATTCCTCTCACAAAAATTTATTACCTAAATTCGGAACAAATTCAAGTTTAAAAATACTTACTTTTTATTGTGAACAGCCTATTTACAGTTGGTTTTGTTAAAACTATCCAATATTACTCATTGGAAGGTAGTCTCGAGTCGAACAAGGCGGCCAAAAGAGTGTCCTTCCCGTGCGAACGGCGTTTTCCGAGCGCAGAAAAAGCCCCAAAGCGAACATTTTTATTTTTGTGGGTCATTTCGGGGCGCCGACCACTTGCGAAAAAAAGGAATTACCAGTTCAGTGGAGATTTCCGATTCGTTCCATATAAGGTGTTGGCTTATACAACACCTTTAACGATCCGATTCGACTTTTCATCGTCAGCTTTTTAATCGTAATAATTAATGGAGTACTGTAAGTAATAGTAATAGAATATATACATAACCGAATTAAGTTAGAAGGAAACATTGTTTTCCGCTTCCGAAACACTAAATTGAGTCTGAAGAATCCAATTGTTCAAGCATTGTTGCATCCTCATAATCTTTGTTTCATTCTTGACATTCTTTCTCTCCGCTTCTTTCAGCAGTCCGTTTCGCAGCGCTACAAACGGATGGGGTCTTCTTGCTCTGGCCTTGATCACTTTTTTATGGACCCTGTCTGAATTAAAATTACTCTACCAAATGTTATAATTAACTTACGATTTGATGCAATATTGAAATAAAGGATCTCAACGTCCTCTTCCGTAATTTCAACGCCAACTCCATCTCCATAATACTGATAATCAATGTCATCTTCATCCACAGCGTCTTCTGGCGGAGGTGGATTTGGCACAAAGTCGGCGTCTTCCTCGCTGTCATAGTCATCCTCGAACTCAAGATGAACACGATTTCGATCCATTGCTTATTGTATCAAAATATGCAAAGTTTTTAATTTCATCCCAGGGTTTGTTTAGTGTTTGATTCTTCCTGACATTCAAATGAATATTCGGGCTGTATCCCCATTCACACTTGGCACAATCAAACACCAGACACTGAAACATTACACTTGCATTAGCCTAGAGCGGTAGATTTACCTGTCCAATATCTTCTCTCAATATCATAGCATCGTTAATTACCTTCCAAACATCAGCCAGAGAAAACTTGTAGATAATCCTCTTAGAATCAACATGATGGATCTCCATGAGACGTCGGGAATCTAAAATTATAAGGTAAAATTCCAAATATTTTTAAACTTACAATACTGGATAAGGACACATCCAGAATCCGCAAGAATCTTGGTCGAATAGCACTGATCGTAAGTTTCCATTGGATATTCTTCTCCCGTATTAAAATTGATAACACAATTGTTTCCCTCAGATTTCTTGAAGAGAACATATGGGCCCGCCACATCTACTTCATCGTCTACTGCATCTATTTTGATCGTTTTTTGGGTTAAAACATCTCTGACTAATCCCGAACTGTAAGACAGTAGACAGCCCGAAAATTTTATAGTAAGTAGATCATCTTTGCTGATTCGTTCTCCAGAATCAACGTTATAAACGTTGACAACGTCTTCGTTGGAATCGCACTGAAATAAACGACATATAAGATCGATGAATTACTTTCCCTCAACTAATCAGAATTAAAGTAACCTACAAAGACAACCAGATATTTCCCTTCTTGAATTAAGTGAGCTCTGTAGATCCGGAAACCAACTTTAATATAGCGCACATATCTCGTAGTAAAGTCAAAGTTTGTAACAACGACATAATCAGCTCCAACGAAACAGAATAGGTAGGTATTCTCACCATAAGCAAGGACAACTCGATAAGAATTTACCCTCAGGCCATCATTCCAAAGTCTATTATGGGCACTGAAAATAATAAAATTACAACAGAGGATTGTTAGTGTGCTTAATTTTGCTCCCAAATCAATTTAGATTTCATATGACTCGTCCTCCACATTCACTGCATAGTGCGCACAAATACTACACCACAATTCCAAACCATCTCGCAGTCCCCATTTTGCAAAAAAATTCACCTTCCAGCCTCCAAAATCAGCGGAAACCATATTTTGCAGAATTTTGCCGCTGATTTCATCCAAACTCGCAGCGACACCGGTCGGCGACATCAAGTTCGGTACTATTTTTGCAAAAAACCGCTAAAAAAGAGATGGTGAAGGCAGGGTCCTAATTAATCTGTGCATGGCGAAACGACATCTTCAAATCAAAATCAGCTTACTCAAAAACAACATCACTCCAAGATTCTCCGGGTAGCCTAAAGAGTTTGTTATCTAAACATAACTTCTTGAAGTCGATTCCAACCATCTTGTACAAGAATTTATGGCTCAGAGCCAGTTGACAAGTTCCGTAAAAATCGTTCATGTTATTCAGGATTCGCATCCAGATCTAAAAACATAAAACAGGTTTACTAAAGTAACTCACATCTTTATTCAGTTTCCAATCCATTTTGATGTATTCTCGAGGTCAGTAACTTTTCATGTAGTTAGACGCGGGCAGAAAAGGCAGACAGAAGAGAAATTTGCCGTATATTCTTCTGAGGCCGTCGAAGTTTCCGATTTCGCTCAAATTTTCCAAAAAAAAAACAATAAGAAAATTATTTTCGGAAGGGACAGCTTATACGTTGAAACCTTTCTATCCCGCCAACACAGAACTTCCTCCTCAAATCACTTCCAACCATTTTGTATATGAAATTATGGCAGAGCCAGCAACCGTTGGATTTGCGATGCATCTAATTCAACGTAATATTTTCATTTTCCAATTTATTTAGCTTCAACGTAACGAAATAATACCGACATATTGAGACGATTCACAAGGGATGATAGACTAGCCAAAAATGGGATCTTTAGCAAATAAACAAGGGATTCTTGAAAGAGGACAGTGTAACAAAGGAACAAGAGACATTGATTGTGAAAGGTGAGAAGTAATGGGGTGAGTTCCTAGGATCACTCGGGGGAAGACGATTTTAAATTTTATTATATAGATCACGTTCTTTTCTTGACAAGCATCATATTGAATTACTGAGAGAATACGACGTATACAAGTGCTATCTACAAAGGCTACTGTACATGTCTATGTACACATTAAGTTAGGCTATGAAAGAGTCATGGAAATTTGCTGTGAAGAGACAAAACGGAATAGAAACAAGGTTGATGACACAGAAAGAAATGCGTCACAGTGACAGCAAATGGTATGATTATACCCTCGAGACACTTATACCCTATGAAGATGGATAATACTTGAAATAAATAACTGTTAAAAGTCCATGGAAATATGCAAATATTCGTTGACTCAACGAATTTCGTTGAAGGACTCCATGAGACCAAGACGGACGGCGTCGGCTTCGGCGGGATCTCCGCGGATCAGCGAGAACTCCGTCTTGGAGATGTCCGGGTTGTCGGCGGACTTGTCGATGGAGAGGGAAATCACAGTTTGGTTGTTGGTCACGACCCGAATTTCGGTTATACCTGGAATAAGAGAACATTAAACACTTCCAGTTCAGCTATTAAAAGTCTAAAATAAGCAAATCTCAATCCCTAAAAACCAAGACAGATACAAATTCGTACCGTTATTTTCACTACCCGATCTGATTTCGCAGGTCATATTCTGCTGTTTGACATATCCATAAATCCTGTCAATGGCCACACTCGGAGCGACAGGAATGAAGATCCATTTTGGAGGTTCCGGACTCACATTGTTGTTATTGGTGCCATCTGGAGAAGTTTTACCGCTGAATCCAATAACTGTAGCCGGTCTACCTTGAGCTGAATTTTTCTGGGACATAAAGGCCATCGGACTGTAAGACGGGGAGTTCTGCGCCACGAAAGACTTGTTGTTCTCGTCGGTGATGCTGATTCTGGGGGTGTTCATATTCAGAGGACCATTCATTCCGACGTTGGAACTGCAATAACAGTGTTACAACCAAATATTATAGAAATACATATTCAATCTGAAGTGTGGTCTTACCTATTAGAGCTCGTGGCTTTCTCCGTTGTGGCCTTTAGTCTTTGGAATTCGGCTTGAAGTTGTTGAATTCCAGTCATTTGAGGCTCTCCGCTGGCGACATTTCCACTTCCATTTGCGGCCGCTGCCGCCGCGCCCCTCAGAGATTGTGCGTACAAACTTTCTAATTTGGAAAATTGTTGAGAATTCACAATTCCTTGGTTGGTTGTGGAGGCCCATGAACTTCTTCTCTCGTTTCCATTACACTTAGCATATGGGGTGCGAGCATATCTGGGAATTGTTGGTTGCTGTTGAGGCATTGGTTGAAGAGGTGTACCAACTGTCAGCCCGGATACCATCGTTTGTGCTCCATGCACAGTGTTTCTCTTTGCACTTCCAAATCGACTCAGGTACATCGCACCTTCTTCTTCGACCGTCGGGCCTTTCAGGTTGGAAGTTTCGGGTTGAGCAAGTCCAGTCGGATGTTTCAACTTATTCTTTCCAACCGTATTACCCTGGGCATTCATCTGCGCCGCCAAAAACCCATGTAATCCCAGCATGGCTTCATTCGCACTGGCTCTTCTCTCTTCTAAAAGAATGACTAATACAATATAAAAAGAGCTTACGGTTATTCGGAAGACGGATTAGTTTAGTATAATCAAAGAGACCATTCTTCATACACATTAAACTAGCCAGCGCTGCTGGATTAGGACCGCCAGGAGGGAATGCCGGGTTCTGAGATGAGTACAAACTTTGCTCATTCTGCTGATGTGCAGCCATCTCTAACAATTTCTGAGCGATCTGTTGTTGAAGAGGATTTGTATTCATAAACATCGGATTTTGTTGTAGATGTTGCATAAGCAGCAGCTGTTGCTGCTGATGTTGTTCGAATTGTTGGTGGATATCAAAGGCAAATTGTTGATGAGGATTCATGGGATTCATTGGGAAACGCTCAGAAGCACATAAAGTATGACGTCGCTGCTCATTTAGATATTCCTCGTCTGAAGTTGAGGGTCCCGTATGAGTCATAAAGTTTCGTTGACTTCTCTCGGATGGCTGTTCATCTTCCATCGACTCATCTGAATCGCAATCCGAGACCGTCGAAAGACTGAGTTGAGCTAATTGTTGTTGAGTTATAGATTGAGTGTCAGGTTCTGGATCGACTCGGGCCTTGCCTGAGGTTATTGAGCCCCTCGATCCTCTTCTGCAGGCATCTTCGTCAGGAATCAGAGCGCGATTGATTTGTTTCAGATTCTGTAGTTTATCACATAATAAAGTGTAAGTTGCATAAACGGGGCTCTCAAACTTCTGCATCAATGCGTCTTCGATTACTTTCTCCTCCGACCAAATTGTATGCTTTTGCATATAAAGTAGTACTGTGGGATCCAAGTTATGAGTGAGCATGCTGGATGAGGCGGAGCGCGCTTCTCGTTGAGGTTTGGGATCTTTTAAGGTGGGAGCATGGATAAGAGTTTTGATTTCCTCAGGGACTTCTTGAGTAAACCATCGATGATTCAGGACCTGACTCATTGTGGCACGTTTTTCTGGGTTTAAGGTTAACATCTTGCGAAGAAGGTCGGCACATTCTGAAAAAATTGATAATTCATGATATCCTTAAAACTTTTTCATTAATTATCAATAGAAAAGAACACTTACCGACAGAAATATAAAACGGAATGTTGAGGAGTTCTCTGAGAACGGCCATCTTTAGATTATCTATCGTCCCGCCTTGGAATGGGAATTCAGCGGTAACCAGTATAAACAACATCACACCCAGACTCCAGATGTCTGCTTGTCGTCCATCGTAAGCTTGAGCAACCAGCAACTCTGGAGCAGCGTAAGGAGGAGATCCACACCATGTCTGAAGTAACGTATCGGGCCGTTGGAAGTTCGAGAATCCAAAGTCAGCCAACTTTACATTCCCTTCTTTATCCAATAAAATATTCTCAGCTTTGAGGTCTCGATGTACAATCCCATTGGCATGACAATAAGCAACAGCAGAACACAATTGTTGGAAGATTCGTCGGGCTTCTTTCTCAGACTGTCGGCCTTTCTGAGTCAACATATCAAATACCTCGCCCCCGGAGGCAAGTTCCGTCACAATAAATAAATAATTGTCCGTACGAATGATCTAAACGTTAAAACATATCAAACAGAAATTGTATTCTTACCTCGTACAAGCGGATAATGTGCGGATGCCTGAGGGCTTTCAAGACCGTAATCTCCCTTTCCACTTTGATCATGTTTTCGGCATCAATTTTGTTTTTGTCCATCACTTTTACAGCTACTTTCGTCTTTGCGATCTCATGAACGGCACTTCGCACTGTACCAAAATTTCCATGCCCTAACTTCTTTCCCAATTTGTAGGCGCCAATCTGGTTCATACGAGTGCTTTGGACACCAGAATGCGAAGCACGTAACATTGATGCTATCGCCGTGCTATCGCCCGAGGAACCCGCTGGCGTACCCATGGATAACATGGCAATATTACCCTGAAATAAGGAAATTTTTATACAAAGTGCACATAATTCATTTGCCCTGGTGACAAAAAAAAGAGTATAATTTGGAGAGACCTAATACGCGTGCGGAAGGTTTCGGTGTTAGCAAAAGAAAAGAAAGTAAATTTTTAAAGATCTCCGTAGGACCCATTACCACAATTCCCTAGGTTTGGCGATGTTTCTAGTAAATATAAGAGTTCCCACCTTCATTTTGACAGATTACCACCGAGTCCCCACTTTCCGTTTCCCCCCTTTCCCCACACGGTTTATTGATTTCACTTGTCTCTAAAAAAGTCTAAAACAACCAATAAACAAATGACTTACAGCCGTGCTTTGCCGGGTACGACCGGTCGGTTTTAGAGGCGTCCCATTCTAATATAACATGAGCCTACGTTTCATGGAAGATGGAACCATATGACCGTCCACAATCTTCTTCTTTACACAAAGAGATTTTTAATACCCGCCGAGAGCGGAGCTCTTCTTTTCATTGCAACGGAATGCCAAAGGATAATTGGCTCTTGGTTGTTTTCGTGGAGGGAGTTGAAAATTTGGACAAAAAATATCGGACTGCAATCCAAAACCAGTAAAATTTAACAATGCCCTACAGAGAAATCGCTCTGAGATTTAGCTTAGCAGTAAAGACCGCAAAAGAACGCCGTGATTTACTTCAATGCGTTTCGAATATTTCAAATGTCCGATGGTGGAGGTGGTGATGACGCACGAATGGAAGATTAGGGCATAACATATGAATGAAATATTGCGGGGTCTCAAAGTAATTGCAGTTGGCATTGGAGTTTTATAAATTATGAATGTATGGACTGTGAAGCGAACTTTTGAGGGATAGTTTTTAATATTTATGTAACTGTGGGAGTATTATGTAATATTTACCAAAAATTGAATCGTGCAAAAAATTGGCCCCGGATGAGTAGAAAGAATAAAATGTTGTAGACTTACGATTGCCAATTCTGGTACTGTTGCTTGTTTGTTTTGCAGAAACGGAAATCGAGCGAATCTGCGACCCGTTGGCTTGCCGTTGAGAACGTGCACCTTGCCCAAATCTTGCTGAAGTAGAGCTGTGGCGAACTGAGTATCTGTCGGAGAGCCGCCGGCTAGTGGATCAGCGGCCTGACACTGCGATGACCAAACAGCCACGTCGAGCATTACAAAGTCGCCACTCCGGTTCGAGACCGCATCCACTACGCCGATCCGAGCTTAAAGGTGCGGAAACAACAAAAGAAACCAATAAATTTACAGTAGAGAAGTTAATGTTTGGCTTCTGAAAACATGAAGAGTAAATTCAGAAGAGCGGTGACTTGCAAATGCAAGAACAATTCACAGAAGCACCGATCACGCGAAAAGTTTAAAACATTATTTGAAAAGGGTTAAGGAGCGAGCTTATCCCCGCTTTAATAAGGACCACGTCATTTCCTCGACGCCATGCCTCTGGGCCGAAGCTAATGTCTTTACAAAAAAAACTCTCAACGTGAAAAAGAAGTTTCCCACGCAAAAACTTCCTCGATGGATTCGGCTTCTGAAACGGAAGTGGATATTTCGTCGCGAAACATGGAGGAAAAATGAAGCGTTTTGTCGGTCCATTGGAAGCGTTCCCTCCTCCTGCCCGTGGCCCTCAATTTTCCATGCCATTGGACTCAATTTTTCTGCTAGTCGACAAAAAATCCCCGAGGGACAGCAAAATTTAAATTACGCCGCATTTCCGAAGAAACACAGCAGGGACATACAGAAAAAAACATTAGGGCCGACAACAACGTACATTATCGGCCCGAGATTATGTGGGGGATGAGAGGTTCGCTGGATTAGTAATCATATAAAGATTTCGCTGGGATAATGGGACTTTGGAATTACTCTGAAAACCCTAAGAATTGTGAGTATGAAATGAACAGTGATTCGTTCAGCATTCACAGTATTGGTATATATGTACACGTACATACAACTTTGCTAAATTACATTAGAAATTAGCATATCTCAAATGAAAAATGAATATGTTCCCCAATATAAAACTAAACGCACTTCATCCATCCTGCAAGGCCTTGTGTCGTCTTTTGGGGAAGTAAATTCTGTCTTCTGGAGTCCACCCAGATGAATGCAAAACCAATTAACAATTTATCCATGTTTTTGCAGGCCCATAGACTGATTAATTGCGCCTATTCAACCCACAGAAATTAGGCCAGCAAACGAGCATGTTTACGCAAATTCTACGGCTAGCAGTGATTAAAGTTGTGACATTATCAGGGTCGGATTAGCGAGTAATTTGAAAGAAAGAGTACGGAGATGTTGTTTGATGGTAACACCATGGTGTCATAGTGCAGTTAGTGTGCAGAACGTAAGGAATGAAAAATGATGATGAAGTGTGGTTGGGGGTGTACGGTGGGACCTCCGAGGGCAAAGACTGAGTTCACAAACAAAGGAGGATGACTATGAGGCAGATATGAATTGTTTGACATGGCCATCAATCAAGTTTTAGAACTTGTTTATGCTATGCAAAGCCTACGTAATTTTTTCGGACGTCAAAAATCGGAGAAGACGCAAAGTTTCAATTTGTTTCCGAAAAACTTCGAAATCGGGGTGGTCTCGACGTAAATGAGTGGGGCTCAAGAGTTATATGTACCATCGAACTTTCTCTTACAATTAGAATATTCAAAGGAAGTTTAAGGCTATTCAGAGAATGGAAGCTCTAACTATTTCATCATTTATTTACTCTTTGCTAGACGTACAGGTTGATAGCCACTTCGCAAAACCCGTTAATCGTGATCTCTAGTCGTTTAGATAAATAATTTAGTGATAAAGAGCGATTAAAATGCCACAACGTTTGTCTGGGTCACCAGGGTTCAGGATTAAACGGCGTTATTAATCGCGTAGGCGTGGGATCCAAAATTAAACAAGCGTGAATAAAAACCACATAAAGCAAGAAACGAGTTTATTTAGCCACGGTTTTAATATGAGCAGCTTGTGTTCGACCAAGGACACAAAGTCCTCTGCATAAAACAAGGCTCAAATACTGCAACTCTTTCGAAATGAAAATCTAGTTCTAAAGGTACAGAAATGTTTAAAAACAGTGGTTTCATTTAAAAGGATATCTTTAATACGGCAGTACATCTGTCCTAAAACTACAAATTACAGATGTTTTTCTTTCGCACGCACACAGAAAAAAGCGAAACTTTGAAGTTTCATCGAATGCAGAAGTGTATAAAATAAGTGAGCGATCAAACTTTCTGAAGTAGATTTCTAAAACAAGGTCCGAACACTTATTCTTACACGACTACAATTGTTCTCCTTAAATGGAGTCGTTTTTTCTTCCTCGAGGCACTAGCACAACAGCTATGCACTTTTATATGAGAGCCAGGCTTTCTTGCGAACACTACTGATAAAGACATACTTTCGGAGAGACCTCGCTGAATTATTTATGCAACTGACGTTGAAAAAATAAAAATTCGCTGAACAAGCGGTTTACAATTCAAAAACAAGCTTATCTATGCATTTAGTTTTAATTAAGTGAGTAAAGTTGTTATGCGAAGGTGGGTACACGTTTCATTCGCGTTTATAAGATTCAACACAATTAAAGCCGTGGAAACAGAGTACAAAGTAAAAAGCCACTCAGGATAATAACATCAAGTACTGCAGGTAACTGTGTGTTCAATGCACCTGCTCTGAACCGCATGTGAATAACACACTTGGAACAGCGATTTCATTGAGTCATTGTTAAACCCAACACATTGCATAACTTTGAAAATTACACCTGTGTAGAGAGTGTAAAGTGTGTAAACTACACAAAACTGCACGAAGGGTATAGCGGAGATAGCGCGCTGAATACGGCTTAGCACATGTTGAAATACATGACTTCACTTTTATAACTCTGTTTCAAACTTTGAACCGAAAGCACAGCGACCGCCAAATAATCCCCAAAGACGCCGCAATTTCCTTTTTTGCCCGTATCACGAGACGAACATCACACTTCTTCTGAATGCCTGAACACTTCGCCTCCAGTCCCCAAACTTTTTCCTTCCCTTCAAGTCGGATTTGAAAGGGGATTTTCGAGTAGGCCCCCCAATGGATGAAAGTGTTTCGGATTTCGTCGCCAAAAAACCCCAAAGCAATTTCCCTCTCACTTGCGGTGGAAGGAGATTACCGACATGAAAAAAACGATTGTTTTCTGCGGCGAGCCGGTGGGAAACTTTAGTCTCAATGGACCTTTTGAGTGGAGGAAACGGGGAAAAACAACAAACGCATAAAACCCTGGGATGGAACTATGAGACGGGAGAAGTTTTGGCCTTTTGACTTGATAAGGACGTGAGAAATCATTCGAGGGAGTAAAGAAGGGCGAGGCTTCAGGTTGAAGTAAGGCATTCAAAACGGGGCTTAGCTTGTCCCAACACCGTTCGTTAAGATGCAAAAGGCCTGCTCGGTTTATGATTTCCGGCAGCCATAACTCTTAATATTCTCTTTCCGAGTTGTTTTTTTCTTGACGCAAAAGCAAAAGAGAATTATCACACTCGGAAACACTGGGCGGAAAGCATAAAAAATTTGAACTCCATCATCATCCGAGGGACAAAAGACGTCAGGAAAAGCATAACGAGAGGCAGAGAGGACGCCCTCAGGGAAAGCCCCGAACGGAACGCCGGAGACTTTTTTTTCGAAAAGAGTGCAGTCGGAGAGCCCGAGTTCAAACGCGTGGACCATTCCATGAAAAGGACTAAAGGGATCGAGGGTCACGTCAAACGAAGGAATGTGTCTCAGGATCTTTAGAGGAAACAAAAGTTGTCACTGTCTGTCAGCATGGAAATGGGATGGTTTTCGTGAACCATGAAAGTTGCGGAAGTGTATAAACCAGGACTGCAGTCTCACAAAAGAAAAAGAATGTTGTGCTTTTAAGAATTTAATCGAAAACGTCATTGTATAGACAGCTGACCTCACTCCACTCTCAACTCACTCACTGAGCTCTCGAAAACTACAAATTGCTGAATCCTCAAGGCGGCCGCTTTCACGCTTCAGCTGTGCAGCCCTTTTTCTACAAAAAATGCCTCCGGGAATCTGAAATATTTCCTTTTGTCCGCCGGGAGTCTCGGCGTTCGATGGAAAAGAAAAAGAAAAAAGAACAAAATTGTTTCATACTCACAGACAAAAATTCTGTTATTCTCTCGGGGCTTTTTTGGTTATGGGAAAAGCGATTGACGAGATATGGGGGTTTGCGTCAGCCGGTGGATTTATGTGCAAGGGTTGCATGACGACAGTACAGTAAAAGTACCGCAAGACATATTAAAAACATGTTGAATCGTTCTATTGAAGCTTGCTTACATGAATGGACTACAATTTCCCGAATGTCATCATCTTTTTATGACACCCAACGTATTATCGCTAAACTCTTGCACTTTCTAATTAACATTCTTTTGATTGACGAAGTACACAGAGATTTCCACAATTCCGATGAGACTGTGACCTTTGAATGTCATGGAAAGTTATTGAAGAAAACGTTGACGAGCTCTTTGGAAATCGTCACATCCATTCGGGAAACGGGGACAAGTTCTAAACCAATTGTTGGCTCGGACCAAAGAATGAATTTGGATGGATAATATTATATGATGTGAACGGAGAGACCACACACAGGTGAACGCAGGAAAGAGTACACTTCCAGGCATCATAAAGGAACTTGGCCCGGCCCGTATGAAGATATTTTGGATGGATAGAAGCATGCACAGTAAATTTTATTTTTGAAATTTTTAATTGAGAAAGAATGGAAGAAAATATAGACGGAAAAACATTACTAATTGTAAGGAAAACAAGCAAGCAGTATCAAGGTTCAGTGGAAGTTATTAGTGTAATATAATTTAACACTAATTTATTGTTGAATGACTGACTTTACGGCAACAAAGGTACATATTGTGATGCCTAGAACGCTTTGACAAAACAAATTTGAGGCGTTTGTCTTTGACTACCACCTTTTTTGACGTCAAAACACAGGGTCTCTTGCAAAAACCAGTAGTAATCGAAAACGCTACCATTGCAAAAAGAACCACAACCCCCATTCATCGAGTTATCATTCGTTCTTCACCGATTAAAGGCAAGAATTCCATCCAAAACGAAAAAAACAACTGTTAATTGAATTGACTGCCGTCAGCAACTTTAAACTGTTTGAATTACGTGTTAAG